TTTCAGATATATGTATATATGTAGGTATGTATGTATGTATGTATGTATGTAACTCTCTATGTACTTTGGAGGATTCCCGAGTAGTTAATGGAATATATTCCAAATTGACATAATGCCGCGGCAAAGGCAACAACAAACACCAGCTACAACTAACTATCCAATTCCAACTATCAAGTGTTTGGCCAGCTAAAGCGACATTTGCTGTATCGGATGCCGGCAGGCGATTGCAGTGATTATTGATAACCCGCTGGCCAATCGGGGAGGGGGGTTGCCCTTCGTTTTAAACCCATCCTAATGTCATTGGTCACTGGAGTGGGGGTTGGGGGTATCGAACACTGTTAAGTTTTTCCAGATATTGAAGGCTTTGTCTTTCATGAATTTTAGAGAGTAATCCTAATGAGTAATCTTAAAGGACAAAAATCGAATGGGTAGAACAGTATTCAGGTGTATGTGTGTTGAAGAGGAGTGACACCATTTTTTTGAAGCATACTTTTTTAAAACAATATTTTACCGAAGAGGAGGATAAGCCCTAAAAAACTGTGCCTAAGCCACTGGCAATAAAGAGGGTATTAAAGTTAATCAACATCACATAATCAGTTTTAGTCATGTATTTAACAATCCATTTCATTCATATTTCCATAAATCAAAATATGGTTTCAAAATCGTGATAAGCCTAAAAACCACATGCTCTTAACTTTATTAAAATATTTTTAAATCAATCAAAACGAAGGATCGAGAGTTTACTAATTAGAAATGATTTGTTAAGTTTAAAAACTACACTATCTTTTTCCAAACACAGTGTTTTGAAAGCTTTTATTATTTAATAGCTAAACAGATTATATTTTTACCACGTCTAAACTGTTTTTATTGCCTATAAACCCCCAACTGATCTGTACAGACGAATTTGTATTGTAGCAGATGGTGGTTGGAGTTGAACCGATTCGACTACGAACCAACAACTTTTAATTTACGAGCGAACACAGTAGTCATTTATTTCGTTAGGTATTGTTGAGGGTTTTCGGGTACTTTTTTTAAAGTATCCCTTCGGGGTAAATCGCCCGACAGGGTATCAATTATTCGGCTCTTATGGTCCTTTTGCCTTATTTGTTCTGGTCCGTTCTTTTTCGTTACTGTCTATTGCTGCTGGTGATAATCCCTGGACCCCGTTTCAATCTCGACCACACCTCAGACTCAGGCTCAGGTCCTGGTTCCCGGGACTCTGGCAAGGAAAGAGGCAGGCAAAGCCAAATTGCGTGTGCAAACAGAGCTGAGCTGCAGCTTCATTAGCGAGGGTTGCTCAGGACAAACACATGCACACATTCTAGTATGTACGACAAACATGTGTGTGCACTGGCGTTTTATTATTATTTTCTTTATTGTTTAGCGCGTTATAATTGGGGTGCCGTGAGAGGGGGTCCAGTCAGGCAGGATATTCATATGCTTGTATATGTATGAAGGGTACATACAACTAAGTATACAGTGCATGCACTCTCCCGGAAGACCTATATTCTGTTTACTCAGCTCTACCCATCGTGCAGGAGGAGCAGTGTAGTCATATACGTTTAAGAGCTTGTGTTTCTGAGTGGGATAAACAAAACGTCAAGTTAGTTGTTGCCCCCAAGCATCCTTTAAAAATATATAAATAAAAAGGATCATATTTAACAGAGTTTCAGATAAATGTGCTCACAACTTGTTTAATTTTTTTTTTTTTTTTTTTTTTTTCGCGCGGAGTCCCACGGCCCACATACCCGCCCAACCGACCGAGGGGCGCAGCCGTGTATCGTACGGCACGATTCGCGATAAGATAGACGCGAGATAGGAAAATAAAGGTAAAGGTCCGGGGAAAAAAGTTAGATCAATCTTGTGCCAATGAAGCAAGTATCAATCGTTTTAGGAGCGGCAGAGAGTCAAGATTTGATATTACAGGAAAAAGTCTATTATAGTCCGAACATAATACTCTGAAAGGCTCATGCCAAGGCATAGTTAGATCTACAATGATTTAAAATTAGGGGAAAATAATTTCTAGTTAATCTACTTGGCACAGAAAAGTTTAGCCGACTTAACAAGTCGGGGCAGTCAATATCACCATGTATAATGTTATAAATAAAGATAGTACCAAGCATCGTTCTACGGTTGGCTGAGATGGTAAATTAATCAAAAGAAGTCTACTAGAATAAGAAGGTAAGATAAGATTTGCATCCCAGTTTAGGCGCCGTAAAGCAAAAAGAAGGAAGTTTTTTTGTACAGATTCAATACGACCAATATGTATTCCGTATTGTGGACTCCAGACGGGAGACCCATACTCCAGAATCGGACGGACTAGCGAAATAAATAAAGTTTTAGTCAAATAAGTTGGGTAATAATAATATAGTTTATGGCTTTAAGTCATTTAAAACCTAATATTTAAATTAAATTAATTTAATGTAATGACGTAATTATCAAGACAATTCAAATTCCAATATGTCGTTTTGTGTTTGACATTTACATATATGAAATATCAATAAATATTTCACCACAATCATAGACGTTACATAGGAATATCATTGCGCTTTACATGAATTTCACTATGCTGCAACGTTTTCGACTCTAATAAATGCACTTAGCTAACCGACGTCCATCTTTTTCCTTGACATTTCTCTGCTTGTTTGTCACTTTGAACGTCAATACGGAGTGATAAGGGTATGTCAATACGACAGATTGTCCAACTTGTTATCATGGTCGTTCGGCTTTGGTAACGATTTGGGAGGAATAGCTATGCGTGTGACACCACATACTGTGGACTAATTAAATAAACTGTAATTTCATTTATCAGGACTAATGAAGAACGGCGGCTGCTTTGTAAAGTAATTTACGGAGAACGAGCCAAATTAGCATACGAAAAGCAAACCCATATCAAATGTAAAGTAATAGACATAGGTACTAGCCATAACTCATGCGGATGCCACACACACGCCCTACAATCAACCACCCCCCAACCCCAGACTTTCAGCTGCAAACCCATCTCGGCTGTCAAAAACAGTTTATAACGCCTGGAATTATGCCACACATAAATCAAAATTGACGCGTAAACAAATATGGTGACATGTGGGGCATGGAGCGTAACTACGAGCTCCCTTTCTTCGGTTCCTATTTCTGGCATATTGGCTTGCTAAAAATGTGTAAAATTTATGCAGATTACCGAACCGCTACCAAAGTGGAAGTTGGAGTAGAAAAAGAAGATGTTGGTTTCGAGTGGAAGGAGCTCAAAAACATACAAGCCTGTCAGCCAGCGATGAAGGATTTTACCGATACACCTGAAGTCAAGGCAATTTTCTAAAGTATTTTAATACTGATTTCAGCTCTGCCCTGGATTTATGAATTTGAATCTCTTTGCAGAAACCCCAAAACAATCCATTTAAGAGATGAGTTATAATTTATAACACAAGAATATTTTGTACGAATGAACGTATAAACTTCTTTAACTTTTTAACTGGAACTTAACGATCTTGCTATCAATCGAATCTAACGCAGATCCTGGCTTGAGTAAAGACTAAATTCAACTTGTCGTCAAAGACTTTTAGTGACCTCAGCGTTATCTCATGTTCGAAGTTATTTCCGGTTCAGACTCTGGAAAAATTTTCAAAAGGCACAACCTTGATTCTGGCCAGAATCCAAGTATTTAGCTTTTTCAAGAAGAACAAATCGACCTTATTAGTTTTCGAAACTTAGAAAATAGCACAAAAACCAAGCTATAGCTTTTTGATCTTATGCTTTAAAGGAAGTGATAGAAAAGCAATTGGATACCAGAACCTTTAGAAACGATATAATGGTCAAAGCCTAGACCTGAGATGTCAAAACTCTGTAAACTGCAAAATAAGCTAGAATTAAGGTGAAGATGATAATTTTCCAATTGCCTGGATAAGGACACGCGAGATCTCCAAAGCCTTCGATATCGATTCCAGTCCCTCCAAAAAGTATAAAAGTATGAATGTATAAAAGCTACCATAAAAAGGTATAACTTTTTTTACACTAAAGCCACCGATTAACTGGACAAAACCGCCCTAAGCCCGGCGAGCAGTCATTACAGGTCGGTGACAAATTTAGAAGACACATTTCTCAGAGATTTATGCGGCAAATTAAATATTTTTTCCCGCCAGGCGGGTTGTAGGGTTGGGGGAAAGATGTCTAAATAATTAGATAAACATTTAAGCTCGACGAGGCAGCCAGCGAAAAGGAAAAGAAAGTAAAACGAGGCGAAGTGACAAGGAGACGGACACAGACACATAATGGTGTGCGAGGAGGATGTTCTGGGGGGAGGAGTACGTGACCATAACATGAACTGCTGCCACCGACCTCTGCCCCGCCCACAGCCCGCGCTCTCGTTTTGCGGGTTCGAAGCGGAGAGACGACGACAAACAGGAAATATTTAACGTGCCAACAACAAAAGTGAAATATAAATAAAAATAATAATAATGGGCAGGAACGTAGGGAACGCAGTGAGAAAGAAGGGCGCTCTCTCTCTCGCTCTCGACAAATTCCCTTCTCGTATTCACATAATATACGGGGAATATCTCGCAGGGAGAGCGCTCTCTCTTGGAAATTCTCGGCTGGTTTTCCCGTTGTTCCTTGCGAAGAAGCCAGGTTTTTAGGCCATTTTCTCTCCAACTTTCGACCGCGACGGACGCGCCTGCAGATAGCGGACTGCAGAATCGAATCGAAGATACATTTACGGTTCGGCTTCGGTGTGTTGGTGGGAATTTCTTCTGCGGCCGCCTCTTTTTTGGATATATGGATATTTATGCTTCGCGTGCCCGCCCGTTAAACGCCAGCGAGTGTGTGTGTCTGCGCGTGTGTTTGTGTGGATAATTAAAGCAACAACGTCGGATACGAATACACGAAATGCTTTAAGACCGAGATTAAAGTTGAAGGTCGGTCGGTGCTTGTATGCGGAAAAGCGGACAGGAAAACGGATCGCCTACCTGGGAACACGGATTGCGATAGCGTTAGCGTTCAACGTTAGTATACCGACGAAAGGCTGGAGTCGTTAAGCCAAAGAATACGAATACGCCAGCAAAATAAAAGAAATCGTGCATTGCTCCCTCTCTGCTGCTGCGCATGTTTCTCTGCCTGCATTTTTAGTTTCGCTCGACTATTACAGCATGCTTTACATTCCGTTTACATCACGTGTTAAATAACTGCTGGCTGTCACTGTTCGCGACTGTGTGTGTGTGTAATTGTGGGCATTTGTTGTTGTTTGCCCAAGCAAATATGCAATGATTTTTGCGCCCCTCCCCTCCCCTTTTCCTAACCATGGCCTTCTTCATTCATGCCTTGCGTGAGTGTGGGTGGCGTTGAATACACACCCCCCACACCCGCTCACACACACGCACACACGACAAAGCCAACTTCTGGCGGAAGTGGAAGTTGCTTTCGGTGTGTGCGTGTGTATCTAATGGGATTTTCTAATAAAATTTAAATTGTTGCCGCTTTTGCCGTGCGGCGTTCTATGAATTTAATATGACCCCAGTGTGTGTGTGAATAGGGGCCATAAAGCTTTGCTTATGGCTGGAAAATTAAATAGAGTGCATAATTTAAGCATCAACTTTGCGTTGAATGCATAATCAACTGCTGCAATTGAAAGGCGCCATCTACCAAAGGACTACTGCATAAATATCGGATAACTTTAACACGGGCTAGTGGCCCTACAAACTCAATTTCAACAGGCCAAAGGAAGCAGTTTAGATCCTGGAGTCGTAAAGTGAAAGGGCCGTCGGCAAACAATAAGTGTATTATTAAAATATTCCAAGTGGAAAACGAATTTAATTAACAGTCTCAAAGCAATGGAAACTTTTAAGACTGTTGTGCAAAACTGTTAAACATAATTTGCAAGCCATTCGAATTAAATTTGACCAATTCATATCGGACTTTTATCAGTTCGATGAATTTTATGGCAAATAGGCTGCTCTAAATATTTATTTATATCCAATAATGCAGTAGTATTTTAAAAAATTAAAAACCAAACAAGTCCTAATCAAACATTGCGCAAATATAGTACCAAAATATACAGCCCTTTTAAAACTGAAGTAAATTATAAACAGCAATAAATATTGTGCTTGTCAATCAGTATAAACTACATACAACTTGCGTATATTTCATGTTCAGTTAGAAAACATTCCTCAGAAAAGTTTGGTTCTTTATTCAATATCGTAAATCTATAAAACATAATACATTTTAAGAAAATTATTTATTCACACAGAATATGGAATACACAAATTTAGGTTAATGCTACATTTCTTGAATTTAAACAGAATGTATGTTTCACAGCTTTTAGTGACGACTAAATTTAATACCATTTAACTTTTTTCTTAAACCCGAACTTATGATGAACATCAAGTCAAAATGTTAAAAAAAAGACCGATTTACATTTATTTAGAATGCATTTTTTATTTAAATGCTCAATAAGACTCTACGAAATTAGACGTATAATTTGAGGCGTCGCATTTAAAAAATCAAAATTTGCCGGGTTCCTTTACCTCATTTCAAAAATAATATAAATACAGAAAAAATGGTGGCAGTTAACATCAATCCGCCATAATAGGCTTATCACAAAAACAGCAGCGTGGTCGTCGTAATCTGTGGGATCTCCCGCGGTAGACAAACATAAAACATAAAGTGTTTCCATTTCATGTGTTTTATTCTCTTTTATATTCAGAATCCATGTGTTGTGTTGTAGGTTTGAAATTTCAGTAGGCACTGATAGGTGAAAGCCGCTGCTGATTACAAAAAAGGTCAGAAAACTTAAAAAGCCGTCGGAGAACATTAAACTTCTATCCCGAGAAAACCCTAGACCCAAAACTGATTTTTGGGTATGGATCCCAAGCTTTAATCATTAACTCCGCATTTAACGATTCGCTTAACAAGCGAGGGCAGGTGGAATGCCACTCCTACTCTCATGTTTTCCTCCGAAATGATAAAAAAATTCTTTACAAATTCTTAGCAATCACATTTCCCCCTCCATTAAGAAAACTTTAACATGAAAATTGCGTTTTGTTATTTCTATTAACGGATCTAACAGGGCGATATTACTTGCACCTACATTTTTTTAATAATTTTGATAATATAATAATATTAAAAATAGACATTCTACAAATATTAGTGCTTTAGATATTATCTTCAATTTTTATATTTGTTCATATGTAGATGTATGTATGTATGTATATTCGTTTTGCTTAAAAAATAATATTTTAAAAATATCCAAGGATTCCAAAAAAAAATTATTTTTTTTAATTTTAAAAGAAGTGACATATTATAATAAAGTTTATATTCAGTTTAAAAACTCACCAACTCGAATACCAAAATACCCTTTTTCTGTAACCATCGGATATTTTTGTATACGTGCAATCCGTTTAGTCCGTTCATCCCGTTTCGTTTCGTTTCTTCCCTCTCCCTTTCTTCCTATGTTATGTACGTGTGTTTATACGAAACCACACAAACACACACGCGACTTGGGCTACCTGAAACTGAAATTTTCCCGCATTAGATTGCGGCCCTTGCCTTCCATTCCTCTTCTTCCCACCGTTGTTGTTGTTGTTGCTGCTGCTGTTATGTTGCACGCGGACAGACAATCGTAAAGAAAGATATAGAGAGGGAGGGGGGAAGGAATGTGGAATGAAAGAGTAAGGGAGAGGAGAGAGGAGGGAGTTCGCCTTTATTTTCTTCCTTTTCGGGCTGGCTCTTTCGCTTGCTCTTTCTTGCCTGTTTTATTCTCCTGCTTTTTTTGTTTACTTTATGCTTTCGTTTATCGACCCGTTTTGTGCGAGTGTGCTGTGCTACATATGCTGAGTGCGCTCTCTTTCTCTCTTGCCCACTCCCACTCTCATTCGTTCTCATGCAACATAATTTTCTTATTGCTTGCATTAAATTACTGGCCCATCCTTTGATTTCACACACTTTGTTTGCGCTTAAATCAGGATAATCCGGTAAATTTCTTTGTAAACCATTTATTTGAAGGAACTTAGTTGAAATGTAAACTCGCGCCTTGCACTTAAATTCCAGTTTCGTATCTGTCTGCTATGATTGTTTTGGGAAATTTATCAGCTGTTAGCCACGCTGTTAGCGCTTACAGTGCACACCGATAGTGCAGGGCGCTCTCCAACCCTGTCAAGCAAATAAACAACCAATGAATAATTGAGTCGTTCCCCAACACTGCCAAGCAAATAAACAATCAAAGAAAAAAGAGAGAAAAAGCGTGTAAAAAAAGACTAAAGCATAAACACAAACAAATTAAAGGTGCTGAGCATTGTAATTGTCTAGTTGGTGAATTAAAATTGGCAGACGATCATATCCCATTAGAGATGCAATCCCCTTTCCTTGGCCCGCGTCCAAAAGGTGTGGCTGAAACTGAGGGCAGCTATAGCCACAGTGGGACCAGTGAAATCTCATCGAGTATCAGTAGTAGCCCCAGCAAAAGATAACACCCGTACTTATCAAATTCCCTTCCTTCCTTTTGCAGCGGCGTTGCCACCTCACTGAGCTGCGCGGACTCCAGCACGGGCTCCAGTGAGGATGCGTCCGATCCCGGCTCCCCGTACAGTGCGCACTCGCAACTGAGCGACCCGCCCGACCCGCTGACCAAGATGCCGCCCCAGATCCTCGGAAGCGCCAGCGGCAGCAGCTCCACAGCCGCCGCCTCTCCGCCCTCCAGCAGCGCCACCCAGGTGCCATCATCGCCAGCCATCCACCACAGTCATCTTAGCCAGCACGGCGGCATAACCACCAGCGGCATGTCCAAGCCGACGACGCCCCAGCGCCACAACAACCCCAGCCTCCTGCCCACCCTCCAGTGGCCGTGGAACACTAGTCTGGGTAGCACCTCAACTGCCGTACCCGCCGCCACGGCCAACAAGAACAAGCGGACCGCGGCCGGATCAGGAACGGCAATGGGCAGCACGGGCGGGGACGGCGCCTGTCTAGCCGGCGGAGGAGCGGCGGCGGCAAAGAAGGCACGTAGCGAACTGCCCAGCTCCTTTGACGCGAGCAAAAGACTGAAGGTGGCCGCCATGGAGGAGTCACAGACCAAGATTACTGGCTTCTTCAAGTCCCAGATGAAACCGTCGCCCGGCGGCGGAAAACTCTCGCCACAGCCCGGCCAGCAAAGCAATCCGGCCAACACGCTGACCATGAGCACGCCCGCCACCACCGCCTCGCTGAACAAGTACTTCAACATCCTGTCGCAGCTCAAGGAACAGAAAGCCCAACAGCAGCAGCAGCAACAACAACAACAGCAGCAGGCGGCCAAGGCCCTACCCACACCTGCTGCAGTGGCTCCTGCCGCAGTGGCTCCTGCGCCGCCCCTTCCGTCTGTGACCACTCCCAGTCCGAGTTTACCCGTGCCGGCTTTAAAGAAAATCGAACGTAGCACCAAGCAACCAGCCAAGATTGCACAGGTGGCGCCCAATCTGCGCAAAACGCCCAGCAGTGGGTCCTCGGGCAGTTCTTCATCGTCCTCATGTAGCTCCTCAAATGGCTCTAATACGGGCAAATCCCCGGCCAAGAAGCACGTGGCGATTGCGCCCAGGACGCCGGAGATGAAGCAGCAGCAGCAGGGCAAGGCGGCCATGGTCTACCGACCGCCGGGGACGAGTCCCGCCCTCAAACAGAAGCCGATCTCACCACCCGCCCCCGTGGCGGCCACAGTACCCGCCCCCGCACAAGCACTCAATCCTTCGCCTGCCCCCGCCAATCCTACGCTCTACCAGCTGCCCGTGCAACTGCCCAATCTAGTCCAGCTTCCGCCCCAGCTGGCGGCCGCCGCCAACATCATGCAGCTGAATAACGTGGCTAAGGCGGCGGTGGCCGCAGCGGCCAACAACAACGCGGCCGCTCAAGCGGCGCAGGCGGCACAGGCTGCTGCCGCCCAGTATTTCCTCAACGGCACAGTCTTTAAGCTGCAACAAGTAACCACGGCCACGACGACGACGGCAACTACGGCGACGTCGGCGGCAGCTTCGGCTGGCAATCCCTTCGGACTACTCAATTTGGCCACGGCGGGCAATCCTTTTGGCCTTCCCAACGCCAGCGGGCAGTTTCCCATTGAGGCCATCCCGGGAGCTGGAAGCTACCTCCATCATCAGCTGCTTCTTGCCAGACAAAATAACATGAGTTTAAACGGTGAGTATTATAAATATGTTTTAATTTAAAAACAGTTATTTCTTAAGGATAAGTAAATATATCCGCATTGAGGAGCAAAAAAATTTTGTTAAATTTAATGCTCACAAATAATTTTCCTCGAGCTGTAGGCTAAAAATTAACCTACGCTTTTGATTTCTGAAATGCTGACTTTGCTCTCTTTTACAGAAAACATGGCTTCCAATTCTTGCGGCAACATGAACTTTGTTAACCCACTTAACAATCAGCAAGTTGGACTTAAAGATAACAAATTATATATAGTGAACTCGGCCGAGTACCTAGGATACTTAATGAGCTTGCAAATAGCTCTTAACAACCAACAGCATCAGCAACAGCAAATCATCTCTGCCACACAACCGCCGCCATTGGCAGCCACGAACAACAACAACAATACAAACACTGCCACTCAGCCGCCACCTTTGGCAGCGACGAACAACAGCAATTCGAACACTGCCAACAACTCGACGACTGCCAGCAACAGTAACAACCACAATGCCTCGAATAATTTAAGCAACATCAACAACACTGCCATACAGCCCCAGCGGGCGATTGTGAAGCCGCCGATGCACAGTTCCACGCAACCGCCGCCGCTGGTGACGATTTCATCGATGCCCTCGTGCTCCCCGGCTGCTGCATCTTCGCCAGCGGCCAAACGGGCACTACCCGCAGCCAAGCCATACCAGAAGCGTCTTACCACAAAGGGCAGAGTGGGTGCGGCTCCAATCATTGCCACGCCCACCACGCCCCCGCCTCTGGTGCCCACGTCTGCCACCAAGGAGTTGGGTCAGTTGCGGAAAAGCACAGGAACCACTGGGCCCCCAACAGCCACGCCCACACCCACACCCACGCCACCCCTGGTGAGCATCGCGCCCTCGAAGCTGACGCCCACGCTGAGTGTGGCCAAATCAGGACCTGCGATGAAGCTAGCCAACAGTGCGCCCGATCTCTTCGACCTGGTCAAGAACTCTAAGGTGGTGGCCAAGGCCGCGCAACCGCTTACGCCACTACCTTTTAGTTCGCCGAGCAGCAGCAGCAATGGAAGCCATTGTTTGCGATCCTCGCCAGCGCTTTCCAATTCGAACTCTTGCACCCTGTCGGCCTTTAGCAAGATCAAGGCGGATACCTCGGAGCTGGCTTCGCAGACAGGCTCTTTGGTCTCTCTGTCAATGCCTCCAGTATCACCCAAGCCCCAGAGCTTTGCCGGGCAGCTGCCGAAGAGGGATCAGGATCCGGAATCGGAGGTCGAGACGATGAAACACGATCTACTGCCAGACTGCAGCAACAGCAACTCGAACTCCAATTCGTGCAGCAGCAGCAGCTATTCGCACTCGGTCAGCTCGGCGGCAGATCTCTCGCTCGAGGCCTCTACGCCTGCCCCATCTCCATCGCCATCAGCCTCGCCATCCGGCCTGGGATCTCCCTCGCCGGCGGCCAGCAACATGAGCGGCAGCAGCCGGCGAGCGGCCAGCCAGACTGACATGCTCAGTGAGATGGTAACCTCGTCATGCATTTCCAGCGGCGGCGATGACTGCTCTCAGGCCACGGACTCGCCTCCACTGCCGACACTCCCGTTGCAGCTGGGCAAGAGCGATGACACGACCACTCCGACTCCCACGGCCAGCGGCGTAAGCAGCAGCGGGAGTAGCAACTATGATGAGGAGGACGACAAGTCGGTGGCCTCGCTGGAGACGCATCAGACGCACAAGCGGCTGAGGGACCTGCCCACTCCGGAATCTGGCATCGGTGGAAGCCTGAGCAATAGTGAGAGCAGCAACTCAATAGTTGATGCAATGTAAGTAGAGTTTATAAGAAATATCTTAATTTTCCATAAATTTTCAAGCAACAACAAACTTTTATTCAGTTGATAATTAATTATAGGCATCGGCTTAAAACAGCAATGCTTCCGTTTAACGGTGAACTTTTTGAAAGTTGTTGGTAGTTTTCAATTATCATAAACTAATCCCAAACGATTCCCCCATTAGATCCTCCAAGTCAGCCTCTGCCGGACCTCCGACGACTGCAGCGAGTAGCGCCTCCTCCTCCGCCTCCGACAGCAACTCACTGGCGAGCAATGCACCTTCACCCGCCTCACCGGATGATTGTTCTGCTGCACCGTCGCCCGCCTGTTCCGTCTCCGCTGCCGCCTCCTCTCCGCCCAGCACTGTGGTGGACATTGCGATGGTCGAGGCCACGAGCAAGAGTCTACCGAAGAGCGCCATCTCGCCGATCCTCTCGCAGCCAAAGACCATTCGCTTCCCGGCTGGAGCGGGGGCAGGCGGCAAGGGAGGGAAACGCCACGACGGTGTCTGCTACTGGGACAAATGCAACAAGAAGCACGAGAGCAACTCTAAGCTGTTGGACCACATGCAGACGCACCACGTCAACACGCAGACAGGCCCATTCGCCTGCCTCTGGGTTGGCTGCAAGGTGTATAACAAGGAGTCATGCTCGCGCCGATGGCTGGAACGCCATGTGCTCTCGCACGGTGGCTCCAAGCAGTTCAAATGCATCGTCGAGGGCTGCGGCCTGCGGTTCGGCTCCCAGGTGCGTCGCCGTCTCATTAATTTTTTGTTCAGCCTCTATAACCTTCAATGTTATCTCTTCTCCTTTAGCTGGCGCTGCAAAAGCACGTGAACAACCACTTTAATGCCACAGACAATGCCAAGGAGAGCACGAGCAAACGCACCTCTGATCCGCCCGTGCCAAAACAACTCCGGAAGAATGGCAAGAAGCTCCGATACCGCCGTCAACCCTTCTCAGGTAAGTAATTAGGGTATGCTCAGTTATCGAAAGTCTTTAAACCTTTTTAATTATGGAAAAAATATACAAAAGTACATGTTCGTCAGTTTATGTGCTATAGGATATAGTTTTCAAGTTTCTTCCTCGCTTTTATACATTTTAAAAAATTGTATTTGAATTGGGATTAATAGATTCTAAAGAAATTAAGATTTAAATAGAGCGCTAGATCCTATAAAAAAGACAAACTTAAAATGATTAGCTTACAAAATTGACCGTACCGCCAACGAAAATTACAACTTGCTTAATCGATATTTTAACTTACAGCTCGCATGTTTGACTTCTTTGACACGGGTATTATGGAGGGGCTGCAGCACCGCCTGCGCCAGATAAGCACGCTCACCAACGGAGCCCAGGCCATCGAGTTCCAGGGTCAGTGCCTGATGCGGAGGCGCAACAGTCAGGGCGGCTACGAGTGCTTTGTTCGCTGGTCCCCGCGCGAGATGTAAGTTAATCTGAATCCCAGTCATTTTCCCAGATGCTAACTACTCATTCTTCTGTAACAGCATTTCCGATGAATGGTTGCCGGAGTGTTCAAATCGAACGCGCCAGCACACCAAGGTACTGCACATCAAGCAGATGCGGCCGGCTGAAAAAACACGCGTGGATAGTTTGCTGAGCACGGCCTTCCGGCTACGCTATGACTCCCAACTATTCGCCGACGATTATAACGTCAACGAGCAGCAGGTCGGCGAACTGAGCGGCAGCGACTGCGAGGAAGATGGGGATCAAGAAGAAGAGGATGAAGATGAGGAGGAAGATGGCGGCAGTAGTTCGCGCAGTGCGAGCTGCGAAACGGTGTCCAGCTATCAGCAGGTGCTCAGCATCGCCAAGCTGCAGATGCAGCAGCGCCGCAAGCACCCGCGCAAACCACCCAAGATGACACCGCTTGCGAGGGAGGAGCTGGTCGCCACGGACGCCCTGGTGCCCATCTAGGGCGCTGCCAGATTTATAGTATTCTCTAAGTAATTAAACCGAAAAACAAACGACAAACGAGTAAACAGTGACAAGTAGACTAGTTAGCGTACGGCCTAAGTAAGTTACCACCTACGCATATATCCACTTATGTATAGAATCTATAAGTACGCCCGCTTTGTTCATTTTTGTTTTGTTTGATCCGCGTAACCAGCAGTTTAGTTTGTTGTTCTCATTCAACTGTCGTTCATCGATCCTTGTACATATTTCCAGATGGACAAGTAAGAGTCAGGAGCATTTAGTAGCCACCTTATAGCAACCCACCCGCGCGTTCTAGCAAGTGCTGTTATGAACAAAAGTCCTAGTTTCTACAGTTATAGTTCTAATTTAGTTTCTAAAGTGTACATTTAGTAAAGATTCATGTGGAAAATGACCGACTGGACAAGACTTGTTTAAAAGCCAATTTTATGTTGATCTATTTGAAATTTTAAAGTTAAATTTCGTTTTTTTTTTGTTGCCCCTCGTCGTTTTGTAATTTACTCCTAGTAACTGGCCAAACTTACACTGAAAGCGAAAAACTACGCACACAACTGAGCAGTTAAAGTTTAAGTAGAGTAAAGTGACGTGGAAGAACACAAGACTTGAAGCATTTACCGCTACAAAAACGAGAAATATTTGTAAAACATTTTGTACTCAACTCGAACAGCAATGCAAACAGTTTTAAGCCTAAGTTAGACCGGAGCCCAAGACGATTATCCATTAATTTAGTGCAAATCGAATGCAACTTTCGCCAATTCATCAGCGTCTCTAGTTCGTTTTGTGAAAATTTGAAGAGACGAAAAAGCATAATGCATTGTACATAATAGAATATAACATTAACTAGTTTCGCTTTTAAACCTACATTTAAACTATTCATTTAGAACTTAGCCAAGGCAAATCCCAATTAAACTATGCAAAATAAAGTTATCGAAAAGAAAATCAATCTAAAAGCAAAATACAACAAAATAACTTTTATGTTTTAATTTCTTATGATTTTACGGACAAACAGAAAGAGATTTTGAAGCTGAAAAACTCACTGATCTTTTACTTAATGTTCTATTTGGTGTACATATCCGAATGGCAAACCCAACTCTTTAAGCATATAAGCTAAACGCTACCCTAATTTATAATTTCCCATGCCAATGAATTTATACGTGATTAAAGTAAGTAAAATTCGAATCAAGAGCCGAAAAATATGAAAACAAGAGTACTCATCACTGCCAAAATGTAATTGAACAACAAGAACCCAGTTGTTATTAACGACTGATTAATTTAGTGTGCGAAATGAGCTCAGCCAGGAATAATTATTAACTGCTATACCCCTGATTCCAGCTCGAGCACTTTCCCTATGTTGCACAATAATAGCTCGCTAAGAGACGAGTATATCAAATATATCTGTGTGTTGTCTTAAGTAGATATAGATGCGTCTCTGTGCCCCTCAACTAGTTTAAGCTTATAAGGAAGAATCAAATATATATAATGTACGTGTATATCCCCATATGTCTAGAGAGGAGGCAGGAAACCGGGAGCATTTTAGTGTCCCTCGATCACAGCCTATATACATGATTTAAAGCAATATTCTAACGATAATCGCAGATCAAGCTTAGTTGACTCTTCCATTCGGTTAGTCTTTCGATGCCTTTCGCCCGAGTTGTTCAACGCTTTGTACTGCAGGAGAAGAATCTAAGCATAATGGAAATAAGTATCAAAACATGAATCCATGAAAAGTAAAGGAAAAGAAATTCAAATAAAATAAAACTACCTCAAATTTTTGCAAGCATAAAACACACAAAAGAATTTTTCGAGACAAGTTTTCTAAAGCGAAAAGAGTATATAGGTGCAGCGTTATATTTTGTCGGATAGGCGAAAAAGACGGCAGATAACCGTAGAGATCCGAACAGGGCAGAGCCGCGAAACAAGGGAAAGTATACACGAGTAGTACACACAAACAAACAAGGGGAAAACGTAGGCTAATTCCATATTTTGCTAATATTGCATACAGTCTGTAGGATAAGCAACCACCCAGTTAAACTACATTTACCTTCGCTTTTCCTTTTTGATCGACCGAGACGATCACCCAAATATGCATTTGCCTTTAGCCCAGAGCTCAGATTGAGTTTGTACATAGATTAGTTTACCCAATACGAGATATATATTCAATATCATAACCATAATTTTAGTATTACAACCGCTTTAATGAATTGCAGAGAGAAATTTATTAAGCATTCATAATTATGGTAATTAGCAGGCGTACATATACATATACACACGTATACAGGAGAAGTATTTCTAAACTCACGATTATTGTTTCGAGGTATGTCCTAGTTGATTTTGGATTCAGTTCTGGCCAAATCTAAGGCAGAAACCACAACAGCAGCGATCTTGCTTCGATTGTAACTAATGTAATCAAAAGAATTATATACATATATATTATTGAACTCTATATACACAACATAGTATGTACAAGTGGACTCAAACAGATTCTGAAACCGAAGAACATGTAACGCGCTGAGGAATGAAAAATATATGAAAAACAAGTATTATGCCAGCTTGGCAGTTTTATTTCGGTTTTAGCCAGGGGTTCCATCAGAAGGTCACAATTTGCAACAAGGATTAAGGATCCCACTGAAGGTTGTTGGAAGCACGTAAGTAGAGCCACAAGTCACAAGGCATAGTAAAAGCAAACATGGTTATTTTTTTTAAAAATAAAAAAATCCTTAATTTACTTTCAAACTATAAGGAGAAATAGGTGCCTAATGAAATAAGCCTTTTGGGTAAAACATACTTTGGATCACTGCTGTTTTAAAGACTTTTTGTATTTCTTGCTAATTGTCTAGTAAAGTTTTTGGACCAACACCTTTAGTGTTAAAGTCGGATGCCTATATCCCATTAGCAGCTGTCAAATATTTGACATACTATTCAGTTAATTCGCGCAGGTTAACAGTAATTATCATTACACTTTACAAATCATGTTAAAAAAATTATTCGATCCGACGACTATATCCTTTTTGTTCCAACTTATCCAAAATAGGAGTCCATTCCCGCCACCTAATGAATATATATTCTTGCGAGTTGATATAACCATGTCCGTCCTTTTTATACTGATCCCGAGTCCAGTAAAATAGCTAGAGACTTGAAACTTTTGTTTATTGCTTTCACATTTGTAATTATAATTCTAGTTAATTATATAAAAGGTCTAACTGTTTTAATTACACACATTTGACTTATCCACTACAAAACTAAGTAAAAATAGAGTTTGGTTTGGATAATAACGTAATACCCAAATGCCACATAGCACCTTTCACCATAGATTTGCGGGTTGGTCTACAAGGTTTTTTCGTGCAAAAAATTCTCAATCAACAATAAATATTCCTAATCAATAATTCTAAGCGATATTTTTTTCGTGCAAATATATTAACAAGTCGGCTATCTTCATTTCCGTTAGGCAGGGGCGTAGTATGAAGGAAACTAATGGTTTACAAGAATAACACTTCACCAGGTGGCAATTGCTTTAAAGTTCCCAAAACTTTTATCAAGGCATTAAATAAAAAAAAACCGGAATACTATTTATGATAAAGTTTGATAGAAATACAAAATCGTTTAAAAATCTGTCTCACACAGTTTCCAATCTGTAAAAGAAAAATTACTAACCGTTTCGGTGGAAAGTGCTTTTTGGAATATGGGGGGAACTAGGATCTGGGTTTTTTCCTGCTTCTTATCTGTTCCATGGCTTGAAGGAAGAACTTCATTGTGCCCACATAGTCCCTGTTTGTAGAATTGGTATCCATGACTATTAAACTGATTAAATATAATCCTTGGGGAAACGGCGGAAGGAGATTGGTTTCCAGATATCCGTCACGGGCGGTAAGCTGTCCCTGCAGTTAGAAAATGAATGACATTTACTGATGCAAAAGTTAAAGCTGCAGAAATACCGAAAAAGGGCAAGAGTGGTTCACATTCGTAAATCGCTTGAAGAGCTTCCAGGTAATGACGCCATAGGGGATAAAGTTCCTTCTTTCGATCACGTCGCATATTTTGACGGTCACGTCGACTAGAAATGGTTTGTACTGATTACTGTAGTCCTTCATAAAAACCTGTATTCGAATCTAAAAAATAAAAGTTATCACATCTGATCTTTTCAAGATCATTAGTATTTCCTTACAACTGGTTTTATCAAAGGTACAATCATAAAGCAATCCATGTTCACCACTGCCATATTCCAATTAATTGCCTTCACATGGCAAGAAACGTTAGTCACCCGCGACTGATTTACCTGACACTCCATTTTGTTTAGCTTATAAATCAACTGGGTCTCCGTCTATCGTAGTAAAAAATATATGTTTACTTTCATCCTAAACTGAGTTTCATATCTCACCATTTGCCAAATAAAGAAACTGCTCAGGAGCACCAGCCACGCCGATAACATTTTTGTAACTGACTACAACCGTATTTAAATATAATTATTTTACATTCATTCAACTGATTTATAATATGTTTTTAATGGTAAGCCAAAGATCATTATTGTGGCATTAAGTCAATACTATTTAATTTAAAATATTTATGGAATGGAAGATTGATTTAAGAGAATGGAAGATTGGTCCGACAAGCCTAAAATAATAACGGATAAGAAATTTTTATGATTCAACAAATAAAGGAAAAACGACGTCAAACTAAATTGGTGGAAAAAATATTATTTGTTAAGTGTTGCCAAAACGTCGGATAGGCGAAAAGGTCGGCAGATAACCGTAGAGAATATATACACGAGTAGTACACACAAACAAACAAGGGGAAAACGTGGGCTGATACCATATTTTTAATAAGCATTCATTATTATACAGTTAAAAAGCTTTTTGCAATCGCCTTCTTAATTACAAAGTTTAATTGAGTCGAAAACTGTTTATTGGTTTCATTGGTTTTATTGGTTTAATGAGTTTTTTGAACTTTTATCCATTAGCAAACTGAGTAAAAAAAGGTTCGGATAATACCGTAATGACCGAATCCTTCAGAGCATCTTCCACCATACATTTTCGGGATGATCCATGCAAGCAAAAATTTCTCTATCTAAAATAAGTGTTTCCAATAGCGAAATTTTTTCATGGAAACCTAAATTGATGGCGGAAAATAAATTAGTACTTAGGCGTTTGAACAATATAATTTAACGTTCTGATAAATTTGATCAAGGCATTAAATAAAAGAAAAGCAAGAAAAAGTACTTTTAAATCTTTTAAAAAAAGTACTAACCGTTCGTGCTTTTGGGGAGTATGGATCTGGAACTAGGATCTGGGTTTCTTCTTCCTTTTTATCTGTTCCATTACTTGAAGGAAGAACTTCATAGTGCCCACATAGTCCTTGTTTGTAGAATTGGTATCCATGAATACTAAACTGATTAAGTATAATCCTTGGGGAAACGGCGGAAGAAGACTGGTTTCCAGATATCCGTCACGGGCGGTAAGCTGGCCCTGCAGTTAGAAAACGAATGGCCTTTACTGAAGCAGAAATTGAAACTGCAGTAATACCGAAAAAGGACAAGAATGGTTAGCATTCGTGAATCGCTTGAAAAGTTTCCAGATAATGACGCCATAGGGGATAAAGTTCCTTCTTTCGATCACTTCGCATAAATTGACGGTCACATCGACTAGAAATGGCTTGTACTGATTACTGTAGTCCTTCCAAAAAACCTGTACTCGAACCTGAAATATAAAGGAGATCACACTCGATCCTTTCAAGATATTAATATTTCCTTACAACTGGTTTTATCAAAGGTACAATCATGAAGCAATCCATGTTCACCACCGCCATATTCCAATTAATTGCCTTCACATGGCAAGAAACGTTAGATACCCGCGACTGATTTACCTGGCATTCTATTTTGTTAAGCCTATAAATCAACTGGGTCTCCGTCTATCGTGGTAAAAAAAATGATGTTTAGTTTCATCCTAAACTGAGTTTAATATCTCACCATTTGCCAAATGAAGCAACTGCTCAGAAGAACCAGCCACGTAAATAACATTTTTCAAACTGACTTCAATCGTATTAAAATACGATTATTTTATAATCATTAAATCATTTATAATATGCTTTTAATAGTAAGCCAAGGAAAATTATTGTGACATTAGGTAAGTATTGATCGTATGACGATAATGGAAGATTGTTCCCACTAGCCTAAAATTACAACGGTTAAGAAATTTTAATGATTTAACACAAAAACGTAAAACGATGTTAAGCTAAGACGGTCCAAAACTTCTTTTAAGAGTAATTGGATTGGTTTTTTAAACTAGATCTGAGTTCTTAAAAAAAAAACATATAGGAAAATTTTTAATGATCGAACTACTAGCCAATCTACTTTCATTAGTAGCTTTAAATAAAATTTGTCATGTCAAAGTAAGCTATTCTATTAATTTTATAATTATTAACTGTTTTCAGCCGATTTTAGGGAATACTTTTAATAACCCCACCCATAAATTAATAGAAACAACGTTCATTTTTTTGGAAATTAGAAATTACAATTTATTTCATACAATGTCTGTTGTTGTTGATGGTTGTTTGCTTGCTTTATATGTTGTTTCGAATACACAGTTACAGTTTCTAAAACCTCGCCATCGATTACATGTATAGGATTAGTGATGTCGGGTGCTTGCAAATTAAACAAATAACAACAATAATTCGTGTATATTTTCAGTTGTAGGGATCGGGAGGCGGCTGCAGGCGGAGCGACCGCAGTTCCGGGAAGATGGCACCACCGCACGGGTTGAGCTCCTCCGCATTCTCAGCATCATGAATGCATCGGCGTCCAACGGGCGATGTAGTGTGCTAGCTTCTCGGGATGGGATCGTTCCGCTTCTCTGGCCTCCCTTCAAATTGATGTTATTTGTCTAATGCCACTATACATGACGATTTGGTGTTGTTTGGTTCGGTTTTGATTGCTGCTTATAACTTCTAATTTGTTGGGATTTTACAATTTTTTTTGTTGGATTTTTCTCGTAGATTTCGTGTTGCAAATGCTGTTGTTGGTATGAGTTTCATTTGCAACATTCATATACGCTTTTTTGGGTTCTGCTTGCACGACTTTTGTTGTTGGTATTCTTGTTTGTTGGTTTATAATTTTGCTACTACAATTTTTTGTTAATATTTTATACATAATATATATTTTATATATATAATATTTTCTTTACTATACAATAACAGCGGAAAAATTGTGTGTTGTGGTTGTTGTTTTGCAGTATTTCGTTTTTTCAGTTTGTCGCATTACATTCATACACTTGATTTGTATTGTTTCGTACGTTTTATAACAACTTTTTCATGTTAATATGTATAATTGTTTATGATTTCTTGTTCTTGTTTAAATATATATATTTTGTATATATTATGTATATCAATACCGTAATTGTTTGTATTACCATCTTTTTCTTATCACAAAAAATCATAATTATATATATAATTTATTATTATTAATTTTTAATATATTATTCTTAGAATTGAACAATAATTAAAAATAAACATAGGACTTAGTTACATTTGTATGTGTGTGTGTTGGTTTTGTGTGTGTGTGTTTTGAATGATTGCATGTAGTTGGTTTCCGCAGTTGACGTTAAAGTATTGCCAAGCGTTTGCTTCCCGCCTAACCGTCCAGCAACAACTCTCTAGCGACCGCTGTAGTGAGCTTCCATCCCGCCCTCCGAATTCGGGGGGCGGGGCGCGCCCAAACAGTGGGCAGCTAACGAGAGCGGTACGTTGCCGCGCCGGATGGTAGCGGGCGGAAGCATTAATGGTGTTGTTGCTGCTTGTTTGTTTTTGTTGTTGTCTGGCCCTTTCGCTAAATTTGTTGATCTGATTTTGTTGCAGCCGCGTCAGGCTCAATGCAAATGTACAAAGTTTCTTCTGACAATTGTTGGTTGTTGATTTCTTTACAATTTTTTCTTTTTGTTTAACGAACTTTACATATACACTAAACATTATTTAATAATAATAATGGAAAAAACAAATAACAAAGAGCACACAAAATTGTGGAGCGCAAAAATAATAAGTAAAAGAGAAGGATTTCTTGATATAGCAAAAATCATAATTATTACAACTTTATGAACTTAACGGCAAATTGTTTTCCTCGTGTTTAAGACTGATTTTGAACGGAAAATAACTAAGCTAAACCACGCGCCAGCAAATCGAGGTGAACTGAGCAACAGGTGCAATTAGCGGCCAACACTGAGCAGTGCATGGCGGAAATCCTGCAGCCCGGCAGGGCTGGTTTTTGTTGTTCTTGCTATGTACAAACGGCCCCTCGTCGGTTGCCCCGCACATGCACTGCTATGGTCAATGTTGCATGTTGGAAGTTGCATTTTGCTCGCTGGTTGGACACAATTTTACCTGCTTCTGTTGAAGCTGCTGCTGTTGATGTTGTTGTGGCTGTTGTTGATTGCTGGGCGCCGTTTGTCTATTTGTTGTTGTGTGTTTGCATTGATTGATTTATTTCGTGTACAGGTAAATGGCCACAATCAAGCCGTAGAGACCCAACACCTCGGCGAAGATGAGAATCAGGATCATGCCGACGAACAGTCTAGGCTGCTGTGCTGTGCCACGGACACCGGCGTCTCCCACGATGCCGATCGCAAAACCGGCTGCCAGACCAGAGAAGCCCACCGCCAAACCGGCTCCCAAGTGAATGAAGCCCCTATAGATCGGCATAGTTAGTAATTTGAATCGATCGGGATAAATAAAATGATATTAACCTGTATAGTGAGTACTTTGCGGGCTCTTCCAGCGCGCCGGCAATAAGCACAGCCACCACCAGGCCGTAAATGGCAATGATACCCGCCATGACCACAGGAATGATGGATTTCATGATCAGTTCAGGACGCATCACTGACATGGCAGCAATACCGGTACCAGACTTAGCAGTGCCATAAGCAGCGCCCAGAGCTAAGGAAGAGATTCGAATAGAGCATATTAATACGAATGTTTTAGTTTATTACTCCATCTATTTACTATACTAATACTTTCATATAAATAAATCGATAGAAACCCCATTTAAAAATATGCTCTCTTTTTGAAATAAAAACTACTTTAAATTTTATTCAAAACCGTTCAGAATTTAAGGTTAAATTACATATTACTATACGAGTTTTTACAGATATATATATATAGCAGTGTATGTGTAAACGATAACATCCGAATGTTAATTTTTTAGTGGAAATCTCGTTTCTAGGTTCAAATTTTTTAACCAGTTTTGGGAATTAGACTTGATAATTCTGGAAGTGTATAGGGTGTAAAGCTTAGTTAAAATGTTTTCTCTTCCTTTTCTTCCTCGAGATTTTCATTCCTAATTAAGTGAGAATATTAAAACTGTCATTCCATAACATTATGTAACCACTAATTTGCTTAACATTTTAAGCGATGGGCACCCAAATAAGTTTGGCTATCAATTGCTCCAACTCTGGCTGCGAGCGTAACAGTTAGCAGTCACATGATCGCCCATAACTGACGTTATTTGATGGAAAAACCCCCGAATTCCCCACCCGCAAAAGTGGCACTCATCGCTCAGAGTTGAGTTTCAGTTGGAGAGCAATACCAACTTGCTTCGCTCACATTCCAACGTCCCGCTCTCTCTCTCAAATCGGCGAGTTTTATTACTATTTCTCTTATAAAGTCGGGGCAAATTTTGATAAGCTAAAGTTTACACAACAGCTAACGAATGAGGGGGGCAGGTGGATCAGATCGGTGCCAATTGAGAAGGTAAACCCAGATTCTACATATTGTGTGTATTGATGGTACATTAATTGAAGTACAAAACCAGTTTTATATGACGGTCAACGGTTTGTTCGTGTGTGTGTACTATGTGAGATGACTGATAAATCGAATTAAATCGCACGCTCACACATATTCAATATGGGTGTATTCAAAGTTGACGGAGCGGGAGAGCAAATATCCCCCATCATGTGATTCCATGTTAATTACTTATTTTCCGCCCCAAGCCAAGATATGACTGATATTTAATCTACAGGAAGGGAAATGACTTTTGATTCCAATAAAGAGTGCCCTGAATCTTCTAAAATCAACATAACTTTGCTAAATGAATGCTGTCTACGTCACAGAACAGGAAAAGTGGTGGGAAATGGTAATGAAAAAAACCAGAACGAACTTGAATAAGCCATTTCTTATAGCAACAAGAGATATCCACGCGTCTAGCATGAATACATAGATATCTATGAGGTCGAGGCTGTCGTCACAAGCGCACGCACACATTTCCACAAAAATCGAACTCTCCGAACCACAAGTACAGAAATAATGTAGTGCGTTTGTGGCCCGCATTTCTTGAAATGGCATTATTAAAGCGAAAATTCATTGAGAAACAAAATGAAAGCGAGTGACTTAGGCTATTGACCCAGTACTTTTTCCTCTGATCGTTACGCCATGTAATACCGAGCTGAGCAGAATATTAAAGCCAAGAGTTTTATTACCAGCGGGGATACACACTTTACCCTCGAGCCTATCTTACAAGAAAAAATGTGAATATGAATCATAATATATGATTATAAAGGTTCTTTTTATATTAAATCGCTTATTTTGTATCTGTTTAGGCTAAAATCATGCGTGCAGCTGGCAGGTGGGCCAGTCTGTATACACCACGACTGTAACTGTATTTCACTCTGGCATTGACACTTTTTCAGCTGTATTGCCGCCGCATTAAAATTCACAAATAATAACTGAAACAGCTCTAATGGCATTGACTTGTTTCGCCTTTTACCTGCTTCCTCTCCTGCTATACATTTTAAATATTTTGAACAGCCCCACACTTGAGTACATGGCATTTTTCAAGCGACAGACGGCATCGCAGACAATTCAGTGGGCGTTTAAATAACAAATAAAAAAAAAAACAGGGAATCGAGAATAAGAGGAAGATGCGGGAACGGAATAAGAATAAGAGTCAGCAACAACAGCAAATTCAAAGATAATTATAAAATGGGGGAGATAGCAAGAGCTGGCAAAACACAGCATCAAGCGAAAAAAAATATTCCAACAAAACAAAAACAAATTGAAGGCGTCACAGTTGAGTGAGCAGAAAACAGAAAAAATGTGAGAGAGATCGATGAAAATAGAGGCGAACTTTTGTTAAACCAAGTTAAAGTCAGACATTCCTTTCTTAATAGAAAAACTACTGCTGCAGGTGTCTGTTTGTTTTGTTTTATCTTTCATGCATGTGGCGAGAATTCTGCCGTGGAAACAAGAAGATAAGATAAGCCCCCCCAGTTGATTTTAGGCGGTACCTTCGATATAGGGTGCTCAATGTTGGAATCTTCCCATTCATTGATTAAAATGACTTACAAAGATATGACGTGGGCCTACTAACACAGCATTACAGCAATTATTTTTTGTTGTGTGTTTGTGCCAAAGTATTACAAGAATGGGGACTTCGGGGTGAACGGTTTTCCAATATGATGGAAAATCGTCACGTGCGACTACAAATTATGCGTTAACAATACCAGTTTTACATAATTTACTAGGCTACTACTATTCTCTGTATATATCTACTACTATTCTCGCTACTGCGATTGCGCAGGCAAATGTAGGAGTGTGTGTTTGAGTATGCTGGAGCTGAATGTCATTGTGTGAAGGATTTTCGTGGCACTTGGGTATTTTTAGCCCAGTGCGAGACAAGGATGTGGGCCATGCCAGCATTCCAAGTGGCAAATGCTGATAAGCCGCAGCTCAAAGCAACGCCCATTGTTCGCAGTGCAGTGAGTCAGTATATCCGTCAGCAAAAAAAAATAACTGCAGTTGCCAGCTGAAAGAGACTGGGAGAGCGGGAGCAAAACTCTCATTCTCTAGCACTCATGTGATCGTCAACACGGCGTTGCCAGATCAGCCGCACTGTTACTGTTGATAAAATAAAAGTTAAGCTGAAAATTGATTTATGCTGTTGACTCAAATTGCATAAGCAGTCTTGAATTCAGATAGCTTTGTAGACGTTGAGCAATGATAATGGGACAGGTAAACACGGCAGGAAAGCATTCTTCTTCACTATCAAAACAGAGTATCGGGGATGGGGGTGTCAGGCGCAAATCACAAGACAAGTTACAAGGCATGACATAAGGATTGCGTCACATATGGGTTGAAATTAGTTAAAGGCAGTGTGGGCAGCCCAAAGTTGGCTCTCCTAAAAGGCAGCGCGTGCTTTTTTCTCATATAACGCCTTAAGTTCGTCTTGCGACACTTGCTTGGGTACTTGCTATCTTATCTGGACCAAGTCAATTGGTAAATAAGCCACTTATCAGCGGGGTAACTGCAAATGAGTGGCTATGATAAGCCACTGGAAACGATCGTCAGCTAGCCATGTGATGAGGCCTGGAAGTCGATTGATCATGCAGTTTACGATTTGGGCATGTGATTACCGATACCAAACAAAAGATCTTAAAGTTGGCCATAATTTGTCAGCTAATTTGGAAAAGTGTTATTTGGGCATGTGATTACGAAGCCGAACCAAAAACTTCTGAGCTTATTCTGTTTATAAATTGATCGAAAAGTAAATGTGATCACAATTGGGCTGGTGAAGTTATAAAGCCATGATTACAATTTTTTTTTTTTTAGGGTTTCTGGTCTATTATGCCAGCCAATAAAAAAAAATGAAGAAAAAAACTTTAATATGGCAACACTTCCCATCGGTCTTGTGACTGTTGTGAGAAAGGGAAAGCGCGTTTCATAAACTTCACCAAAAACGGTTACTGTTCTCGCACTCATACAAACGTGCTCAATGCCACCAAGTGCGAGAGTGCGCATCGCTCAAGAGAGCGATTGTGCTCTCGCTCTGCTAGCATGTGTGTGTGTATGAGTAATGCCGTTTTTAGCATGCTGAAAAGGCGAAATTTCTTTTTTAAACTTTGCCACTGCGAAAGAAGTGCAATTAAAATTGCTAAGTCTACAAATTGTAAATAAAGGGGAACATTTTCTGTTTCAATTGCCAGTTTGGCAGCCTGAAGCACGTTACATTTTCTGCTGGTCACGCGCACACACATGAGCAAATCGCTCCCTTTGTGTGGGTCAGGCCGTGTCCCTACACAATTTGTCTACACTTGCCGCTATTTCGCGTTACTACCACCTACAAAGACCCGCACACCCACACGGTGGCTCCACGCTCTTCTTCTTCCTATTCTACCATTTACGCCACACAAAATGTTCGATTTTTCACGTCATGGGCATGGCATCCTTAATTCTACTCCAGAAGGTCCGGTCCTGGTTCCGATTGAAACTTACCCGAGAAGATGATGGCGGAGGCGGCGCCCATAACTCCGAAGAAGGGGCCATAGATGGGGTTGTCGCTGCTCACTTCAGAAGACATTTTGCTTTGTTTGTTGTGTGTTTTTTGGGCTACAAATGATCGAAAAAATCGAGATTTTAATTCGTTTCGCTGCTGCTGCTTATTGCACGGTAGTTTTTGTTCGGCGTTTTGCACGGCTGAATGTTATGCGCGTTTGTTATATGTATGCGTTGCTTCAAGTCGAAACAAAGTATTTTTATTATATGTACAATATATGTGCTATATACGTGGGGTATTTTACGCTGCTCTGCGACCAATGCTGCTGCGACGACGAACGAATTGCGAGTGGCCGCTCATGAAATATACTTAAATATACTTTTTAATCGTGAGCGAGCAAAGCGAGCGAGATACCAAAACTGGGAGAGAGCCATGAGAGGGCGAGCGAGAAGCGACTACTCGTCGGATTATTGGCTTTGCTTTGGCTTGTGTGTGGTGTGTCATGTGCTTGTGTGCGTGAGAGAGTGAGCGCATGACAGAAGGTGCTCACATGAACGGAAAGTAAGTCCAATTGGCAATGACAACGTTCTGGAAAATTACACACGCACACACAATCACATGGGAGTTGATGAAAACTTCGTTTTCTTGGTTTTGCTAAAGTTAAACTTTGAGATTTTCACATGTTTTTAAGCAGCCTTATGCCTGTTCTCTTTCTTTGCCCTCCGCGCAAAACGCACACCCACAAGCGATCTCATTGCCAGTGGCTCCGAGCTGCTTGCCTGTGTGTGTGTATGTCGTGGCAAAAAATATTGTACAATTTTTTCCTCGCTGATTGAACTTAGTTGAAACTAAAGTTGTCGCATTAGCAGCATGTTTTATCGCAGCCCAGGAATTTTTTTTGCAGCGCGAGCCTCACATGACCGCCAATCTTTTGACTTAGCTTTTCACTCACGTGATTAGAAATCTAATTTAAAGCAATTCGCTGCTCTGTGGCTGGCCTCTTCGGGTTACTGCTGGCTGCTGCTTAAAAGCGCGGATCGGATACTGAACACTAACGAGTTATTCTGCTTTGCTTTTATAAACTTTAGTCACGGGGGCGGATTGCTTGCGATATTTCGGGCCAGAGTTGCCAGATAGCAAAAGTCAAAACTTTGAAAAGAGCTACCATTAGACGAAAATACAATTAAAAAATACCACTTTCTCACATTTAAAAATAACACAATAATAAAATTTGTTTACTTTTATAATACAATCAATTTAATTATGTTTTTCTTAAAAGAATTGCATTAAAACAGGCGGTAAACTCTTTTTTTCTTATTGCAACAAAATTTGGTAAATTTTCAATGGCGAATTGAGCGAAGATTTATCACTTTACTAAAATAAAAAAGAACATGGCCGGTCCGATATGGACCGTCCCTTATTTTTTTATATAGTATAGTATATATCCTAGTTATAATAATGTGGGCCAATAATTTTTGTTTACTGCCATAGAATAATATATTTTTAATAATTCCAATATCCTAGTGCCATAACAACGACTTGTATTTATTGTTATGACTATTTTTAAAGATATAATTAAACTAACTAAACACAAGTTAATATAAGATAGTCGGTAGATTTTCACTGCGCTGTCTATCCTAGTATTTATCCAGCGCCCGTGAAAGCAGCGAGTTCATGTTAGTCAGCAGCATGCGGGGATCCTCCGCGAGACCGGCGCCCACCATGGCGTTTGCGAAGAGCTGCTTGGCGATAAGTTGGGCAAGATCCTTTTCGGTCTCGCGGAGCTTGTTTAGTTTCTTGATGATGGGGTGTCTTTAATAGAGTGGAGTAGGTTATTAAAGCAATAAATGCAGGAAAACTAGCACTACTTACTTCGGGTTGATCTCCAGCTCTGGCTGAAGCAAGGCAAATCGATTCTCTTCCGGGACCTGGTGACTCTGGGTGCGGATGAAATGACGAGCGGCAGCCATCTCCTCTACTGTGATGACACAAGGGTGGCTATCCAGGCGGGAAGTAGCTTTTACCTTAATCACCTGGCCCTTTAGCTCCTCCTCGAGCCAGGGAATCAAGTTATCCAGCTCTGAGCGCAGCAAGCTGCCCTCGCCAAAGTCCGTGGCTGTCGACGACTCCTTGGACTCTTCGCGCATTTCCTTCTCCACGGAGACGAGCTTCTTGCTCTTGTACTTACCCAGCTGCATGAGTACCAGCTCATCGTAGGGCTCATAACAGAAGAGCACCAGCTCGTTTCGCTTTTTGAGGCTTTCGTAGTAGGGTGAGGATTCGGCAAGAACGCGGTTGGGCGCCGCCAAGTAGTAGATATTCTTTTGATCAGCAGGAACGGTGTTGTAGTACTCGTCCAATGACATGCGGCCACTGGCGGTCTCCGACTTGGAGGACTCAAACCGCAGTAGCTTTGCAATTTCTTCCTTCTCGGACGGATCGTTGGAAGTTACGATGCCCTCTTTCAGGAAGAGCCCGTAATCACGGTAGAAGGACTCGTACTCCTCCGGCTGCTTTTTGGATCGCTCCTGCAGGAAACGGATGACGCGGGTGGATATAACACTAGACAGTTTCCGGATCAGGCTGCTGTTTTGGAGTAGCTCGCGGCTTAAGTTAAGAGGAATGTCCTCCGAGTCAACGACGCCCTTCACGAAGCGCAGCCACTTGGGCAGGAGATGCTCGGTCTTGGACTGGATCAGCACCTTTCTCGTGTACAGGGCAACGCCGGTGTTTCCGTCCCGGGACATTTCGAATAAGCCCGGCTTTCCCTCTGGGAAATATAGCAGTGCGTGGATGCTCAAAGGCACGTCGGCGTTATAGTGCAAAGTAAAGCGTGGAACATCAAAGCTGTTGCTAATAAAGCGGTAGAAGTCGGTGTGCTGCTCCTTGCTGATGCTCTGGGGCTCAAGCAGCCACAAGGGCTTGATCTCGTTAGCCTGCTTTCCGTTCAGCAAGATGGGCGAGCCCACGAAGTTGCTGTACTTCTTTATTACGGCCTGTATCCTCTCCTCGTCCGCGTACTCTCTGCAGTCGGTCTTCAGATGGAGCACGATACGTGTGCCTAGCTCAACGTCCGGGACCTCTTCGATCTCATATGAGCCGCTGCCATCCGTGGACCACCGCAAACCGGGAGCATCGGGCGCAGCTGCCCTTGTGAACACCTCCACCTTGTTGGCCACGATGAAGGACGAGTAGAAGCCCACGCCAAACTGGCCGATAATGTTGGAGGAAGCCTCAGAGGTGGCTGCCTGCTGGTTGCCTTTCATCTGCTCCAAAAACTGCTTCGAACCACTGCGTGCGATGGTGCCCAGGTTGCTCACCAGTTCTTCCTTGGTCATGCCGATGCCGGTGTCTTGGATGATCAGCTGCATCTGTGGTTTGTCGGTGGTGATGCGAATCTCTAGCGGCCGGTCCTTGCCAGCCAGATTCTCGCCCCCGGCGCTCAGCGAGGTGTACCGGAATTTCTCCAGCGCATCGCTGGCATTAGAGATGAGCTCCCGCACAAAGACTTCATGATCAGAGTACAGGGAGCGGGCCACAATGTCTAGTAACTGCCGTGTCTCAGCCTGGAACTCGTGTTTGTCCACCACTGAATCCGACGCCTTCTTGGTCTCCGTGGAGAAGCGACGGAGCGAGACGGCTGCAAATGGATCGATGGATGTTATGCAAGCTTTAGATTCCCTTCGCTCGAACATAAGGGCTAGTTTAGAGACTTACCGGCCGGCGATCGCTGAGATCCCAGGGCGAGATTAAGAGCTGCTGGGGCGGATCGGTTGCTCTGCCTCAGAACTCGGGCAAAGCGGCTGAAGCGGCACGCCTGACCCAGCACTCCCATCGCTCGTACTGACATCTTGTTGATACTTGTTACTTTTGTTTTGGCCAACTAAATTGTTATCCAACTACGAAGTTTTGTCCAGCGCACATGTGCCAAAAAAAATCGATAACAAGTATTCGATAACGCTTAAAATTTAGATCGATTTAGTGTTACTTGTTGTACTGGCAAGATAATTAAAAATAAACGATGTTAAATTGCAAAGCCCACGTAACTTAATAATCTGCTAAAAAACTTAAGTTTCAACTATTTCCCGATCCCTAATTATTACAGTTTTTCCTTAACTAAAAAATTGCTACATATTTATTTTGTCAGAACGATATTAATAAACAAAGACCCGCGAAACAGCTGTGTATTAATCGAAAAATATCGATATGTCGCATAAATATCGATACTAGTGCTACGGTCCACTGTTGAGTTGACAACCCTACTCGCAGAATGCAACTCTGCTTAAGCGTCGCGTTGTAATTTTTGTTGAGTTTTTAAACTAATTTTAATTTGCATTTGCGTGTCTTACTAATTAGAAAACCATGTGTTAAGTGTTCCGTTCCCAAGCCGCGAAACCAGACGAACAGATCCGATTATGAGCACCTCCACGATCGACAGTGTGCGGGTGTTGCTGCAGTCGCTGCCAGCTGCCGTCGCAAACAGCGGCGCTCAGCCTGGCGATCAGCAGACGCCGGCAAAGATTGCGCCTTTAGTTACGCCACTGCGCGCCAGGAATCCGAGCCAGCTTCAGATGCTACCCGAGAAAGTCGAGGAGAAGCCAGTGTCGCCTCCGGAAGAGTTCTGGAGGGATCTGCAGCAGTTCCACGAGCGACGGGGGTGAGTCCTGTCGCTGCTTCCCCGCCTTTGGAGATCGAATAACAAACTTCTCCCTCTGCCCAAATAGCACTCCATTGACGCAGCCGGCCAAGATTAGTGGCAAACAGGTCGACCTGTACAAGCTGTATAACGAGGTCACCGAACGCGGCGGCTTCAACAAGGTCAACATGCGGGACGAGTGGGACGAGGTGTACAGCGCTATGGAGACGCTGCGAGAGCGCTGTGTGAACGGCACGGCGGGCATCAAGCACATCTACCGACGCTATCTGGACAAGTACGAGCGCCTAAACTTCTTTGGCGAAGATCCAGACAAGATGGAGGCACTGGAGGCGGCCATCGAGAACGCGGAAATGGGCGGAGGACGGTCGCGTTCGCGGTTTTTGGCCGGTGCCGGCGGTGGCCTAGGCAGCATCTTTGGATCGGCGCACTCCACGCTGCCGGCGGTGCCGATGGCCTATAACCAGCGCCAGCACTCGGTTAACGTGGAGCGGCGGCGACAGTATAAGATGTCCACGCAGCTGCACCGACACAGCAGCTATGAAAAGCTTCTATTGTCCCTGTTGTCCCCGTTGCCCAATGAGCAGGACTTCGCCATTAATGTGTGCACCCTGATGGCCAACGAGGTGCGCCACACGCTGCAGCTATCCGAGTGCCCCAAACTGTTGGATGTGCTTTTGGCCCACCTGGGCGTCTACGCCGACTTCACCATGCGTCAGCTGTTTCAACACAGTTACGCCGAGGTGCGACACCATTCGCAGCTCAGCTTCTGGCGCGACCTGCTGCACGACAGGCCGCAGATCTTGGAGCTCTATACAGATGAGCAGGCCTGGCTGGACAACGGTCTGATAAGCAAGGAGGACAGGGAGAACTCTGCTGCTCGCAGTGAACTGCTGGCGGCCTGCGACGAGTTAGACTTCCTCAACCTACGCCGCAGCAACGGGACTGATGAGCGCATGGGACAGCGCGTGCTGCAGATTGTACAGCTAATGCGCGCACTTAGTTTCCACCAGGAGAACCACACTCTCCTGGCCTCCAACCGCACATTGTGGCGATATCTGGTAATGGGCGCAAATGTGCGATGGAGTAAGTACAATATCTATTGAAACAAACTATTTAACTACTGAATGGCTGCTTTACTGCCTACTTTAAATCACTTTAGATTCTAAACTTTCGAACTTAAGAGTTTCATGATGTGTGTACTTTGTGTTTAAAAAAGACTAGTAATTTTAGTGTTTTTTTTTTCTAACTTTTAAAATGTTTCAATAAAGTTTGCTAGAGAGTTCTTAGAATACAATAGTAGCGGTCTATAATACTTTTAACAACAAATTTTATGGATTGATTTTGAAAATAAATCATATTACAATATTAATATTTATATTATTATACCCGATGACTAAAATATGTTTTACTTTCACTAGGCAACATCCATATTCAGGCACTGGAGACGGCCGGCAACCTGGCTCATCATTTTGAACTGCTTGATCCCACCACAGACGAGCTTTCGCGGAATCTGCTGGCCACCCTCTGTGAGGGGGTCGACTCCAACGACCGGGCGGTGATCATTAGCTGCCTGGAGATACTATACAAACTATGCGGCAGGGAGGGCAATTCGCAACATATCAACCGTTGTCTTGGCTTGGACTTTTACCAGCGTGCCATGTTGCTTCTCTCGCTCACAGACGTAATGCTACTCATCTTTACCCTGGAGGCAGTATACGCGCTCAGTTCACTGGGCGCACGGCCCTGTTCGATGCTGATGCAGGTGCGTGGTCTAATGGACCAGCTGGTGGCCCTGATTACCGTGGAGGCACAGACATATGGTGCGGATGGTTGCATACTTATGCGGGTAGTGGAGGTTGTGCCTGGCAACATGATCGCCTCGTTGGCTCAGAACATGCCCGCTATGCAGGCTCCCGTGGCGGCCGCTTCCATCACGACACTTCCTTCATCCCTTCAGGTGTCTGTGAAGCCACCAGCAGTTTTGCCTACACCCACGCCCGCCCAGACTCAGGTGCTCCTGCCCCAGGGAGAACAGCAGACTTTGGTTGCGGTTCCAATTCCCGGTGTACCAGTGCCCAGTCTGCCGCAAGTTCATGTGCCCGTACCCAGTCTGCCGCAGGTTCAATTGCCACCGATCGCCGCCACCGTCACCCTTCCCACTCTGCCCTCCGTCTCCCAAAGTTTCACCCACGAGGACGAACAGTACGCCCTGGCCTGGTTGGGAGCTACCTACGAACGGGCGGGAATCGGCAACGACCTACGAGTGGAGCAGGCGGAGCTGTACAGGATCTATCTTTCGCATTGCCAAAAAGTAGGCAAGCTTTCGGTGGTTAATCACATGCAGTTTCCGCGTCTGGTTCGGCTCATATTCAACCAAACGGTGGGACCGGTGATTGTACGACAGCTTGACGGCACGGAGCTGCCCGGGACTTACTATGTAGGCATTCGGATGCGAGCCCAGCCTTTGGCCATGCAACAGAGGACCGCCCCCAGCATTGTTGCAGTCAAAAAGGAGACTCCCATATTGCCCAAGCCGCCGCAAAGTGATCCTGCTCCGTCGGAGGTGGCGACTGAGGAAACGGCTTCGTCTTCTGTCACACCACCCCCCAGCTCTTCGCTGATCAAAAGTCTGCTGGCCAACAAGGTCACTGAGCGCCAGCAAAAGCAAAAGGCCCAGGCACAAACGCCGCAGCCGCCAGCCCTAGTGGCCACCACTGCGTCCTCCACAAATGCCACTCAACCCATTAAGGTTACCTCGACCGCTATTAGCGCCTTCGTAAACAACCCGCTGATGCAGCACACACCGGTAAAGGTTGGCCAGACCACCATTAAGCCGCTGCATCCCCAAATGGCCATCGAAAAGAAGCCAATCACGGACTCAGCCCCACCGCCGCTCGCCCCGTTGAGTGGGGCAAACGTGGTGACCAAGGACGCCAGCGGACGCACCCTCATCATCGCTGCAGCTGCTGCCAAACGCAAGTTAACCATCGACGATGAACAAAACAAGCGTCTTGCCATGGATGCAGCAGCCAGTGGCTCCAGCTCAAATTCGTCTTCAACCGGTAAGGAGGAGGCACAGGTGACTCCATCGAAGAACGCAGCCAACCTCTATGCGGATCTGGCGGCCTCTATTTTGGAGGATGAGGACATGGACGACGTTCCGCCGCTGGCCAAGTCAAGTCAGGAGCAACCCCAGCAGCAATCCCAACAACAGCAGCAGCTCCAACTAATTCCGGCCAAAGTGCAGCCGGCCCAGCGTCAGCTTGTCTTTCCCAATAGCAGTGTCGTTTCTCCAGCTCAGCCTCCGCAACTCAAACTGGCCACCACGGCCACCATCAAGACGGATCAGGGCCTGCAGACGGTGCCGGTGATCCTCCAGCCCAAGCCTACGATGGAAGCCACACCAGCGCCGCAAACACAGTATGTCCTGGCCACCAATCAGCAAGGACAAACATATCTGGTGGCCCAGCAAACGCAGCCGACGCTTCCACCGTCCACTCAGTCGGCTCCACCCACGCTGCTGGTCACGCAATCGCCGCAACAGCAGACCAAGACCATAATCATCCTGCAGCAGCCAGGAGGTGTCTCCGCTGCCAGTGTAGCAGGCACGCAGAAAATGATAATGACGACGGCGCAGGGCCAACAGGTCTTGGTCACCACGACCACAGCTCCTCAACTGGCCCAGCCACGCACTGCAACGCCACAGCAGCAGATCTTTATCGCCCCCCAGCGGCCGGTTCCGTCGTTGGGTGCTGGTCAAATGTCTCCCTCACTGCTGTCGCAGCTAAACCAGATTCCGGCCACCATAAAGCTGCACCAGCCGCAACCCCAGCCTCAGCTTGTCTCGCCGCAGTTGGCACCCCAACAACGCCTGGTGGCCACTAAGGCGGGCGCTTCACTGCCCATTCCTCAGCTCCAACAGCACCAGTCCATCATTCAGCAGCACATAATCTCTGGCCCGTCCCCACCAACTTCCGCGGCAGTCGTCCCGGTCGCAGGCGAAAAGAGGCAGGTGCTTCTAGGGGGAATCAAGGAGACCACGCTCATCACCCAGACCCCGGCCACGGCAGCTCCCCTGCAACAGAGCCAGCTCAATTCGCAGACGATCATCACCACACAGCCGCCCAGTAGCACAGCTACTGTTGGGGGCGTGCCTCTTCAGCAGCAGCAGCACATTCGAACCGTGTTGGAGCAGCAGCAGCAACATCATCCATCCATCATTCAGCAGAAGATCACCATGCCGGCAGTAAGTTGTCAGTGGGCGGCCTTTAGTTTTCATTTAGAAAACTGATCGAACTATTTTACTAAGCAGTTAGTTTTCTGGACATCTGTCCGTTTGTTTGAACTTCTGGAATTAACTTCATTAACTATAAAACCACTATTTTGGCTTTAAAATTGGTATAAAAGTGCCTTGTGTACGTTTTTTTTTTTAAACTTGTAGCATCGACTAACTTAAAATTTTTGACCATATTTCTAAACGTATCCCAATTATTTATCAGATTTCAGAAGCGGCCAAGCCGAAAGTTGTGGCCGTTTCTGCCCCGGGAACTCCGCCGAGCACAGCACTCCTTGCTAAGAAGCCGTTGCAGCCGCAGCCTGCTCAAGTGTCGAGCCTAAAGCCATCAGTCACCCAGGGTGTAGTGGTGACGCCGTCAGGAACATGTGAATCGGTGGATGGCGGCAAAGCAGTTGTAGCATCCGCCAGTGAATCCAAGCCAGTTGAGCACCAGGTGGTAGCCCAGACGTCAGTAGCATCATCTGTGGTAACCACCGCTCCCAGCAGCAGTGCTTTGGTGGTCAGTCAAAGCGTCTACGCTGCACCTGCTCCTAATGGCAGTCCAACGCCATCCGCTGTGCCCGTGGACGCGAACTGGCTGTTCATCTGCGACTGGCGCAACTGTCCGCGGAGGAAGTTCAAGTCTCTCAACGAGCTCAAGTACCATGTGTGCAATGTCCACTGTCCGGATCACCTGGACTCGGACGCCGATATTTACTGTCAATGGGGCAGTGGCCCTAACTTCTGCGACAATAGGGCGCGCAAACGTTACTCTCTAATGACGCATCTGATTGACCGCCATCTGACCACGGAGAACCTGCGCGCCAGTGTGCAACGACGCTTGGCCACCGGCATTCACAATGTGGCGCCCACGCAGCCTTCCGTGACCATAGTGCGCAACGAGGGCCACGCCCAACGACAGGCGGGAAGTTCTTCTGGCCCATCCTCGGGTCCTGCTCCAGCGGGACCAGTTGTGGGCAGCGCCGCGATGCAAGCCATGAACCGGCATACGACCGATTACACAAACTCTAAGGAGCTGCTCGACGAAAACGAGGGTCCCGTCACCAAGAGCATACGACTGACGGCGGCACTCATTATACGCAACTTGGTAACCTACTCGTCTACGGCCAAGCGAACCCTGAAGCGGTATGAGCCTCACCTGGCTAATGTGGCCTTAAGTAATGTGGAGGCCAGTGGAGTGCTTTCCCACATCATGTACGAACTGAGCCAGTAGCCAATACAAGCTGCTGCCGCTGACCATCAAAACTAATTATTAAACTGACCTGTAATAACGACACTATTAAATGTGAAAAACAAACCATACCTTATGTGTCTTAATAATGTTTTTAGCATTCCATGTCAATATGAAAGAAATGCTAAGTTCGGAAATTTTTGTCCAATCGTGTCTATAGCAGCTAATAGTTCGTGTGAACGTATCTGACAGATAGCCTAGATTGCTTTTAAAATTATAAGACACTTGATGAGTATTTTAGTTTAATGTATTTCATTATTCTCAGTGAAGCATAACTGTTCTTAGCTTTAGAACTACGTTTTTAGTTGATAAAAATATATGTTTAAAATGTGTTAAGGGTTTATTGAGTTGTTGAAGCCCTTTTTGAATGACCTAAATTCCTTATCGACTAACATATGGTAAGTAGGGGAAGAAACTGGTCATACGATAGCTTTTCCGTTTTTCAAGAAGTTGTCATCGTCCACGATCGTATAGCGGTTACTTCTGTATGTATCCAACTCGAAAATGTACTTCTTGCCACAGTCCTTCATCAGTTTGTGAATTACCGGCTTGATGTTTTCGATGCCAGCGAGCCTTGCCAGTTCATTGTAGTAAACAAACTAAAAGCACAGAGATTTAATAAAACAAGAAAGTGTGATGTAGTCTAATGACCCGACTATAAGATATCCGGTATTCTCTGGCTCTTAGAAAATAGGTTAACTTTCGCCAGAACATAACATATCTATTTTAGAAATGATTTTCCATTAAATTCTAACTTAAAGTCAAAGCTCTGTAATATACAACTTTTTTTAGTTGCAGGTAACAATTTAAAAGAGTATGAAAAATGTTTCAAAAGTAACACCAAACTGTGAAAGTACCGGATATAAAAAAGGTGTTTAACTACTCAATAATCACCTGTCGTTCGCCCATCTGATGTGCCTTCTTGTGGTTGTGCACACCGCAGCCCCATCGCTCGCCGATCTCCTGTTCCAACTCAGCGATCATCTCCTTCCGTGAGGGGAACTCCCGCTGGCCCGTGAAGAACTTCAGCGTGAAGCGCACCTGCATGTCAAAGATGTGGGTGGGTATCACGTTGAATGGCAGCCCCACAAAGGCCATAGTCGGGTGGTTGATGTTGATGCAGTGCTTCCAAAGAGGTTGGACAAAGTTGTCTATCACCTGGATTCCCACATCGGTGCTTAGACAGGGGAATGTGTACTTGTAGCCGGTGCAGAACATCACGTGGTCGAAGCTCTCCGTACTGCCGTCCGTGAATATGGCGCCATCGCGGGTGAAGCGCTGCACGTCCGGCTTCTGTGTGACATTGCCCATGAAAGCTGTGTTGGGGGGATTGGGCAGGTGGTGGCTCAGGAGAACCTGCTTGGCGGCGACGCGAACATGGTTCGTAATATCCATTCCGCTGGGACCAGCGCCAACGATCAAAACACTCTCGTCTGAAAGTAGATTGGGTCCGAGGACCACGGAAAGTGTAGTTATTAATTGTTTTCTTAAAAATCATTTAATTGGGATGGAGTATAAGTTAAGTCTTATCTAAGCTTTTTATACCCTTGCAGAGGGTATTATAATTTTGGTCAAAAGTGTGCAACGCAGTGAAGGAGACATCTCCGACCCTATAAAGTATATATATTCTTGATCAGGATCACCTCCTGAGTTGATATAGCCATGTCCGTCTGTCCGTCTGTCCGTCTGTCCGTCTGTCTGTCCGTCTGTCTGTCCGTCTGTCTGTTTCTACGCGAACTAGTCTCTCAGTTTTAAAGATATCGAATTGAAACTTTGCACACACCCTTCTTTCCTTTGCACGCAGTATATAAGTCGGAACGGCCGGGATCGGACGACTATATCCTATAGCTGTCATATAACTGAACGATCGGAAATGCCATAACTTTGGTGTTTGTAAAGTTAGGAAGTTGAGATTTTCTATAGGTTTTATTTTTGGCCAATCAATCTGACCTACCGAATTTCATGAGAATCGGCCGACTATATCTTATAGCTGCCATACAACTGAACGATCGGAAATGCCATAACTTTGGTGTTTGTAAAGTTAGGAAGTTGGGATTTTCTATGGGTTTTATTTTTAGCCAATCAATCCGACCTACCAAAGTTCATAAGGATCGGCCGACTATATCTTATAGCTGCCATATAACTGAACGATTGGAAATGCTATAACTTTGGTGTTTTAGGATGTTGGGATTTTTTATGAGTATTAAGAATGCATCATATGAATAATTTTGGAGAATATAATTTACAGAGTATTCTGCAAGGGTATATCAACTTCGGCTCCGCCCGAAGTTAGCTTTCCTTTCTTGTTTTTTCTTTAATTAATTATTTACTTTCCAAAAAAAAATTAAAAATCCGAAATAGCTCTTGAGACGTTATTCATCAAACTGCTAACACTTTTAAAAAAGGATTTTCTGATTAAAATATATTGTTTTTATTAAATAGCAAAATGTTATAATTATTTTGTGATCACGTTCTTTTGTTCTGATAAATGTACACTTATCTTTTAGATTCAGTTGTGTTAACTGCATTCTTTTGTGATCATATCCTTTCGTTCTTATATATATCTCTGCGGCCAACTTTACTACTAATAGTAATATTAAGCAGTAATTTAACAACTAACCAAGTTGTTCCCCAATATTTCTTGACAAAATCGTAGCGATAAGCTTTTAAGTTATCTAATTAAATCCTTTCCAAGTTTCGAACAATAATTTACTTATTAGAACTAGAATTTTGAGATATATCAATGTGCTTTCTATCACTAGGAAAGCACGTGCGAAGCGCTCTATAAATTAGCACAGAGCCACAACACTTGTTATTATTATGTCACTCGGCCCGTCAACAATATTATCTGCCGTCGAGGGTGCTCCAATTTTTTATAGGAATAACAGAAGTGGGACTCTGGCTAGACGGCGTTAGTTGCCAAGACTGATTTGGACAAACTGATTTAGGAGACAGGTACAGGGGCTCTTATCTCACCCTTGAACTTATCTGCCTTGCGGTACAGGTGGCTGTGCATCTTCTTGCCCTCGAACAGATCCAATCCCTCCACCTCCGGTATGTCCGGTTCCGTGTAGTGCCCATTACAGACATACACAAAGTCGTAGTAGACTGGGTCGCAGGTATCCGTGCTGTGGTCCCATACATAGACCTGTAAGTATTGGGAGGAAGGCCCCCGTAATATGGATCAGTATTTCATCAGTCATGTTGTAAAATCCGTATGTGCGGTGAAAACAAGTCGCAGTGATTGAGACACCAAAAAAACTGGTTCGAAAATACATATGTAAGTGACGTCGCTACCAACCTCCCAGTCGTCCAAGCGAGGACGCACTCTTATCACTTCATGCTGGAGCTTGATGTGGGGTTTCAGCTTAAAGTGTTCCGCATAAGATCGCAGAAATTCCAGCACCTGATTGGAGGTGATAAAGGATTCGTCGATGTCCTCGGGGTACGAGTAGTCCGGATAGCCCATGACCTCCTTGGGCAGATTGGTGCTGAAACCAAGACATAAATCTAGCCTCTTTCCGGATCATTAGTCATCATATCACTTACCGTAATCCCTCGTACATACTGCTCTGCACCTCGTCGTACTCGTCCTTGGGCATCTCCTCGGAGAAAATCCAGGTTCCCCCGATTTCGGTTCCACGCTCATAGGCCACTGCATCTAGGCCCGCTTCCAAGGAATTCTTCAAAGCGCATAGACCCGCTGTTCCAGCTGCAATTCAGATAAGGCCGATGTGATTTATGTGGCTCCGTAGAGAGGATTCGATCATTTACCTCCTATTACGCAAACGCGACGCTTCTGGTCCATTGAAGTTTTCAGCATTTTTGGATTCCCGATCGGTAACCGGAGCTTCGAAATAGCTTGTCTTTTAAGTAACACGTCGCTTCGCTTCTGCGACTGACCATCGACTAACTGAGGGGCTCGAGCTCCCACTGATATAGACTCGGAAAAGCGTAGCGATGTGCGCTACAGTCGAATGTAGTAGCTGTTCAAAAGCTCAGTGCAACTGATAAGTTGATTACCAGAAATGAGTATCAGGAATATATGGGGTACATGGGTAACTTTTAGTGGAAGGAGACTACGCAGGGCGGCTTCATCCAACGTCCCTGCCTTATCATTTGCTGTTGCCGGTGATGGTGACATAACAGCGACGCTGGCGTTGACATCGGTCGTTCTGTAAGCGTCTGGAATCAGCCGTCAACAAATCGGTATCACAGTGAAACCTCCATAACTTGAAGTCTTCACAAATACATATTAAATTAATATATTAATTTAATATTTGATATGTAAATCAAATATAGAGTTTTTTTTTTTAATATTTTGATATATTATATTAGAAGATTAATTAAATTACGTCCCTCACTCCTACCTCGTACCCCTTGTATGGTCTGTTAAATGACATTTTCAATATTATTTTAGGATCATTCCAAGACTGAAAAAAAGTTTTAATTAACCAATGGGACTTCCGCTGGTTTTAGTTTGAGAATTGTGACTGTAAGCCACAAACATCTGGCTGCTGGGGGATATTGGATCCCGAACTCATAACGCTCGCACTGATAACACTATCAATCGAGATTTGGCGAAGATTTATACCCATACCCCCTTCCCAGAGTCACTGTGTCAATTCAGTTTAACAGCCTATTTGATTTTTTAATTATCAGCTGCCGAGACCAATACAACGAACGTGTATTGAATATCATCAGAGACGGGGAAACAATTAATTTCATTTAATTACAAAAACATTGCCGGGCGTTACAATGTAGCAGGCAGCAGCGAAGCCTATGGAAAATTCTTTGCTGGGGGTGTGTATAGGGATTGGCAGGGGGAGGGCAATGTTATTAAATATGGGTGTGAGGAAGCCAAGTAATAGATGTAGCTAGGTCGTGATAATAGAATAGATTGGGCCTATAGCATGCTTTGACAGCTCTTAAGATTGTTTTGAGTTTTACGGTGAAGTGTTTGAGCAATAAGGCCATTCCGATTACATTTTAAGATATTGGTTATGCAAATAATGGGGAAGCTCTTTTGGATTGCTCAGAGTGAAATTGAATGTGAACAAAATAAATAAATATTATGTTTTACGATTACCACATTCGTGGCCGATTGGAATATTTAAAAAATTTCTTACGTATTCAGTTTTATAAAAAAAATAAGATTGAAGTCAAAGTTAAAAAATTGAGTTTTAGAAAAAAATATTTTTTTTAATTTTTAATGTTAAAAAAGTTAATGTCATTTAACTTTACATTTATAATCAAGTTCGAACTCGAAATTAGATTTTGAGAAATAATTCGAAACTTTCTGTAGATCTAATATTCAAGCTTTAGCTTCGATTACTGAAATATTGGATCGCTAGAGGTACTTGGTAAATCCTGAACGATCGGCAAAGAAGGAGGATGCCACATCCAGTTCGTTCTGAATTGATTGACGATCTTTAATATTTAAAGAGTTTTATTAACAAGTAACCAGAGTTAAATATGGGGTATTTGAGGGTCGTAGGTTTTTTTCTGGTGAATTTTTTTTTTTTGTTGTTTTGTCTAAAGATTTGTTTAGCATTACATTTTTATTTAAAAAAAAGCTTATAATTGCTTAACTACTCATGTAAATATATACAGAAAACGAGGGAAAGTGTGATAAACCATAAGCAATAAATATGTGATTTTAAAAAAGGCGCCAAGATCTCTAGATTATTTTGTGAGAATGGTAACTTTTAAGTTTTTATTAGCCCTAGCTTTTTTTAAGAGCTTTTCGATTCGATACAAGTTTGATAGTACTTCTTTTAAAAGAATAATCGTAGAAAAACCTAATAAATGGAGCTAAAAAATTAACACAATTGGTCTTAAATACTTCTGAATGCTATTAGGAAATATTACAAAATCGATCGCTGGTTCGCTCCTTTCGGAACTGGTTAGCTCCACCGAACCGGAACCATGAACCGGGTCAGAACGAAACGCGGCTCGCGCCAACACAACGCACAATCAGTTCGCGAGAACGGGAGCTCGGAAGAACGGGACTGTAGAACGGAGAACGCAGAACCGTAGAACCGTAAAACGGGGAGTGTAACGCCGCGATCGATCGTTTTCCCCCACTTGCTAAACATTTTGTTGAGCTGTTGCTCTCGGTTAAAGGTTCAAAGTGATGTGAGGCGAAAAACAACAAATAAAAAAGAAAGCAAAGGCGGTGCAAAGCAGAGCGGCTGGAAATAAAATGAAACTGGGATCGCGGCACCAGCAACAAGTTTTAGTGGTTTTCCTTTGTGCGCCTCGTTCGTATTTGCTGCTCTCCGCTTTGCTCGCCATTTTCGTCGCCGACTTTTATTTTGTTTTGCCCATTTTATCAGAATCGGAACCCAATCCGATCCCGACCACCTCCAAAAAAGCGCAAGGCGAGCTCAGCTGCGTTAAGGTGAGCTGATCCGTTCCATTCTGTTCCGTACCGAGTGCATTGTGCATGCAAAGTAAGGTCGCGGGCTGCGCTTTCGAAATTACACAACCCACATGGGGCAGCGCCAACAAAAGCAGCAGCACCAGCACAAACAATAGCGGGCAGCCAAGCATTCTGCCACTGACCATGGCCCCCACCACCAGCCCGCAGGGCCCTGCGGCCCCCAAGCTGGCCAAGTTCAAGTCCTCGTCGCTGGACCACGAAATCTACACGGCGAATCGACGCGGCACAATAGCCACGGCCTCTAGTGATTGGAAGGCGCTTCGCGGAGGAGCAGGATCAGGAGGATCCGCAACCGGACCCAATCACTCCAATGGACGCTCCCTACACGCCAGCGGTGCCATGACCCGAGCCGCCTCCACATCTTCGCTGGCCAGCAGCACACGCACCATGACCAACTACCAGGAGTACAAGATGGAGATTATCAACCAGGTGAGCACCAGATAGCGTCCACAAGTTGCCACCATTGTTACTTCCGCGGTCTCAATTTGTCGAATAAAAAATGTGCGGTAATTTCTTGTTATGAAAAATGACCTTATATAGCTAGTCAGAAATGAATTACATAGATTGATAATCGTTTCTGACAATTAATACTCAAATTCAGTATTTACTAGTAGAAACTCGGAACTTGTAGTGTAGGCTCTAGAGTATACTGAATTTCATTCATTGCGTGTTTAAGTTAAAAAAGGCAATTTTTCCGGCCCTAAAAGTAAACATATGCAAATTAACCTCAGAAACAATGTTATAAATTTTTTTTTCCTTTTTTTTAAATGCTTCCTGTGGGAATCGAGCTTTTGACCCAATGATTCATACATTGATTTGCTAAGTTGAAAATCAAGCGTCAGTCTACATGACAAATGGCTAGAACTTGGTAAATTTCGAGGCTCTTAATTCAACAAATATGTACGATTCTTTTGTTATCAGCCTCTGCGTTGGTCAATGTTTTACTTTCTAAAAGCGTAAACATATATTAAAACAAATTTTAAAACACACACATATGAAAAAAAGAAACAATTTGGGACGAAGCTTAACTGGAGTAATCTTAAATCTGATGTGAGCAAAATTCATAAAATTATAAAAAAGAAAAAAATTCAGTAGAAATAAAAACATTTAACACGTACTTTCATTGAAACAAAGCATTTCAATATTTAAATTTTTTTGAAAGTAAGCATTTTAATATTTAAATTTTATTGAAAGTAAGCATTTAAATTAAATTAAATAATAATATTAAAAACTTTAGAATTTAAAAAACGTACATATAACGTTTTGAGACGATATGCAAATGCGTTTCTGCTTAAATTGTTAAATAATAGAAAAATCGATTTGTGTTTGTTGACACACAACTTACTTAACAGAGCTCTCTATATATTTTTCATAATATCAATTAAAACAAAACGGTTCGGTTTGTTCTTGTACAAGCTAAATATGTACAATGTACAATATCCAAAAACTACAAGCAAATATCTTTCAAAGATATGGGTTATGAACTGAATTGTTAACTTTTTTAATTATAATTTGCAACCATTAGGAATTAACTCATTTTAAATATATAAAGAAAATTATTTATTATAAAATGTACTTTTATTTACATAATTCAAAGTAAAGAAAAAACAGAACTTTTAGCTCTTATTAAATAAATATGTATATGTATTTATGAACATATATCTTAGCTTCAAGGGAAAATAAAATCTTCGGCAAGTGCACAAAAGCGGGGAACAGAAAACCAAAAAAGCTGTTTAAATAAACTGTCGAATTTTGTGGACAAATTTTGAAATTACGACCACAACAAAACAGACAACCGATCGGCAAACAGAGGGAACCTCGATTCCTATTTACTGTGCCAAAATGTTTGCGAAATTACCTAATTATGTGGTGGCTGCGAACGAGGACGACCCACCGGTATCTATATCATTCACGATTTGGGTCGTGACTGTCTCAATTTAATTGATAAGGTAAATATTTTTTGTTTCGGTCATTCGTTTATCTTAGACTGATAAAAAGCTTCAGGCTCGGTTTTCTTTATATTGCTATGTAAAATATTTACTCAACTTCCCTAGGCAAGCGAAATGTAAAGTGTTTATTTAATATATTTGCCTACGTTTTGACTTTCGCAGTGGTTGATAATTTGTTCAGGTATTTTTCACTAAGCGCATTGCGGAAGTTTGTTCAGAATGCAAGGCCTTGTGGCTTATCAACTGGCAAATCAGATGAGGAAGGCCCAACGGCCATAGCCAAATATGTATCTATGTACAGGCGTAAGAGGGCTGATCGGAGGTTCCCGGAAAACAATGGCACCTGGACAAAAGTTAAGAACCCAAAGGCACTACGGGTATAAAAATAATAAACAAGAATTCCAAAAATAAACTGAAACACACGATATTACCCGAAAGCCTCAAGTGATGGATTCATCGAACTCTGCCCGGTGAAGTACATTTTATGTTATTTGGTCGGGCCAAACTTGCCAAAAGGTAAAAGTTGGGCGCACAATTGTATCGCCATAACAAGATCACGTAAACAAATTGACGGATTTATTGGTATGGCCCACGGGCAGGTGATTAATTCACTGGGAGGCTGGACGGGTTCGGAGTGCCTTTCAATATACTTGTCAAGACCCCAGTCGCAAGGCCAGCGATTTGGCATGGGTTCGATCTCTTCGGCTGGCCATGTCATAAGTCAAGTCGGCGCCAAAGTATTCAATTGTCTGTTTACTTGGCTCCAAGTCGTTGGCGTGACGAACGGTAATTGTGCGACATAAATTGAGGGAAGAAACACTATAGCTAAATTGATCGGAATTGTGTAAGCCCCGAGGGGGGTTTTCTTAATTTCAGCAAACATTTTGTGTCTTACAGATTCCAGAAGCTTAAAGTTTGCCATATTTTCTTCTCACAGCACGTGCTGATCGCTTCGTTTTTGTTTAGAAATGTGTTCTTTGTTTATTACCGCCATGTGTACCCAGCACCGTTTCGGCTGCATTTTTAGAGACTCTGTAAGAGGTGAGATTGAAATAGTCCAGGTGTCCACGGAACTCTGCTGTAAAGCAATTCGAAAAGACGTAAATTCGTTCGCCGGAAACTTTCAGGCAGTCCATTTGTATTGATTGAGTGCCCCGCTGATGGAGCAATATTGGCTGGCAATGATCAAAGCACAACAGTTAATTTGATTTTGATTGAACTTTTGGCTTTGTCGTTTTATTTCAGGGGAAGTGCCTCTGCGGCCAGTACATCAGAGCCCGGCTACGTCGAGCAGGAGTGCTTAACCGGAAGGTGCAACAGCGGCTGCGCAACATCCTGGATCCCGGCACTTCGCACGTGGTCTACGAGGTCTTCCCGGCCCTTAACAGCGTAAGTGGATCACTAATATGCATTTGAATCTCAGAATAACCAACTCTAATTTACAGATGGGCGAGGAACTGGAAAGGATGCACCCACGGGTGTACACAAACATATCCAGACAACTGTCGCGGGCTCCGTTCGGCGAGCTGGAGCACAGCGACGTGGCCCCGATGCTGCTTAATCTGGTGGCAAAGGACCTGTTTCGCTCGAGCATCACCTGGGGCAAAATAATCTCGATCTTCGCCGTCTGCGGTGGCTTCGCAATCGACTGCGTGAGGCAGGGCCACTTCGACTACCTACAGTGCCTGATAGACGGGTTGGCTGAGATCATAGAGGATGACCTGGTCTACTGGCTGATCGACAACGGAGGATGGCTGGGCCTGTCGCGGCACATTCGACCCCGGGTCGGCGAGTTCACGTTCTTGGGCTGGCTAACCCTGTTTGTAACGATCTCGGCGGGCGCCTATATGGTGTCCAACGTGTGTAGGCGCATCGGCTGTCAACTGTATTCGCTGTTGTTCTAGCCATGCTCGGATCGTTTCGTTTTAGATGTATATTCGTACCATTTAGTCAGTGAGAGCTTCGAATCATTCCTGCTTCTGTGGACTCCGAGTCGTGTGGTAGTTTGTAATGCACCTTGTTTTACGTATAATATTGTTATCCTGTTTCTTCTCTTTGTACATACAAGGCTAACCTAGTGCCAGGCGCAATAAAGCGTGTGTTTAAAACTATTTGATTTAAGTTTGGCGCCAAGGGGGCTGGCAGATTGGACCGATAATTACAGGTGGTTTCTGTATCTTGTTAAGAAACTCTAGAGGCCACTACAAATTTGAACCTTGATTATAATAGTATTGAAACTTGAGTTGTTAGGATTCAGATTTAAAAATAATAAATAAATAATAATATATGTATATATTTTGCTATCATATACCTGTGATCACAACTTTTATTAAATTTAAAAAATCGTTTATAGTTTAGAACCGCCAACTTTCGAAAGTTATTAATGTTTTACAACATTTATTTGCAAGTGGAATTACTCAGCAGAAATATATGCGATGGCTGACCACACATTCAACATCTAGATCTGGCAAATTTAAATCCATCATTTTAATAAAGTTGAATTTGCATGGAACAGCTGTCAAACAACTCAACAAATAATTTCAGGGAATACCCCAAGTTATTTTTATCATCTTTAAAGCCTTGCCAGACAGGTAAAATCTCAATGGCTTATGAACCTGGTGGCAACTCTCTTCGACAACGCAATTGTTGTGAATGGTTTATTCATTATTATTTATAGTAAATAAAGTAGTTTTGAAACAAATAATGCTATGTCATGTGAGTGCACAATGTCCAGGGGTATGAGCGGTGACTAATGTCTAATTGCAGCGTTTAACCAGGCCGAGGAGACTAGCACGGACACCCACGTGGAAGATGAATCCTTCTCCGAAGTTGCAGAGCCCCAGGAGCTCCTCTTCTGCGAGAGCTGCGGCAACGTATACGAGGACAGCGAGGCATACGCCAGGGATCACGATAAGCAGACCGGCTCCTGCAGCGGCGTGAACGAAGATGTGGTGTTGGTAGAGGAGGCAACCCCGGACGACGAGGTCATAACAGATTGCATTTTGGAGGAGGTTGACGACGAGGACATCGTCGAGGCGGATGTGCCGCTCTGGGAGCTGGTGGAGGAAGTTCCAGCCAACATCAAGGTGGAGCAGGACGGTGCGGAGTCCAGCCAATCCGATCGTTACTTTTGCTACGACTGCCACAGCATTTTCGAAAACCGGGGTAGTGCAGAAGAGCACGTTTGTCCGCGGGCAGAGTCAGGAGGTGGTTCCAGCCAGCTGGTCGGTGAGGCCAAAGCACCCGTCCGCCGAAAGTTGCCCGGAGTCAGTGCAAGGACAGATCCCAAGAGTACATCATCCGTAATTAGCTGTGGCATCTGCAACACCGTTTTCAGTTCGGACAAGTTCCTCAAGTTTCACATGCGCATCCACGAGACTCGCGTGTCCAAGAGCATTCAGGACGCCCTTCCTGTGGGCGCCCATCAGCAGTACAGCGAACTGGATCAGTTTTACTGCGAAATTTGCAACAAGAGGTAGGTTAATTTGGCACAATTAAGGGTAAACTCACGCCTGCTTTCTGCCGTTCTCAGCTTTGATGAGAACCTCTTGACGGTCCACAAACAGATGCACCAACAAACCACCAGCGAGATTATGTGCAGCATTTGCAACCGCAAGTTCGAGAGTGACGTGACCTACCAAATGCACCTCAAAATCCACGAGAACCCTCGCGACCCCGAAGCCTCCAGCAAAACGAAGCAACGACCGAGCGTCGATAAGGAGAAACCTGGCTTTCCATGTCAGTATTGCGAGCGGGTGTTCACCCGTCCCTTCGAGAAAGTCAAGCATGAACGGGTTCACACTGGAGAGAAGCCCTACAGCTGTGAAGTCTGCGGAAAGACTTTTCGCGTGTCCTATTCACTGACCCTGCACCTGCGCACGCACACCAATATTCGGCCGTATGTCTGCACGGTGTGCAACAAGCGGTTGGTAAAAAAAATGTGCTTTTCAAACTTTAATTATTAATCAAATTCAATTTCAGTTTCAAATCGCATCAAGTGTACTCCCACCACCTGCGCATCCACAGCTCGGAACGGCAATTTGCCTGCGATATGTGTCCAAAGTCCTTTCGCACCTCCGTGCAGCTGTACGCCCACAAAAACACCCACACCAAGCCGTACGAGTGTGTCGTGTGCAACCGTCCCTTCTCCTCCTTGTATGCCGTCAAGAATCACATGCAGACGCACAAAGACGAAAAGAGCAAAGGAAATACCGGGGCAAGTACGTCGGCCCTTGACAGCGGACAGCCTGCCAAGAGCCAAGCTGGTGGGAAGTTCTGGTGCAGCGCCTGCGGAGCTGAATATGCGCGTCTTTTCGCCCTGCGCCTGCACATGAAGTCTGCCCACGGCCTGGTGGACGACGCGGCCTTACAGCAAAAGGAACCTTCCTCCACCGCTGAAGAATCGCACGCCACAGAAGCCGAGGACTCCGAGACCGCGGTGCTGATAGCAGCCGCCGAGGCAGACGCTGCTTATATTAACGCTGTAGTAAACGATGTCGACATCGTGGGATCCGTGCCGACTTACGAGGAGTGCGTTGAGGTGGGCTTAGAATTGATCCTGTTTTACGTTTTCTAATTGGTTATTTTCTACTTCAGTTCGACGTAGATAACTTCCATAGCGAAGAGATCATCACGGATTGGCTTAAGTAGCACTTCAACTTTATACTCCGACTAGCAAATTAATTGTTTTAAGAATCGTAAAACCCTTAGTGAATAAATATTATTGGCTAACTTCCATATGATGAGACTAGTCCGTTTAGTTAAAGAGATTATAACATTATGTTCGGCTGCAATGTAAAATCTTTATGTAACAACAAATTGAAATCACTCCGTGTTTGATGTAAACATGAGTCAGTTGCTCGATTTCAGTTAAATTGATTGGTTAGATATAGAAACCAGCTGGGCTATCGTCCATTCAGGGTCTTTTTTAATTCAGTTATGTAAAAACACTTCCCTGCGAAATCATAGCTGTAAGGAGCTCTTCAAATTTGTATAAACTTTATTGGGATCATAACTGGCGTGTAACAAGTAAATATATTGCTGGCGTACAATGAGACCAGTCCGTTGTGTTAGCTGACGTACAGGGATAAATTAAGGGTGAATATTTAACTACAACTAATTGTAAAAACTTAGACTAACAGAACGTGTGATTGGTGTGCAGCCTGGGCGGGAACCTACTCCTGGTCACCCGCAGCCTCGTCGTCCTCCAACTCGCTGTTGTCCTCGTCGCAGATCTCTTTGAGGACCTCCACAAGGTTCTTCGCCTCATCCAGTTCCTGGCGCATCGTGTCCATCTCCTCTTCCAACCCCTCAATGCGCTCGTGCAGATGTCGGTTCTCGGTGAGCGAGTCCTCGAGGGCCAATCGTCGCTGCTCGGCCAGCAGTTTGTAGTAGTTCTCGCCTGGCTCGGCCTCGCTGGTGAGATCCTCCGCCGTAATGGGTTTGTCGGCATCAGAGCGAGGCTTGACCTCCGCCTCGGTCTGGGTGTCCGCGTCCTTTGTTGACGTCGCTGCCGCAGCTGTGGCCGTGTCCACGCACTTGCGTTTGCCGTACTTGGGCGCGACTTGGACGCCGGCCTTCAGGCGACTCAGCTGATCCACGATGGAGGAGCGCCCGGAACCACTGTTCTCCTTGTCGTTGACGTTGCCCTGGATGGGTTTCAGTGTCTTGCGCTGTTGCTTTAGGTGCTCCTGCTGCTCGGCCTCACTCTCGACTTGGATGTAGACCCTGGCAGCGCTCGAGGACATTTTCGGAGCTGTTGGTTGTGCTTTCGGTGGGTTTGGGTTGTCAGGGCAGCGCGTGTGCTATTTGCTTGCCGTTTGTTTATGCATTAATTTGTGTGCTTCGTTCCTTCGTTTTCCACTCGTTGTAATGGCCGCCAAAAATGCGATGCCGCGTGCTGTTGTCCAACACTGTTTGTCTAGGGCTGCATCCTTTGTTCTTCGTATCACGACTATCGTGCGCCTCGGGGCCAATATGACGTGTTCTCACTCTGATAATTTAAAAATCTGCTATTTTTAATATACATGTTATTTTTTCTTCACAAAATCAATGCTGCAAATGTTATAAATGTAAATCGTAGAACTAAACTAAAAAAGGAAAACTAAAATAATATTTGTGATTTTAAGATTATCTATTTTGTTTAAAAATATAAAAAACATATTAATTCGGATGCGACGTTTCAAAATGATTAAAAAAACAATATTGAAATTAAATTGCCTATGGCTGAAAAGAGCAGATCGTTTTTTGGCCTTACGGTTTCCATTGCAAACATATCAATTGAAAGAAATTTTAAAAATGTGGTATAGAGAAATATGTACATACATACATATCTATGTATAAACTTATGTATTAAGTGTTTATGCCTCAAAAAATACGAAAATAAAATAATGTAATGTAAACAAAAATTGAATGTTTTTTTAATATTGTAAACAACAAACAAATGATTCAACATTTTGATGGAATTTTTCTTGAAATGCCCAAGTGTAATCTGTTATTGGTTTTGTATACCTTTTGGATAAAAAATAAACTATTTTTAAAAACAGTTTCTTTTGTAAAAATTTATAATTGAATTATAAAATTTATAAACACGTTAACATTGTAAGCATTGGCATATCTAGTTCGGTAAAAAGCACGGTGCCCGAGATATTTTGGCCAGGTGGCAGCCCTTGTCCAGTCACGAGGACACGAAGGATAAACGGGCGATAAGAGAATAGCCGATAAGAGCTCCACCCAGTCGCAGAAAACATGTAATTCTCCCAGTAGCGGATAGAAACATTAAACATTTTTTATTTTTCACTCGCATCACAACCACCACATCCCCTCCCACGCTCCCAAGGAGCAGTCGCCGCAAGATGGACAACAACGAGATCTCCATGAGTATGGACGTCAAACTGGATACACACGACAAGCGTCCAGTCGCTTTGCGCTACAAGACATGGACCCGCTGTCAGGTGAAAATCGAGGCCATCAAGTGTGTACCATGCTTCCTGCGGCTCAGTTTCCAGGCCCAAGACTCGGAGGGCCAGGATGCGCATCCCGCTAAGCCGGTTAGCGTCTCCGTCAACGTTCCGGGCGTCAGCCTCAGCCTGGCCACATCTCGCACCAAACAGCACTCCTATGGGCTGTTTTGGACGCAGAACCGTCGCGACTGCTTCATTTACTTCGCCCTGGAGACGGAGACCTCATGTCGACGCCACATGAAATGGATGCGGAAGTCGATCAAGAATCTGGAGCTCTACCGGCAGATTTTCCTTGAGCAGCGGCGCCTTAGCAGAGGTCCCACAGCTCTGGGCCCGCTGCCCAATCTGCCAGAGACCATGGACGCTGGTAATCGCTCGCCGCGCGTCTCGCAGATCTACGAGGAGATCTTCGAGGGCAGCCGTATCTCCCGCGTCTCCATCGCTTCCGGCATCTACGAAGAGATGAAGCCATCCGCCATGGAAAAAACTCCCTCGCCGCCGCCCCTTCCTGCACATCCCCACCGCCGGCGCATTAACACTTTTGAGTGCGAGATTCCGCGGTCCAGCACCAATCCCGAGTCGGAGCTGGCCAAGAAAAAGAAGTACAAGAACATGCTGGACACCCTGTTCGGTGGGCCGCGCCAAAAGCGTTCCGGCAGCATCAATGAGCTCGCCTACGAGCCCAGCGAGGAGGCACTGCCGCTCTACGAGAATGCTCCCACCCCGGAGCCAGTGCTCCCGGTAAAGCGCTCATCGCAGTTAAGCAAGTCGCAGCGCAACAGTTTTTCGAGTCCGGACCTCTCCAAACTCAATTTACTGGACACTTTCGGTGAATATTTCGGAGCACAGAATCACGAGTCGAGCCTGGAGCTGAACATCAGTCTAGATGAGTCAGTCATTGAACCGATCTCGCGAGATCAGATTGTGGCGCAAATTGCTAACCAACTGAGCAAAGCCGACTCACTGGAGAGCTTGAACGTTTCCGAACAATTGCCGTACAATTTCAACTTTTCCGCCTGCAACACGTCCACCATCAATCTCATCGGATCCCACGGAGCTGTTCCACAAAGTAATCTGGTAAAGAAAAACAAGATACTGGAGGACGATCTCACAGGATACTGTGTAATGGCACCAATTTTAAAGGCGGCGGTGAAAGAACTGCCACCGCAGCCCGGCGGCAGCACAGTGTCCACTTCGTCCGGCTATTCGACGGGATCCTATTGCTCTTCCACAAGCAGCTGCAACACTGAGGACCAGCCCACCAAGACGCAGGTGGCCAACGAGAGTGCCATTTACGAAGCCATGCATGGCAGCTCCATGAACAGCACCGTTGCAGCTGCTGCAGCTGGATTTGCGGAGCATCTATACGAGAATCTGCTGGCTGTTAAGGCAGCACAAGAGCTGGAGGCGCAGCCACTTGGCTTCGGACTGAGCACCAGCACTCCCACCGAATCTCCGTTGGCACCAGCGTTGCCGGAGAAGGGAACGCCCAAGGAGAAGACAATTCAGCAGAATCCAGATGAGGAGGACTACTACCAGACACCGAGGAAGTCGATCATCAGTGTGGATGACAAAATACCCTCCTACTATCCCAACAGCTGCGATACCCTCAAGTCAAAGCGACGAAGTCCCACCGACCATGGACCCAGTCTAAGGCACTTAGTCAGTTCCAAGTTGCGACGCGAGCGAAAGGAGAACCTTTACATTTCATCGCCCCAACATATCATTGAACAGCGCCACAAGGCGACCAGCATCTCATCATCATCAGCTAAGACTAAAATATCAACCAAAAAGACTGCCGCCCACAAGATCTCCGAGAGCGTTTATGCCGTCACCCATCCAGTCAAGCGCCCAAATAGCACCAATAGTAATAACACCCACCAAACCATAAACAACAATAACAATGAAGGCGTAGATGACGAGCTACTACACCTTACCATCGACTTTAAATTCGACGACGGCCAAGCTGTCGAGGATTCTATCCAGGCGAAGGCAGCGAATATTCCCCGTATACAGCCAAAGCAGGAGAAAGAGTGCGGGGATCGTAACCAGGCGGCGGAGCAGGCAACACGACTCCTGCAGAAGTACGCCACGCTGGCCAAATTCGGACATTCGCCGAACAAATCCAAACCGGCTGCGGCCCAACCGGAGCCCATGATACAGTCGGTGGCCACATCGAATGAGTTGCAGCCCCCGGGAAGCAGCATGAAGAAGTTTGCCTCCTTACCACGCTTCAAGAAAATTGACTTTTCGCCACTGAAGATGAGGCTAAACAATGTCCTGCAGAGAAATCCTCCGTCGCCGCAGCAGTAGAGTGGATTTTCTCCAATTTTCTGTATCAATGTTGAACACTTCGCTGTGGAAACACAATGCTTTTTATGAATTTAGCTTATTTTTATGTTGTAGGTTCTTGTAAATGTGATCTGCCCACCACTTTTGTGTTAGTTGGACAAGTTGATGTTATCAGCTTATTATTATGTTATCCGAGTATGTAATACGCTTTCCCACGATGCACTTAGTCTTAAGCCTTATAGGTTGATCTTGCTTTGTCAAAAGGTATTCTAACGAATCATATCCGGCTCCATTTGAGGAGCCTCACAAGTATTACTGTTGTGAACTAAAGATGAATGTCTAAGATTTATACATATGAATATGCTCAATTATGAAAATTTACAAAACCGCTTTTATACGTATTAAACGAAACCATATTGTTGACTCATTTAGGCGCATCATTGTTGAAAAGAAACTAAATTTAGCTAAACAATTTTAATTCTACACAATATGATCATACAAAAAAATGGTCTTGCGCCGTACCTGGTATTTCAGGAAGGCGCGAGCCTAAAACTACGCTTTTTGGCTTCGCATAACATATCAGAAATTAGTTAATCGTACGAAAAAATGCTTAAAACATAGCATAACCAAAGCTCAACTGTACCGTGAATAAAACTTAAGCTTAAAAATTGATATTTGCTGCAAACGAAATAAACTTTACAACCAACTGAAGACATTGTGCTTTGTTTTCTAAAAACGATCCGTTTTATTTCCACACTGCCTCAACTATAAACCATGGGTCGTCGCTGTTGGTGTATGAACTCCTGTTCCACTCGGGAATCTTTGGGCACCACATAGAACAGCAACGCTCCGCCCGAAACAAAGAAACTCTTCTCAGCGATGATCTCGGCGAGCTGCTTTTCAACGGCCACCTTGTGGACGCAGCCCACCTTGCGGTTCTCATAGTACACGTGCACGTTGCCTTGGCGGTAGCTCTGCGTCTTATCGCAGGGCAGCGGTTCGGCAAACAGCGTGGCCAGGCAATCCTGCATGGTGGCAGTTTCCGGCAGCTTCTGTTGGAAGTCGCTGAACAGGAATTCCGGATAGGAGAAGGCGGCGGGCCAGATCAGCGTAATGCCGTCCTCGTCCAGGTGAACTGGGTGATCTTCCAGAGGAAGAAACTTAGGACGGAGTAGGTCCTCTCTAAAGGCTGCTTTCTGGCCGACCCGTTGATCGTCAAACTTGATGGCCCGCTGCTCGATGGCATCGCGCAGCCTGTGGAAGCGGGTGAGGCGACGCTTTGCCTCGGCAGCCTCCTTGCGCTGATTGCGATCTATCTCTAGCTGCAGGAATTAAAACGAATTAGGTGGATTTATATACAGTGGAACTATTCATTTCTACCTTCTTCATCTTGTTCTTGTGCAGCAGGGCATTGGCCTCCTTGTGGTCTACGTCCACCTCGAGCAACTCCTCGCACATCTGGGTGCAGACGTCGAACCTCTCCAGCTCGTACGCGCACTGCGCGGACCTCCAGCGTGCCTTCGTGTAGTCTGGCTTGAAGAACAGGGCACGCTGAGCGTCACTCAGTGAGGATCTGTAGTTCTTGATGAAGAAGTGGGCGGCCGAGCGATTGTTGTAGAGTACGGCCAGCACGTCCGGGTTCTCCGACTTGGATTTGATGCCCTCGGTGAAGCTGTAGATTGCCATGCGGAATTTCTTGTGCTTCATGTAGAAGTTGCCGTCCTCTTTGTAGTTTAGCGCCAGCTCGTCGCGCGTATTCTCCTCCGGATCGTACTTGAGCTTCTGCAGTCCCTCGAACATAGGATGTACATCGTCGCCAGGCTGAGGAGCACGCTTCATGAAGAACGGATGCTTGTCCATCTCCTCTTGCCAGCGGTCCTCCGGCCAGCCCTCCTCGTAGCGCTTCTTCTCCAAGCCATCAATGAATGCGTCTAGCTCGGCGTCCAGCCGAGCCGCCAGTTCCAGGCGCTCCTCCTCTGTCCAGTTCCGTTGAGCGGTCAGGTCCTCCATTTGGTCCAATCAGAAAGAGTGTGACCGCGTGCGGACTATTTAAATATACCACTTGACTTTAAAAATATACCAAAACATATGATTTTTCGTTTTAAGTATAATACGATTGCCTGGTTGTTTATTTTGCAAGGATATAGATAAAGAGGACATAACGATCAAGTAAATAACTTTGAAAGAAGTGTGTTTAGCTTTGCACCCACTCCATAAAAGAGTGACCGTCTGCCGCAAAAATACTCTTCGTGCTCATTATGCTATCGATGACTATCGGCTGCGCCGGCAGTGTTGGCTAATGGCCGGACCATGAGCAACCATTGGCAGAGACGCGACTGAGCTGAGACGTACCGTTGGCAGAGACGCGACTGAGAAATAAAATTAAAACGTCGACGTTCCTTCCTCGCAGAAGAAACCAATCAAAATAAAAACAAACAGAGCGTGCGTTCGCGCCAAATACCTAACAACAATTAGCAAACGAAAGAAACAAAGTGAGTGTCGTCGGGCAGCGAAAGCTTGAGTGTCCAGCTTGGCACTGGGATCCACATCCAGTTTCTCGCTAAATTAACTCTTGTTTCCCCCCGTCTTGTCCCCTCAGTGCACACCCTCACGGCGGCCATTGAGATGGACAAGCTGGATGCCAATCTTGAGCAGCAGTTTGATCTCAATCTCATCGAGGCTGTCAAGTTGAACCCAGTGATATACGACAGGTCGCACTACAATTATAAGCACTTTGTGCGCAAGGCCCAGACCTGGAAACAAATCGCCGAAACTCTCGGTGTGCCTGGTAAGTGAAATTCGGCTGGTTTTTGGCTACGGGTTTTTAGCTTTCTGTCCGTGCCCCAACCAGCCAATTGATTAATTCTGTTAGGGGGACAGGGAGTGAAAGACAAGTCCGTCGACGACGACAGAAACAGAAAACGACGCAAAAGTGAACGGCGACGCGACGCAGTAGCTGGCTGATGGTTGTGAAATTCCAGGTACGGAGTTCTTTTGAAGGGGGTTACCCGAAATGATTAACGGACTCCAGAACAAAATTACTCCTTTGCAGCTTTGTGAAATGTTTCTTTGTTATGAGAACAATATTAAAGATCATTCGGTCAAAATAATATATAAAAAAAAGATAAAAAAACATTTTAATCAGTCCATTACTTGATGATTTACTTGCTCTTAAAAAAAGTTCAATTCAATTGGACACCAAATTCTAAATTGTACTTCTCATTTCATTCAGTTTTTGCTATGTTTCGAACATAGTTTTGATAACCTTCGCCCTTTTTGGGCGCTCGAGCTCCGCCCCTGTCTGCTCTGTCAGTGTGAAGACCTCTGTAGCAGTGTGCTCAGTCGATATTTTTGAAGTTGCTGTACTTTGCCGTCGCGTCGCAGTAGTTGTCTCGCTCCCACCGCAGCCATTCTGCTTGCGCCAGCGTTTATTTTTGTACACTGCGACTGCGGGTTGTTCTGCCTCGGCCGACAGCTGACTCGCTCACACACGTTCGTGTGGAAGTATACATACAGTGCCAGCCTAAAGTATTGGCAGAGCAGATTTTATTTGGGTAAAATTAAAAGGTTTTTTTAAATTATTTTTTTACATAGAGCTAACATACATTTTGTTTATGACAAAGTCGGAAAAAATTTGTATCTTAGCAGCAAAATATTTAAATTTAATGTATTTAATAAAAGTTTCGTAAGTTTTGTTCAACAGAATCAGTTCTAATTAAAAAAAGTTCACAGTCCAGCTGGGACAATACCTTAACTCCCCACTGTAGATACCGGAGACCGACCAGGCAGCTTTCGTTTCGTTTTTATGAGTATACCAACAAAATTTACCGTTTAACCCACCCCCTCGCCGGCCTTTGATCGAACCCTAAATTTTCGCCTATATCATTGCACCTTATTCGGCTTTCGATTATGCAAGACGAGACGGTGGCTCTAAAGCTGGGTTTCAGCCAAGTCCACCCAGCAGCAATGCCACAGGTTTCCGTCTTCAGGCAGAGGCCGTGGGCAGAGGGAGTCGAAGTCGACGTCGTCAACGTCTCTGCTGGCGCTGGGAAGCTGCTGCCCTCTGCCACCGCCTCTGCTTCTGCCAACGATTTGTTTTGGTTTGCGATTTGATGTTTCTAGCAGATGCGCTTTCAGGGGTGGGTTAGATGACCCAGTAGTTCTAGTTGCTGCAGACGAAAGAACACCACGGAGAATGACAGGTGTAAATTTGTTCAATCTCAAACCACTGGTTAGTCATTATTTTATTACTTGGGCTTCATTTACAGATAGCATATTACGTTATTGTCCTTTTGTATACGCAGTTTATAATGGTACTATATGACCAACATAAGTAAGACTATTATATTGACCATTAACAAGCGGCAAAAAATAACGTACAAAAAGTTTTTTGAAATTTGTTTTTACCCGAAGCCAACACTTTATCATTACTAAATAGTACGTTTTATTTTTTGCATTGTAGAACAAAAATGTACCAAACGCTGGAAGAGCCTGCGCGACAAGTTCGCCCGCGAAATGAAGCTTTGCCAGGAATCGCGCTGGCGCTACTTCAAGCAGATGCAATTCCTGGTGGACTCCATCCGTCAGTACCGGGAGTCGCTGCTGGGAAAGTGCGCCAATGGCAGTCAAAATGCCAACCAGGTGGCTGATCCGTCGCAGCAGCAGCAGGCGCAGCAACAGACCGTCGTGGATATATTCGCACAGCCGTTCAACGGCAGCGCCACAACCTCAGCCCAGGCACTGACCCATCCGCATGGTAAGTAGCCGAACCTTTGAGCATCTGTGATCCTCACTAAATACCCTACTGTCTTACAGAAATCACCGTCACCAGTGACGCACAGCTAGCCACTGCCGTGGGAAAGGACCAAAAGCCATACTTCTACGAACCGCCGCTCAAGCGGGAGCGCAGCGAAGAGGAGCACAGCGACAACATGCTCAACACCATCAAGATTTTCCAGAACAACGTCTCCCAGGCGGTCAGCGCCGAGGACCAGAGTTTCGGGATGGTTGTCACGGACATGCTCAACACGCTGGGCGTGCGACAAAAGGCCGAAGCGAAGGTTCACATCATCAAGTATCTGACGGACATGCAGCTGTTGGCCCAGCACAACAAGTACTAACTGTCGGGCGGCTGTCATCGGCAGCTGCTGCAGCTGCTCCAACTGGAGAGCGTTTTGCCCTGAGATCAAACGAGAACGGACCTGCGGCCACCCACATCCACACAGGCCGACGGTCTTGTGCGGTCATTTTCTTTAGTGCATAGGTCTTAAAGTCAAACTACAGAATAACATTAGACGTAACTTCCCACTGCGTATACCCACAACGCGTAATTGTACTTCCCCAAACCCAAACGTAGACAAACATATATATTTATATGCTTAGTTGGCCCCATGATCGGTGATTCAATTCGCGCCCAGTTCTCAGCTCTGTACAAAAAAATACGATTGAAAAATAGCGATCCTAGAATTATGAGTAGTTTGTTAAACGACCGTGGAAACAATTCATGTGCAGCGTACTGTAAATTTTTGACTACGATTTAGTTGTAACTTGCCATCGGGTCTTAGCTCTGTAATTAAGTACACACGTAAAAGTTATTTTAATTTTATAAGTTCTGTTGTAATATGCTGAAAACGCTTGAAAGATACTTTGAAAGGCTTTAATTAAGTATGACAAAAGGAAATATTAAATACCTTTTTCATAGTGAGCGCATATTACACACTTTATACGGATACAATCGATATAGTTGCCGGCAACACACGTTGCTAACCATTTTCAATGATTAATTGTGCAATTATTTGGTATTAAACAAAAAATTGAAAAGTAACAGACTCGTTTCATTTGGTGCGGTGTGGCAACGCTGCCAGCCAGCGGTATAAACAGAATCAGCTGTTCTAGTTGAAGAATGATTTTATGTAATTGAAATGGCTACAAAACAGGATAATGTTGACTCAAAATCGAGTAATTCAAAGACCACAATAGATGATGCGTGGGCGGTAAATATTTGGCTGATTGATAGAACCATAGTTTCAAGAATCCCCTTTCCAGATTCGCCCCTGCCACCTGTATAAAGAGGAGTACGATGACTGCACGAGCTTCAAGGCCCGCTTCCACCAGTACTTCATTTTTGGCCAGGATACAGACTGCTCCCAGTGGCTGACCGATTACCGAAACTGCGAGCGGTATCAGCAGTCCAACGGCAACGATGTGGCGGCCGGAGAAGCGGTGGTCAAGAGCGAAGAAGAACGCCGTCGGATTCGCCTGCGCGCACACTTTTCCAACGACACCTGGCAGAAGCGGAAGGAGCCGCCGCAGGACTGGGCCGCTCCACTGCCCGATTGGATGGAAAAGCGCAATGAAAACACCTATCTGGAGCTAAAGCAGAGAGAGCTCTCCGGCAAGGAGGCGCCAAAGGGCGAGGAGCGCTCACTGTGTGCGATTATGTGAAAATATATAATGTAGCTAGGGAAATTAAGATGTTGTTTTACTATCATTTAAGAACTCCAGTATGTTTTATTGTATATTGTTTCAGTTGATTTGTACGCCAAACAATTGCTGCTTGGCCATCGGATTTTCGATGGTCTGGCACCACTGCAGCTGATTTCCTTGTCTGCTGTTGTAAGCGGTTTCGCCAACTCTAGCTAAATCCCACGCTAAAAATAGCTTAAAATAAATATAGATATTTCGTCTTAATTTTTGTGTTAGTTTTCGTTCTACGAACATAATTTATTTCATACAACACTACGCAGACTTTAGGACAAAAAGCCAACAAAAATCAAATCCATTTTCAATTTTTTAAGTATTTAAAGCTAACTTTAATTTTAAAACCATAACCTTTTCAGGAATTAATTTTCCAAGGTAAATTAATTCCAGCACTAAATTTTGATTTATGATTGACATTTTTATAAGAAGTTTAAAGTGCCTCCGAAAATCGACAAAACCGGCTAAGAAAAAGCTGAATTGACAACACTAGCTGTGCCATACCTCGGATACGGATACCTATCTTTCTGCCCAATCCGTAGTTAACTCTCCACCTTTGCCTAAAATGCTAAAGGGCAGTACTTTGAAAGCCTTGGACGTCAGAATCCTAAGGCACCTTATTAAAACAAGGTCAGCAGGTAAATGTAAATTACATAACCCGGAGGCGGATGCCAAACTAGTAACATTTGGGCAGCAAAATTGACCGTGCCACTGAGATTGTTCTTATCCTGTTGCAGTGGAGGCCAGCAGCGCAGCTTTGCCAACAGCATCCACAGGTCCTACATAACGTTTAATGATTTCCGTAACAAGAACCGCTTGTGCACTAAAAAGGAGCTCGTGGGGTAAGTTCGCGTTCTACGCATGATGAAGTCATCCCTAAAGTGCGCATCCCCCAATATGCAGGTACTCTATGCAAGACATGTACAGCGTGGTATCCGACGTCAGCAACTACTACAAGTTCGTTCCGTATGTGAAACGGTCCCACGTCCACACCCAGGATAGTGCGGGCTTCAAGGCGGACCTTATTGTGGGTTTCCCGCCGCTGAACGAGGCCTACACCTCGCAGGTCACCCTGGTGCCGCACAGCTTGGTCAAGTCCGAGTGCCACGATGGACGCCTGTTCAACTACCTGCTGAATGAGTGGCGCTTTAGGCCGGGTCTCAAGGACATACCCAACTCCTGCGTGCTAGACTTCAAGGTCTCCTTCGAGTTCAAGTCGCTACTGCACAGCAACGTGGCCAGCCTATTCTTCGACATTATCTGCGAACAAATGGAGAACGCGTTCATCGAGGAAGTCAGACGGCGGAGTGGACCGCCCTCGATCCGCTCCCACGTTCTTTTCTCCCAGCGATCTTGACCAGAAAATGTGGACTAGGGAAGTCTTTATAAGTGATTTAAGTTGTTAGTTCAATTAACCAAATTGTAAATAAATTGTCGATTGAATTGTGTAAGAACGGACAAAATATACGTACCTAATCCTTCACCAGACACCAATTGAAACAATACACGAGTACAAAGAACATAAATTAAGTACTTTAATTTGTTTACTTAAAATAATTCTCGAAATTAATAATTTTCTTTAACAGTCTCGTTTCGGGATTAGTAGTGGGCCACAAATAACGATTACACAGATTACATTCAAAATGGTATATTATGTTTCTTAATTGACAGCTCCTCTGTTAAAAACTTAGGAATTAAAATAAAATTAGGTTTGGAATGGCATCGTTTAAGTTGCGAGAAATACATAATATCCTCAAGTGGCATACGCTACAGTACATTACATTACAGGCTTACCATATAGAAGTCGTTATTATCGTGCATCGTTAGAATATATTATTTGGGGTCAGGGCAGTTAGTATTTAGTGGGATCGCTACTATAACCTCTGCAGGGGAGGCTAAATCCAAGAGTCTAAGTTGGTATCTAACAGATACATACTACCTACGATCTACAACTATTATGCTAAGCTCTCTATATTACTTTATACAGGGGAGTGTAGTAACGAACTCTACTTAGTTTGCGCAGTAAAAAAGTTTGACTAAAACAGTAAGTGTTAAATGTTCATTACTAGATATTGGCAAAACAATTAAGCTATCAATAGGGGATCAACAAATGTATAAAGACGAGGCCAACATCTGATAATGCAATCAAAGACAAAGGTACAATAGCTTAACACTAGGCGCCTAGTTAGACGAGCCAAATTAGGACTATAGCACAAGGTCGAGTGCGCTAATAACACAAGAGAAACTCGAAATTATTCCTGGGTCACGAGTGTGTTGGTGTGGGAAGGGCATAGCGCCAGGTGCAACCATTTAGAATGGTTAAGCACTATACGTAAGTTCTACAAAATATCACTTTTTCGACGGCGGTAGGCCGCCAGATTCCTTAATTCTCAGTTGTGCTTGGCCCGCTTGCCAAACATGTATCCCTTCCAGCGCTCTGCAGTTTGCGCGATCAGTGGATCGCTGTCGATGGTGGCCAGCAGCAGTAGTTGATTTACGTGCGTCGCATGGTAGTCCCAGCGCGCCAAGTTCGGGGCCACGCCTAGGCTTAGATGACGCAGGTCGTAGCTGGTACCGGAACCAGTGTCGTAAAGCAGCAGCATCTTCTTCAGCGAGTACATGCCCTGGGTGAACAGCTTTCCAGCCTCGCGGGCGATTTTGACAGGAGCCGTGCTGTTTAGATCGTAGAGACCCAGCAAAGAATATATAAATCCGTTCAGTACATACGAGGGCGGCGTTGTGGGATACTCCTCGTACCTGTAAAGGTAAAAATTATTATTATTATTATTATTAAATTTTAGGACAAATAAAGCATAATAAAGATATTGTCGAGTGCCTCTAATTGATCTGTTGTTAATGACTTTAAACAAAGCGTAATGTTAGGCAAAATTAACTTTCAATTACTCACCAGTAGAATTTGTCCATGAACTGCGCCAGAACACCGCCGTCCCGTGAGTAGACCCTGTAAGGTTGCAGTCCGGCTGCGGCCGCCCGAAGGTAGCGTTCATCCCCGCCAGAGTGCCAGTAAGCGCGTGCCAGCACCGAAATGCTGTGACCCTGCCCCATAGCTGATATCCAGCCCGGACGCAGCTCGGCAAAGCCGTTGAGGCTGCGACGCACGGGATTGGCCCAGCCACCCGTCTTGGGGTCCTGATTGTGGACGAACCACTCTGCCGCGTCGTAGAAGTGAGCCATGTGGTCGCTGGTGGACAGAGTGATGTTGTCGTAGAAGCCCAGACCCAGGAAGCCGATGGATAGGACTTCCAGGTCGGAGCGCCGAATCTTTAGCGGCGAGCGCTTATCCCCCAGGACGATGCCCTTCTGGACGTCGATGTGCAGGTCCCGAGTGATGTGGCGCCACTTGTTTAGCGCCGATCCTCCCAAGCCGTAGTAGATGTTCGAGTCCTGCACGCTCAGCAGCAGGTCGGCGGGTATGTAGTGGAGGGTGTAGCTGTGCCGGGTGTCCCGGTTCTGGACGGTAACCATCAGGCTGCTACTGTTGGTGACCAGTAGTAGGTCCACGCTTAGCAGCAGGTCCAGCGTGTGATTGAGGGCGATGCTAATAGCGCCCTCATAGCCAGGTGCCGTCTCGAACTGGACCACACTTGTGTTGAACTTGTGGTGCCAAATGCGTGTCATGTTGCTGGTCTTGGGCGTGCTCCAGTCAATCTGGTTTCCGTCGCCGTCCTCCAGCACGCGCACTCTCGGGGCCGGCTCCGTGAGATTCTTGCTGTAGTGCGACAATGCGAATTGGGCAATCTGCGTGGGGTAGAAGTAGCCGCGCTTCTCCCACTGCGTACTGACCGGCACTCCCTCCGCGGCGCTGATGCACTTCACGCGGTCGCGCACCTCCACGTTGTAGTTCTCGAAGTACATAAAGACGCCGCGCGCATCGTACTTGCCCTTGGGAAGGTTCACCTTGGCTGTGCTGTGCATCCAGTTGAACCTGGCCACTTCGCTGCCACTGGTGGAGACCGCTCCGCTGACATCGAAGTAGTTACGCAGGAAGGAAAACGGCACGTACACCTCATTGGCGTTCTCGTCCCGCTTGCAGTGCACGCTGTACTCCTGGTTGATGGAGCATTCTATGTCCTGCAGAACGGTGGTTTCTCCGCCGTTGAGGGACGGCCTGGCTGCCCGGTCCAATGGCCGCACCAAATCCCGCGAGAAGGAGAACGCGGCGCAGCGCATGTAGACGCCCAGGGTGATTACCACCACGGCCACGGTAAGGATGAGCAGCACGGCTTTCAGGTTCAGTCGCATGATGAAGAAGACCAGGGGCTCTCGTTGCTAGAAATTTAGGAGACAAAGATTAGGCAACTGATAGCAGTTCGGAATAGACATTGCTACCTTAATCCGTGGCTCTTGGGTTTTCCTGCTTACTGGGGGCTCGGACACGGCGAAGGCATTTCTCTGGCTGCTGGAAAATTTGGACATCTGGTTGGTGTTCCCCTAACAGTTTCCACAGATCTTACGACTGGCTGCAGGTGAGGGTGAGTCATGCTCTAAAAATAAGATCGTTTTCATCGGGCCGATGCATGCCTGGCAAATTGATAGAGGTGCACCAGTGCTATTCGCCCGTCTTTTTCACTTTCTTTCTGTAAGTAAAGTTCCACCTGCAGGGCATATAGCTACCGAATTTCAGGTCTGGTCCATTAATGTTCGATTTTCCAACTTCTGCAAATGCTTCCTGAGCATATTTTATTAGGGTTTTTAACGATTTTACCCGATTTTCTGATCAAGTACTGTGAAGAAAACAGCAACTACAATACAAAACTATACAGATGAGCAAATGTTTGGACATATGACAATTGGGCGGCCTATGCACGTCGATAGTCTTTGAAATCGATAGCTTCGACAGGTCGGCGATTAATCAATAGTGCAATGTTTACAAAATACTTCAGGTGTATTTTAATTAGTTTTAATCATGTCTAGTCGTAGTTTAAGTGCAATTCTTCTGCTCCTCGGGGCGTTTGTGGCTGTCTGTCACGCCTCCAACGGGGACCGCACCCAGTTCTTTCACAACTGTCGGCAGAACTGCGAGCGAACAAACTGTTCCGCTGGTAAGATCTTTTAATCCCATAGCTTGAAATCCTTATAAAGAAAGCATCTTTGGCAGATGGCCTTGAGATCCAGGAGCAGGCTGTCAAGTTCTACAAGCAGTCAGTGTTCGATCGGCTCTTCCAGTGGAGCTGCGCGGATGAGTGCCAGTACGGATGCATGTGGCGCACGGTGTTAGCCTTCTTCGAGCGCGGATGGCCCATTCCCCAGTTCTACGGAAAGTGGCCCTTTCTCCGCCTGCTGGGCATGCAGGAACCGGCCTCAGTGATCTTCTCCGGGCTCAACTTCGCCGTTCACCTGCGCCTGCTGCGCAAATTCCGGCGGGAAGTGCGTCCGGACAGCCCCTGCTACATGCTGACCCACATATTCGCAGTGGTACGGATAACTTTTTATCTGAAATACAACGGGACAAACTACTAAGTAAACTTATCTCCCCGCAGACGAGCCTCAACGGCTGGGTTTGGTCCGCCATCTTTCACACGAGAGACTTCCCGCTGACCGAGCTTTTGGACTACGCCTTTGCCTACTCTATTATCCTGTGCTCGCTGTACGTCATGGTCATGCGAATGCTGCACCGCTACTCCCTGTTCCTGAGGGGTGTGATCTCGCTGGCATTCCTCTCCTACTACATTAACTACTTTGCCTACCTAAGCGTGGGCCGGTTCAACTATGCCTTTAACATGATGGTGAACGTGGCTACGGGAGTTATCGCAGCCGTGGGCTGGTTTGTTTGGTGCCACTTTGTACGCATCCGCAGGCCCTACTTCCGGAGGATCCTGCGATTCTACGTTCTCATGGCGCTGGCCATGAGCCTGGAGCTGTTGGACTTTCCACCCATCCTATGGATTCTGGATGCTCACGCTCTATGGCACCTAGCCACTGTTCCACTGGCGTCTCTCTACTACGAGTGGGTACCAGATAGTTTCATCTCTCAACATATAGATAATTGTATTCCCTTTCAGCTTCATGATCGAGGATTGTCGAACCCTGCGAAAGGAGAAGGTTGCAGCTGGCGGCTATGCTTTTTACAACTAGGACATTCAAATAACAGCAAATTCTGGTCAATGTCTCTGGTGACTTTCCTCATGAATTCCCCGCCTTTGGTGACAAAGCTAAACTGCCAGTTCAAATTTCTTAAGGAAGTCATAAGGAAAGCAATTTCGGCAGTGGCCAGATTTACTTGCTTCGTTTAAAAAGACATAATATAGACTTTATTACAACATTCAGTATTTCCGGCTACATTTGCCCACACTGCGAAATGGTCACTGGCAGCTTGGGCTTGTTGTTCGGACCCGTGGGTACGTTCTCGATCTTCCGCATAATGAGCAGTCCGTCCAGAACGCGACCGAACACCACATGCTTGCCGTCCAGGAAGTTGCACTTGGCGCAGGTGATGAAGAACTGACAGCCATTGGTTTCCTTGCCACTATTCGCCATAGACAGCAGTCCGGGCGAGTCGTGTTTCAGGGTGAAGTTCTCGTCGCCGAAGGTGTTGCCGTATATACTAGTAACGCCGGTGCCGTCGCCCTGAACAAAATCACCGCCCTGGATCATAAAGTCCTTAATGACCCTGTGGAAACTGGCGCCCTTGTAGCCAATGGGAACGCCATCCGGTCTATACTCGCCCGTGCAAAACTGCCTGAAGTTCTCCGCCGTGCGTGGCACTGTGTCAGCAAACAGTTCGAATATCATCCGTCCGATCTCCTAAAAACCAAAGTGGATTAAACCATGGTCTATGCCCTGTGTGTTTGCAGCTTACCGTTGTTCCTACGGCAATGTCAAAAAATACGACGGGATTGTTGGAGCTACGCAGTTGCGATTGTATTTGATTCCAGTTTGGCATTTTATCTTATTAATTAAACTTTTATCAAAACTAAGCGATTGAATGCGCCGGCAGACTTTTGTTTATGTTTTATACGATTGTTTGATGACGATAGAGCAGCAGTAGGTGCGGTATATCGATAGGCTGTAAAGCCGGTCCTATCGATTGGCACACGTGTGCAGTGTATTTGTTTTTATTTAGCTGTGCACAAATTGTTGGAATATAATTGTTATTTATAAAGGTGAGTGCATCCAAGATTCTGCACTTTGGAATGACAAAGTGGATTAGTACCGTGCAATAGTGATTTCCGCCACCTAATTTCCATAAGACTTGGGATATTTGCTAAGATTTGTTTATTTAAATTCAATAAATGAAGTTTGTTTATGTTTATTTTTATTGGGCAAGTACACGAGCAATCCCTTTCATAAATAAAAAAGAAATCTGAAAGCCTATTTTATACTTAATCAAAAAACCTTTAATAAACAAAATTTAGTTTCAGGCGTGTCTATAGTCTTAATTCAATATATGTACAATGTATAAAAAATTTAAGCAAGAGAATAAAAAAAGTATTAGGGGTTTCACCAGGCTTACTTATATTTTGTTTAACCCACAAAACATCACACAATCTTTTCCAATTACATTAAAACACAAATCTATTCCCTTGCATATGATACTTTAATTTAAGTTAGAAGTTTGCATTGTATGAGACAACCGGGTCCTTTCAGGACATAAATCACTTATGCCTCTAGTCGTTTAACAAATTTTTTAACTCAAGCTTATAATTTGATAAAACATATGCATGGTTAAGAACAGGTTCATTTTATTCAATAATTTTTGATAATGAGGAAGACTATTAATTCTTTGGATTATTATGTATATTTCGGAATTTCCGTGGTCTTCGTCACTTTAGATTCTAAAGTTCGGACTAAAAATATACATACCTATACAAATTTTAAATAACCAATCCGCCTTTTTTTTTACTACTACCTTATTTTCCCAATTAAGAAAAAAAGCATAACCTGCATAATCACAGAAGACCTATGTATTTATAATCCTTAAGGTGCTGCACTTAGGGACACTTAGAGACAAGTAGCATGAAAACAATAAAACCAAAATCGACATAGAAATAGTAGACTACAACATGACAGTATCCAATATGCATCCAATATTCAATATGCAAGTTTGAAAATTAGTAATTGACACGGCTACAAACCATTCAGAATTGAACCCCGCAACCGCCCAGAAAAGAAACTCGATAATTTTTAAGTTGCATTATTTTTTTAAAAATGTGCATAACAAATGCCAAGTTAATGTTTATAAATAAGTGCTTTTGTTCATGATAGTAACTTAAGGTAGATAAAAAATATAAGCAATTACAAATGAGTCTTTGTTTAAATTCTATGAAATTCAGCAACAACTTAGACCCTTAATACATAAGTAGATGTACTTAAATTCAAACTGAGCAATGGTAGTCGCTGGACTTTAGGTACACGCCTCATTTCAGCTCGGCAATTAATACTAGATAGAGGTAAATCCGCAAATGCCTTCCGGCTGGGCGCTTAGTTACTCGCCTCATCCGTGTCGACGTCGGATATATCTTTGAGTTTCGTGTTGCCATTACTGTTGTTTTTCTCATTGTCATCCGCCGCCTTCTGGAAATTCTCCTGCAGAGTTTTGGGATCCACGACCAGGATGGGTGTACACCCATCCATTAGGTGTTCACTTTGGCTCTGGTACTGCTCCCGTGAAATGCTACGAGTGAAGGAGAAGCGTAGCGACTTGGTGCGCGTCAGCTTCTTCTTGATGGGCGGTTTGCCGGCGACAGGAGCCATTGGCTCCGAACTGGTCCGCTCCGAGCCCTCCGGCGTGGTGGGCACTGAGCTGGACTCCAGCTGGTGGTCACGCAGTATTTCTTCCGCAAAACACTTAATTTGGCTCCAAGCGTCCAGGATGTCCCGTTCGGTGGCGTGCTCGTAGGTGACGCAGAAGCGGATCACGTAGCGACCGTTAAACTTAGCCGGTGTCATGTGCATCTTTCCCGAGTGGTTGATTTGGGCCAGGAGCATGTGGTTCGGTTCGTCGCCAGTTCTGTAAAGAGGTTCGTGTAAACCATTAGATTCCCAGAATAAAGATAGAGACTGATATTATCAGACCTATGTTAAAAATTTAAAAAATTTAAGTTGAAAAGTATCTTTTTTAGGGCTATTTCATTTCGAGAAAGTTCTTTACCGACTATATGTAAATGATAATATTCTCTGTAAATGAGTGAAATTTGAATCCAATAGCTAACAAAACGTCAAGTCAAAATAACTTATTTGGCTATTGGATACAATTCAAAAAAGGATTGGATCAATCAAACGCTGTTTAAATTTGTATAAAGATTCTCTGATCCCAAATTAAGAGACTCTGAAGGGTCTTTGGAAAAGTTTCAAATTAATCATTCGATAGATAAACAAATTAAAATTACTGATTTAATTTGTTTAAAAATAGCAAATTGGCGTGCCAGTCCCTGATCCAAAATGCAATATGTTGATCTAGTTAATGCGTGCTTTTACAACTTTTCTTTCTCCGTGCTAATAGTAATAGTTTTAAGACTTACCGCATTCTGAAGCAGACCAGGCCAAGGTGGACATCGTTGCGAACCTCGAATCGCTCATCCTTCCGCACCAGCATCTCAAACTTCTTGGCCAACGCCATGTGATTGCGGATGTATTCTTGTAGACCCCTAATGCCGTATGTCCGGAAGACGAACCAGAGCTTCAGGGCCCGGAAGCGACGACTTAGGGGAATGCCGTAATGGCGGTAGTCCACTCCGCTTAAGTGCTCGTGCCGCAGGTAGAGGGGATTCACGTTGAGAGCGCTCTTCAGGTTCATTACATCCCGCACCCACAGGGCGGAGGCGTCGAAATTCGTTAGCAGCAGCTTGTTAGGATTTGTGTTGAAGGAGTCGGCGTACTCCAGGCCGGCGGAGAAGACCCGCATCTCCGGCAGGATAAAGGAGTTGCCCGCGTAGGCTCCGTCCACGTGCAGCCAAATGCTGGACACCTGACGGCACACCTTGCCGATCTCTGTGATGTCGTCGAAGGCGCAGCCGCCGGTGGTGCCCACGGTGGCCACCACGAAGAAGGGCGTCAATCCGGCGTTCACATCGTTCTGGATGGCCTGGCGCAGCAGGTCGACCCGCATGCGTCCGTGCTCGTCGGCATCGATGATCCGGAGCTTCACCAGCGCCATCTTGGTGGCCTTTTCCACGGAGGAGTGCGCCTCTCGGCTGGCATAAGCAATCAGGCTGGGCAGAAAAACGCTGTCGTGGACGCTGGTCTGGCCCTTCAGCTCGCTAATGGCCCGGGCACGGGCTGTGATCAGCGAGACGAGCACGCACTCGGAGGCGGATCCCTGGAGTGCTCCACCCCCCGTGCTGCCCGGCGCATCCGAAACGAAGGCCTTGGGCAGGCCGAGGGCCTTGGCGTACCAGTTCATCACGATCGTCTCCAGCTCGGCGGCCGCCGGACAGCTGGCCCAGCTGAAGCCAATGGAACCGATGGCACTGCTCAGCATATCGCCAAGGACCGAGGGAAAGGAGTTGCCCGATGGAAAGTAGGCGAAGAACTTCGGGTGGTTCCAGTGCACCACGCCAGGCATGATCTTCTGCTCGAAATCCTCGAGCACGTCCTTGAACGACTCCGGCGACTGGGGAGCGTCGGCTGAAAAGATAAACAGGCAGTCAGGGGATTAGTGGGATGGGCCTTAAATATTTCTTTTATCACCCATAAATTTGGGGAGAGGGGGCCAGCAAAGGCAATATTTATGGCGCGTCTGTTGTTTTTGGCAGTGAGTAGAAAGATCAACAAGTAAGTCTATACGCAAGGTGTGTGTTTGCGTATGCATAATTAATTGATTTGTTTAGTTGAACTCGGGATTGCGGCGTCCATTCCGGCGTAAATATTTAACTTAGCGCAACTGCGCGGAATTCGCCAGAAATTCGCCAGCAAGACCTACTCTTCAGCCTGCCAACTTCAGTGGTAGCCGAAGATCGGAGATCGGAGAACGGAGAGGTGGCTGTGCCTGCGGCCGCCGAGTGTGCCCCAATTATGCCAGGCCCCCACCCACGCACCTCGTTGCGGGGCACTCGAATCCGTGGGCTGGGGATTTTCGAATAGTTTACACTCGCACATTATTCACATGACTCTTCGGGCAGCGGGCAAAACAATTAGTCAACATGATTTAACAAGTTTTTGAGAGGCATTGAGTTGCCCCATGTTATTGCCTAGCTTTCTTTGATTATTTTGCGCGAAGCGAAATATTTTCGGATTCATTGCTAATTTGTTTGGGCATAGTTAACAAATTAGTGTATACAATTTATCACTTGTGCTATAATTAACTTTTTCCTTCTATCTCTAAATGAATCCCAGCAAAAACAATCAAACAAAATAGATCTGACTAACAGTTTTCGGTTGGTATGAAATTCACGAAGGACATTTAAATTTCAGTGATTTTGTGTTAATTCGTCGTCAAAATAATTTAAAGCTTAAAAAGCCGGTTTATATAGTATAATAATATATATTTCAATAGATTGATCTAAATGTCCTTGAAGAACTGTGCAGTTTTTAATTCATATTTCAAATCTAACATCATATAAGTAAAGAACTTATTTTTTATTTGTCTAGCTTTTGTCAGGTATTTGATACTTTCACACGTATTTTTTTGTATTTTGCTCACCTGGTAGCAGTTTTTTTAGGTAACCCGGATCCAATGTGGGCGCCACATCACGCTCCTCTATATTTGTGCCATATTGGCATATATAATCGATCACTTCCTTGCCGTATTTGCGAAACTCTTCCACATTCATTATGTTCAATTTACACTTTTCGTTTGTTTAACCAACAAATTTTGTATATTATATATGCGTGTCCGTTGGTACAAGGTATTATTTATCTTCTGAATACTAGGGTCTAAACACAGCACACACTGACTTATCTCGATCACTGTAAATTCCCGGCTATCACGTATCGCTTGCTCGTTGCAGCTCAGCTTCCTTGACGCGAATGTCTTGGCCACTACGCTGCATTCGTTTTATATGCCTGGAGATCGTTCGCTCGATCGCTCGATCGTGTACACTCGGCCTCTCTCTTTTCTCGGCTATATCCCCTTCACACACCTGTAAGGTGATCGGTAATAGGTGCTCGGTGCCCGGAGCTCGGTATTCGTACTGACGTTGATGTCTCGTGATCACACTCGAATTACCGGCCCGGAGACTCGGACTTCGTTTGGCTGGGAAACCCGCTTTGGTCATTATGGCCACTTCTCTCATTCCGCTCTCGACTACGTGCGGAGCATTACCTGGCTTGGCAAAAAAGTCCCTGGTGGACAAGGGTTTTCAGCTTTTGGCTTAATTATATGGTGAGTTTGTTGTCATTTGCTGTGTGATTGAGTAATTAATGAATGTTTCTTATGTAAAATTGGTCAAATTACTTCATTATAATAGACTAGTGAAGTTGGATATAAAACTTCTGGATGTTTTTTGGGAAAAACACCAAATTAATTAGATATCGCTCAGATATACCAATATTTATATGCATATATTTATAATTAGATGGTTTACCTCTTCGCGAGTGTGACCTGTTTTATATAATATTAATCTTTATTATCTGTAAAGTTTATTTTCCCGCCTCTGGAAAATGCACTAATCCAATTGTTTTAGCTCTGATATGCCATTATCTAAATATGTAGTTGTTGTCACTCTAGACAATGATCTTAAGATATAGTGAAACTATTACTTTTTCCTTAGTTTAATTCTTTGAGTGTACAATAAATTTAGAAATAGCACAGATAAACTTTATGATATTTAAATTGGTTTTAAGCGTGTTCTCCTGCTTTATGTGAGCCGAACCTGAATACTTTTTTTTGTTTGGTTTTTCGGGGAATTTTTGGGGCTTTTAGAAAATTTCCGACTTCTCGCAAATCCGGCACGTGCAAAGAGTGTGCAAAAAGTTATTTAAAGAAAAGAATAAACTTGTTGCCTCTAATCCCTTGAAGAAGTACACATTATTTTCGTGGCTGAGGTCTTTGGCTGCGACTAGTGGGGGAATCACTCCAAGTACTCAAAAAAAAAGTGGCAAACAATTGTCCAAACATTGACCAAATCTGTTAACGGAAATTGGCATGCACGAATGACTGATCCCTGGCAACAGGCGCAACTTATGACGTAGCTGTGAAGAACGCCCATTATTCCATGGAATCTCCAGCTAGGTGAAATACAAAAACACAAATATCAAAATAAACAAATGTTGTTAAATGAATTTCACCGATTTGTTCAGGTTGCGAGGGGAGGGAACTTGGGAGATAATAGGTGTGGGTGGTGAGCACGTATGAATGAATGGGTTTGTTGTGAGAGTCAGCTGGAGCTCCCCCGTAATTTGGCTGGGCGATAATTGCTGACGGGTGCTTATCTAACTCTGCCCTGTAATGATCTAACATTACCTGTGCTTACTTCCCAATCCATCATGTTTCGCAGTTCATAAGCCATCATCTACGGCTCCCCACTCCCTAATAGTACAGTGGATGTAACTGTCTATAGGTTGAATTAAGTACAAAGTTGAATTCAGGATGAGCATGTTGAATTTTTTTTTTAACCAGTACAATTCCTATTTATTTTACAATACTTTTTCATTTTTTATAAAATGTATCATTACAGCCTATCTCGTATTAACTTCTTCCATAAACAACATTGAGGTTAATTCAAAGCTCACAAAGTACAAGACCTTAAAGTAAAAGATCATTAGGGGGAGAAAATCATTTGCAAAATAAAATAAATGGAAAATCTACATGTTTTATTGGCGTCTACCCTATTTTAAAAGAGATACGTTTTAGCATACGTAATAACAGCCAGATCCAGTCGAAACTTTACAATCTCTTAAATGGACAAAACTGTAAAACCTCCAGACAAAAAAAAAATATTAGAAACATTTAAAAACGAGGACGGAAGCTAACTTCGGCAAGCCGAAGTTTTAATACCCTTGCAGACTTTGCCGAAGTTGCTAAAACTGAAAAAGTAGCGAAAGGAATAAGATATACATAAATAAACTAGATTTGCGTCGTTTGATGTCAATTGCTTTTATACTGCAAAAATGTCATATAAAAATGGAAAAAAAGGGATACTTTCGCAGCCTTTAACTATTTTTCCTACGGAAGCTATAAGAAATAGACGTCCGATCGGCAAGCGCTTTTACCCTAATCAAGATATGCGTAAATAAATAAGACTTGGAAAAATGTATGTCAGTAGCTTACACACTACGCGAAAAATTCAGAAAACCAACAAATTTGGACCGATTTCACCCTGTTGTTCCTATGGGAGCTGTAGGATATAGACGTCCGATCGTCACGTGCTTTTACCCTAATCAAGGTATGCATAAAAAAATACGATTTGGAAAGATTCATGTCAATTGCTTATATACTGTGCGAAATATCCTAAAAATCATTAAATTTTAACCGATTTCACCGTATTGTTCCTATGGGAGCTATAGGATATAGACGTCCGATCGCCAAGCGCTTTTACCCTGATCAAGGTATGCATAAAAAAATAAGATTTGGAAAGATTTATGTTAATAGCTTTTACACTGCGCGAAATATCTTCCATTCTTGAAAGTTATATCCGATTGTTCCTATGGGAGCTATAGGATATAGACGTCCGATCGCCACGCGCTTTTACCCTGATCAAGGTATGCATAAAAAAATACGATTTGGAAAGATTCATGTCAATAGCTTTTACACTGCGCGAAATATCATCAATTCTTGAAAGATATATCCGATTGTTCCTATGGGAGCCATAGGATATAGACGTCCGATCGGGGCGATTTTCAAACTTGATCTGCGTACACATGTTTTAGGACGAGTGTGAAAGTTTCAGATCGCTAGCTTTTAAACTGAGCTCGCAAACGGTATTGAAACAGACGGACAGACGGACAGACGGACAGACGGACAGACGGACATGGCTATATCAACTCAGGAGGTGATCCTGATCAAGAATATATATACTTTATAGGGTCGGAAACGTCTCCTTCACTGCGTTACAAACTTCTGACCAAAATTATAATACCCTCTGCAAGGGTATAAAAATGTATTTTTAAACTGCGGATTGATAGCTTGCAAGCCTTCGAATTATCACTTTATTGGTTAATTATTTGTTAACAATTGTTATTCTGTACAGCCAGTTATAAATAAATAAAAAACGAATTACTACTACTAAAAGAATACGAAAAAAGGTTATTCCCTAATTTCATATGCATGTCTGCTGTTTAGTAATAAACAAATTCTTAACGAAACATTAAAATCGGGACCACCGTTATTGTCCCAAAATAATAAGGAGGAATTCATTACCTTACCATACCTTTTTGACAAATACTTTTTCGGCCCTATGCTTCTACAACTTTGAACATTTCTTGAAATTATCTAGTATTTTTATAAATTTTATAAAATTAAGAAGGTATTGCCTTCGAGGTAACGATAGAGCATTATGTTTCCCGAGTTCTGTTTAAAAATAATCAGATTTATACCACGGTAAAGAGGCTGAGGCAAAGTTTGGTTAACATGGGTGATTCACTCGGCGCACGCGTCGCCGCCTTGAAGAGACTCTCGGTGGGAGCAGAGTCCGCTGGTGGAGATTCGTAGATTGTGGGACAGAGATCGGCTGAACACCGTGACTTGACGTATTTCTCTGCTCCTCTTTCGCGGCTCGAGCTTCGCCTGAACTTTCATTCACAGTACCAGCCACCGCAGATGACGTCGTGCGTCTAAATATAAAATCGTATTCAGTTTACGCGGTCACACTTCAAAATGATCGAGGTCCATTGCCACCATCCACCGATTCCATCCGCCTTCTGGTGCTGCTTCTGCTTAACTTGGGCTACGTACGTGCCATCGGGGATGCGTGTTTGGAGCGCGGCTAACGCTTTTGTTGTCTACCCATTAATTATGGCAGTTGGCACTGCCTAACACCGAACAAAATTCCCAATATGTCTCGATACAGTCGAAAATCGGTCACTTAAATTGTATAGTATGTAAGGAAGATAGACTAATGCAAACAATTGAGATGTATTTATATATAGGAAGGTTATTATGCATAAATTATATATTTTTAAAACTATCTTCCAAGCTAAATTTGCAGAAAGTCCCATATCGGTAAAAGAGATATTCTTTTTTAAAACCAACCTAAAAGTATATTTCTAAATTAAAAGCTGAATTAAAGATTATTCAATTAATGGTCAAGATAAGTTTTTACTTAGCCATTCATATCACATTGATTCTCAACTTTTAATTCTTTAAATTAGTTCGATCTATCGAAAAGATAAAATAGGGAAGGTTAATTTGTGGACCTTCGACGGGGGCTGTCTGTAGTTTTTTCTTTGCTAAATTTGCATTTTTATTTTTTTTTATTTTTAATGGTGCGCACGCTTGACAACAGCTGACGGATATTGCATATTAAGATTTCGTGCTCCGGGTCTCTTCTTCTGTATTTTCGTTTATTTTGGCAATTTCGTTTGGTTGTGGTTTTGCCAAATCATACCTTTGGCATTTCAGTCATTCTGTTACGGCTAAACATGCTAATTTATGAGTTTCTTAATTGATTTATTTCGTGGGAGGTGTCAAAGATTTTGTCAAATGATACTTTGAATTTTATAGGCGCCAGAAGCATATAATTGGGTTTATTGGGCGAGTTAAATTAAAAAAACAGGTTTTATAGTTTGAATTTCGTGATAATATGATAAGAAATCTGCTTATTTAGGGTAAGGCGTTAAAATAAAGCCTATTTTTTGTTTTTTATTATGTTGTCCAGGGCCTAAAATAATTATAGTATAGTGTAGAATAGCAGGATCTACAGGAAAATAATAGCTTTTATAAAATCTCTATATCTGAACCCTATAATTCAAATTAAACAATTTCTAATATATTTTAACAATATTTATTATCCCAACTGCCATGAGAATTTTTGTCTGGTAAATTTTCGCAAATTCTATGTTAGCTAAATAATCCTAATCCATTAAAATGGCCTAGGTATGTCCTTGTGCTTAGCTCGATGGATGTAGCTCTAAAAGCTAACGCCAAGACAAGACAAAAGGAGAATCTTGTAGATGACCCACTAGGAACTTATAATGAGGTCGTGCGGAATTTAATAAGGAACTGGGAATCGCCCGTTGTCTACCTCAGGGATCGCGGCTTTCTGCCCAAAAACTTCGAGGATACTTCGAAAATTAAACCTAATCTAGATGCTCTGATGCAGCGAATTGAGAGAGCCAAGAGGCAGCAGACCAAGGGAAAAGACATCATGTTGAAAATAAGACCTAAAGAGATGGTAGAAATTAAGCAACTCAAAAAGTCTGCAAGAAATCAACGGGGAATTTTTTCTAAATCGAAGCAGTTGAAAATCAGAAATAGCAAGTTATCGAAGTCCAAGGCAGAGCTAAAAGAACAGGAGGAGCAACTGCTGGCCATGAAGCGACGATTGGAAGAGCTGCAGCCATCAGGTGCCAGTCCGGACCAGCTAGGATATCGTAGGCAAATCAATTTAACGCCAAGTTTCAATGATCCAGTAAAGTCACCGCAAAGCTACGATGAGATATTACAGCGAATGATTGAAAGGACGAGTCCACTCTCCAAACACCACTCCAGTTTTCCTTTGCAAACCCTTAAAAATGGATTTTTATCAGTTCCAGTAGCAAATACCAACTTTTGTAAGGCTCAACTAGGTTCCAAAGAGGATAACTTGGTCCCAAGTAGTTTGAGTACGTATAAAGCGTTTAGCTTTTTGCCCAATTCAATTGATAAACTCTCCATTGATTTGATCAAATCTAGTCGAGCAGAAAACAAGAGTCAAGCGTCGGCCCCCAAATTGGAATCGAACTTGGAGGCGCCCAGATATCTGAATTGGGACATGAAAAAGGGGCAACTCGACCCTTACTCAAGCGTTGAAAAGGAGGCATACCTGAACCAGTTGGTCAAAGTGTTCGGGAAAAATTATGACTCTAAGGAGACTTATCAAAAAAGGGGATAGACCGTTTTCCTAGAACCACAGAATTCCTTCCCAAAACCCGCTAATTAATTAGCTGGATATATTTGTAAATTTATGATCTCCGTTCAATGAATCACAATCCCATTTCCACATCCATGATGATCAACAATAATCCTACGTCATATCAATGGCATCAGCAAATCGTTTTCGTTTGTTTACCTTGCTCAAGAGCAAAGAAATCACAGGATATTTCTGTTTACCATTTCTCAGTACATGTGCACATTTTTGTTTTTAATGTTGATCCAATTCATTCATTCAAAAACCATATGCTATTGCAAATAAGAAAAGACAAAGGCATGATTTTGGTTGACAGCGTGAGAAAAAATGTCCCAAAATTAAGAAACTTATAATAATTATTAAATTGCATAAATATTTAAATGTGTGTTCAATATAAACTTTAAATGCGTCTAGTACTACGTTTATCAACCCAAAGATATGTTTTTGAAATAATATTTATTGCATTTCATAAACAAGAAAGTAATTCGATCGATATTGCTACCACGGAACTTAAAGTATAAGTATTATAAGGGAGATCGCGAAAAGCCTTGACTTTGGTGTCCCACCGCATTGTAGATTGGTCTAGAATTCAACTAGGCGCCTTGCTTAGGGAAGCGCTAATACTGTATTATAAGTGTGTTTCAATAAACTGAGTGGATATAATTAGTTGAGATTGTCCCGTCCGCCCGAAGCCTTGCGCACAACCATAGGCGATCGACGTGGGGATCGCTGCTCCAGCTGCTGCTGCTGGACATTCACGTAGTCCAACTCGTTTTCCGGCGATGGAGATGATCCAGCTCCGGAATTTCGTCGCGACGATGTGGGCCGCACGTTGGTGTCCAGATGGCGAAAGCTGCAAATTAAATTATGAGTTTTGTTTGATCTAAAGGGAAACTACACGGGGAGTCATCATAATTTGTACAGACTTAAAAATGTGTATAAACACATTACTCCTAAAATACAAATATGTTTTCTTGATTCTCATTGCCTTTCTGTTTTGACCATTTATGAAAAAAGGAACTGAGGAACTTCTTCAAGTGAGGAAAGCCTTCAAGTTTACTAAAATGTCATCATCACCTCCTGCTGTGACACAAAGTTGTAATATGACTTAGGTTTTTTAGTTAAATTTTATAATTAATATCTACCCTTATAACAGACATGTTAAAAATAGGAATGTTACCACATATGGGTAATTTGATAAAAGCCGAGTTAACGCCTTTAATGTATGAACAAATATAAATATGATACAATATTTCGAATGTACATCATGTTTATCATCGTAAGATATTTCTGTGTCAGCCCCAATAGAAATTTTCCTAAGACAAATAAAATAGTTGTTTGTTTAAATTGTTTTGAAAATTCCTAATGAATTCGAGCAGTCCGCTACACTAATATTCTCATTACTTTAAAACTATGAGTTATTAAACATTCAATAACATCTATATAAGATGTATTTTGAACAAGACTCACCGCAACGAGACGTTGCTGCCCTTCTCCTCGTTGTTGCTGTTGAAGAGGAAGGCCAGCGGCCAGGATATCCACGAGTTGTGGTCCACCGAGCTCTGGGTCCGGATGATGGGAGCACTGCCACGGCTGACCACGGGCGAGGGCAACTCCATGGAGAGCTTGGGGGTGCCGGCCTTGTTTATGGCCGGGTTGTATAACTTCGGATCGCTGACCATGCGCACGAAGAAGGATCGTTTCTGGGCCAGCGTGTCCTGCTTCTTGCGGTTCATGATCTCGGAGAGCTCGTCGTGCTGCTCCTTCTCCAGCAGCTCGTTGGCGAAGTCCACGATGATGTCCCATGCGTAGTCGATGTCCTCGGCGGTCGCATTCTGGGCCACGGCGCAGAACCGGATGATGTAGCGGTCTCCCACGCTGGCCGGCACCATGTGCAGTTTTCCGGACTCGTTGATTATACTCAGCAGCTTTTCGTTCAGCTTGTCGCTGCCCTTCAGCCGGAAGCAGACCAGGCCCAGCTAATACAATCAAAAGTTACGCTTTTATTTGTGGTTCCACAAATCTTAAGAGAACTTAAATTTTAAAATAAAAGGAGGAGTTATATACCAAAAAAAAGTATCCCTTCGACCATTTCCTTAGTACAATAAATCATTGTAAAATTGTCATTGGGTTATTGATTTCTGAGAAACGTAATAAGTACCCCTCGGATTGGACCAAAAATTATTGGTCCAAATTGGACTAAATTTGTATTTAGACATAGCAAATAAATTGCTTGAAATAATAATAACATATTGAAAATGCGTTTCAGAGTATGTCGTAATAATTTGTTTATTAAGGATATGACAAACAAAAAGAATGGGTTAATTTTTAATTGTTATACCCTTGCAGAGGGTATTATAATTTCAGTCAAAAGTTTGCAACGCAGTGAAGGAGACATTTCCGACCCTATAAAGTATATATATTCTTGATCAGCATCACCAGGAGAGTCGATCTAGCCATGTCCGTCTGTCCGTCTGTCCGTCCGTCTGTCCGTCCGTCTGTCCGTCCGTCCGTTTCTACGCAAACTAGTCCCTCAGTTTTAAAGCTATCTGCTTGAAACTTTCCCAAAAGTTGTCTTTCTATTGCAGGTAGTATATAAGTCGGAACGAGCCGGATCGGGCCACTATATCGTATAGCTGTCAAATAACTGAACGATCGGAAATGCCATAACTTTGGTGTTTTTGAAGTTAGGAAGTTGTAATTTTCTATGGGTTTTATTTTTGGCCAATCAGTCTGAACTATCAAATTTCATAAGGATCGGGCGACTATATCCTATAGCCGCCATATAACTGATTGATCGGAAATGCCATAACTTTGTTGTTTGTAAAGTTAGAAAGTTGGGATTATCTATGGGTTTAATTTTTCGCCAATCAATCCGACCTACCAAATTTCATAAGGATCGGCCGACTATATCTTGTAGCTGCCATATAACTGAACGATTGGAAATGCCATAACTTTGGTGTTTTTAAAGTTGGGAAGTTGGGATTTTTTATGAGTATTAAGAATGCATCATATAAATAATTTTGGAGAATATAATTTACAGAATATTCTGCAAGGGTATATCAACTTCGGCTCCGCCCGAAGTTTGCTTTCCTTTCTTGTTTAACATGAAACAAATTTGTGTTATATCAAAATCTGTTAGTAACCATCCGTAACAAATATATAATCACACTAAATCCGTGGCATATTCAAATTTTCATTCGGAAATAAAGCAACCAAATTCCCTGTTTAATTATCAGAATTACACTTCCATAACGTGAGTTTCTGTAGATCCGCTACCGAATCGATCACTCAATTGAGTTGGGCACGCTTACGCTCAACGAGTTCGAAACATTTGTCAGTCGCTGACTCGATGAATCACTTGTGCCTGTCTCTGAAAAATTTTCAATGGCAATTATGCCAAAACACTTCTATTGAAAAGGCAAAAAGAAATCAATTTTTGCGTCAGTTTCTTTGCGGAATTTGGCGTGTAGTTGCGCACGTTTGCTTCAATTGCCAGGCGGGTGTGAACAAGTTCACGTCTTCGTGGCCAAGGCCCTCTGGACAGAGTTAAGGCCCCGATATTTGCTTTACTCGCCAATCAATTTCCCAATTATAGCTGCGCCCTACATGGATGCTGGTCCCTTGCTTCGCATAATGGACCCACACACCCACAAGTTGCCTCAATGAAAATCCCACACATTTCGGTGGGGTGGACAAAAGAGCTTTGAACTCTAAGCATGATTAATTACTGGAAGAAATCGAATCAATCGAAATAATAGAAAATAAAAGAGAAAAGAAACGAAAGCAAATGTAACTTACCTTGACTTGGTTACAGATCTCAAAGCGTTTATCTTTGAGCACGAGCTCTTCGAATCGCTTGGCCAGTTTGATATGGTGACGTATGTAGTGCTGCAGTCCGGAAATCCCATAAGATCGCAGCACGAACCTATAAATATGATCTACGTACAAACATACACACACAGAAACGAATTTGGGAAATAATATTTCGTCGTTCTTAAGTACTAGTTGTTATTGTCTTCTGGGTGGGAAAGAATTAGCAATAAATGTTTGTTCGACCATGTCATATTTCGGTGTGGACTCATCTCATCTGGGCGATGGATTCAGCATACATGGGGCATAGAGACCCTTGTACTTACAACTAAATCGCAAGCAAATACGGCGAAGGCACATACTTGAGCTAAACAAGTAAACATACTTAACGCCACTCCAGGCCAATCCAAAAACAATTCAATTTTCGACAATAGTCAACAGAGCCATTCGCACTTGGCTGTCGAGGGCACATATGGCACATGCTACATACCACAGCTTCAGCGAACGAAATCGCCGACTGAGTGGAACTCCCCAATGACGATAGTCGATGGCCGCATCCGAGTAGCCGTGCTTTAGGTACAGCGGATCCACCACCAGGGCTGATGTCAGGCGGATGCGGTCCCGCACCCACAGCGTCGAGCAGTCGAAGTTGGTCAGCAGCCATTTGTTGGGGTTCGTGTTGAATGAGTCGGCGTATTCGATGCCCTGTGGAACGGATCGAATTGGATATGGTTGGGCTGAATCTGGGAAACCCACTCACCTTGAGCAGGGGCTTCAGCTCGGGGCAGATGAAGCTGTTTCCGGCATAGGCGGCATCCACGTGCAGCCAGACACCCGGGAATCGCTGCAGTTGCTTGCCAATCTCCGGCAGATTGTCGAACGCACATGAGCCCGTGGTGCCCAGCGTGGTGGAGACAAAGAATGGCACCAGGCCCTGCAGCTCGTCCTCCTCCATGGCCTCGTAGATGGTCTGGCCACGCAGGCTGGCGTCCTCGTCGGGCTCCAGGATGCGCAGCTTCACGAAGCAGATCATCGCCGCCTTCTCCACGCAACTGTGCGCCTCCTTGGAGCAGTAGGCCATCAGCTTGGACAGCAGGTGGCCCTCCTCCACGAACGGGTGCTGCGACTTGAGCCTCTTGAGGGCCTGCGCCCTTGCAGCCAACATCGTGACCAGCACGCACTCCGAGGCGGAAGTCTAAAGCCCCAAAAAAATACATTGTATGTGCTGAAGAAAAAGACTACAATCGGATGTCTGTATATCATAGCTCTCATAGAAATAATGTGAACGAATTGGCCATAAACATTGTAGCTACATCGAGAAACTATGTAGCCCCCACATTTTAAAATATTAATTTTACCTAAATATTAACAATCTGGAAGATTGTTTTTAAAGTTAATAACATAAAATTGAAAAAGCGTACGGTAACTATTAGGTATGGTAGATTTTTGGTTCAATGATTTGAATTTAAAACCCTAACAATTTCAGTTTTCTTTCTCAAAGATTATATTACTCATACGAAGCGTAGGACAATTCTGGTTTTGGTTAACTAAATATTTTAACAATATTTGATAAGGTAATCTCTGCGATTTCGCAAAATAATAAAAGAATATTATTGATTATAGTACATAGTACACAGATTTTTCGAAGAGGGCAGGGAGTAGCGGGTATATCATCGGTCTTTTGTTTCTATGGTTACCTGGATGACTCCCCCGCCGGTGCTGCCCTCCTTGAGGGCCAGAAAGTGATCCGGCAGGCCGATGGCCTTGCCCAGCCAGTCGAGCACAATCGTCTCCAGCTCGGTGCACGCGGGACTGGCTGCCCAGGAGAATCCGATGCATCCTATTCCGTCGCCCAGCATGTCGCCCAGGATGGAGGGAAACGAGTTGCCCGCCGGAAAGTATGCGTGGAAGCGCGGATGCTGCCAGTGCGTCACCCCGGGCATGATCTTGTCCTCCACATCGCTCATGATCTGGTCCCAATCCTCCGGCTCCTGTGGGGCCTCAGCTGGGCGGTTGGGGAGGTGAGGAAGGGTCTGACCAATTTGTGGGAGAATCTGACTTACTTGGCAACAGATGCCGCAGGTAGCCCGGCTCCACGCTGGGCGTTACTCGACGTTCGCTCAGCGTCTCCAAATAGTTGCATATGTACTCTACCATTTCCATGCCACGTTTTCGAAATTCGGTGCTATCCATCTTTGATCGGTTCTCCAAATGGCTTTCCTGCTGCTCGTGCTGTGAGTTTGTTTTTCTTCGGTTACCCCCACGCTGTGCCTTGGTATTTAAATTTGGAAAATTTATCAATGAATCAGAAAAGCAAACAGGTTCAAATTTTAATTTAATGAAAAAATTCTGATTTAAGTTACGGAAGTATCTCAAAATGCTTATTTGATTAGGGAGTAAGATGTGGTTTTCTTATTTTACTTAGAGTTTGACATTTAACTATTAAAAACTGAAGACCGTTGACTTGTCTTTATGATATACTAAAATTCGTTATGACTCATCCCAGAACTTTTAAAATCGGACAATATTAAAGAAAATGAACTATGTGAAAATTATGATTTCTACACGTAATGCGCCTACAATCTTTTTTGGTACCCAGCTGCGAGTTTAATAATGAGTATCTTAAACTCAATCACGTCGAAAAAAACGTTTTTTCTTTCATGTTATTAACTTTTTTAAAAGGGTTTTTTGTGTAACATATTTTTGGTCAACTTAAAAATTTGCTCTCTTAATATATTATAATTAAACATTTTATAAAAGAATATAATATTTTTTGATAGAAAGAAAAATTTGAATTCACTTATAAGAACAAAATTTAAATTAGAAAGAAAACTAAACATGTAACATAAACGAGCGGTTTGTTTAAAAATTTATACAAAGTTTGGTTTTTGGGCTTATGTTGTACTATTATCATTCGATTTGTTTCAACAATCTGTCCGTGTTATGTAATAAATCCAATGCTTTTTAGTGGGAAAAAAATATATTTCTCACGTATTTTATCGTTTTTTTTATTTATGCGATCTGATTAATCCCCTCCGCGTTTGGAGTTTTATTTGTGGCTTTTTTTTAGCCCACCGATTAAATTTTACATTGAACTTGATGTATTTATATTGATGCTATTTTACATTTATAATGTCCGTGGTTGTGCGTTGGTTGGAAATTTGTGTTCCTTAATTTTGCTCGATTTAATCGCAGGTAGTTTGTATAAACAGAATTGTTGTTTGTAATTAAACTGCGGTTCCTTAGGCATGTTTTATGGCCGTGTAAGGTATACAATTCACAAACAGTTCACTAATTGTCGGTGGGTTATAACCGGATCCGTGGCACTTACTTGAAGCAGAGCAAACTCCGTTGACTGATTTTAATTCCGAGTCCGAGACTACGAACCGTTGGCCACGACTTGCGAAACCAAACTGATCCTTGCTCTGCGGTCTGGCCAAAAGCTAAGCTCGGTCGCCGCTGATGTGGCTTCGCCTTCGGCTGCCTTGGCATGTCTAATGAATGCATACTTCAGTGGGATGGAGCTGGGATGGGACTGGTGGTGGTGGTGGGTGCGATTGAAATGGCAAATAAATGGAATTTTTGCGACGCTTCATTCATAGCTAAGAGCGATGGAATGGGTGGCCACCAATCCTCTTTCGTTGTGCGTGAAGATATGCAAAGAAGAGCAGGGGAAGAGTGAAAAATTAAACATCCACCATTGCCCATGTGAGGTTGCACCGTTGCGTATACTTGATATTGCGTATACGCACTTGAAATTGAGTTTTCAACTGTTAAATGCTTGGGAAACCTAATTTGTGCTTAAAATAAAACTCAATTTGGACATGGATGAGTTAATTCAAAGTACGTGTTGTCATAAACATACTTTCCACTTGTCCTTGCCCAGGGTGCGAACCGTTTTATTAATAACTTCCGCACCAAATTGAATTATTGTTCAGAGCGTACTTGATAGGAATGGCGGTGATGCCAAATGATTATCACGATGGGGATGGCCGGGCTGAGCAGCAGCCCAAGCAGGAGCAGAAATATAAGGAATTTCAACGAATTCCTTTCGGAAAATTCCAGCCCGCTTTCCTTTTCCATCTCGGGCTCCTTTCGTTCCGGCTGCACTGGGCCATAGAACTGTCTGGGACACGTGGCTCCATGTACTTGCCATCATCATCCCACACAACCATCTGATTTTTCCCTCGGTTTTTTGTTGTTGGATGAAAGTTCATTAATAAACTTTCATTGCTGCTGTCGAATTCAGCTGCAGCTCCCACACCCAGTCACTAAAATGTTGTTCGGCCTCAGCTTCAACAAGTGGCATCATGCTCCTGCGGTTATCATCCCTCGGTGACCTCCTTTTCCCGCCCCCCACTCCATCGCCCGTTGTCTAGTGGCCGACAGCAGCAGGGTTTTATTTAATGGGAAAACGCTGCGAAAACGCTTCTGCATTCGCGTTCATTTAATTGCTGTAGAAATGGTTTTTTATTGACTTTTACTTGAACTCCTCTTCAAAATGCATTAAGTCGAAGCAACGACTTTCATGGTTATGCCAGATGGTTTGCATTTCTTCTTAAGAAAGTGTAAGTTTTATTTTATTTCTAAAATTGGCTACGTTTTAATATTTTTCGATGCGTTATTAAATAGTAAAATGCAATCAATAATACTAAAAACTTCTTTTTAACTTTAGTAACATATAAAGAGTATGTATTTTTTTAATCTCGATCGATTGTAAAAGTAAAATATTAAACAAAAGCCTTATTAATAAATGTAATTTATATCTTCGATTTAATTACTCACTTGTGAGATAATGAAATTATTTAAAAATAAATTTATGCGATATGGCTTTATATTTCCTATAAAACGTCTTTAAAATTTTATTAGTTTGGGGAAAATATTGCTTACAACGAAACCAGAAAAACGAGCCATTCTCTAAAAGTGTAGGTAACATCGCTGGCCAGAAGACCTGGCCGCTTACACCATTTGCAGCTGGTTTTCTTCCGTTCTGCTCTTGCTATCTCGGCTCATAAACCAAGCAATTATTCAATTTGCACGGACTGTGACCGGGAAATAGCTGCTCCGGACAGTTTACGACGAGTGGTTGGTTGTTAAGTTGGTTGTTGAAATTCTGGACCTCAGGGTTCTTCTTTTCATCCCATTATAGGTTCAAGGTTATTGCTGAAGGGCTTCTGCGAGATTATATTTCTGATAGAGAAAAACAATCTTATTTGCAGATTTTGTCGGTCGGCCTCAAAATGATGCACTACCGCAAGGCTGAAAACGTGGAAAAGGAGCTGAGCAAAAGCGATTTGCCGTTCGAGGACTGCATGCCAAACATCCAAAAGGATATTCTTTGGATGCATGTGAGTATTGAAAGCTGATCTTGAAAATTTTCCTTAAACTTCTTACTTTATTAAAGGTTAAAGGTGGTACCAAAATAAGCAACGTGATTGAGTTCGCTCAGGCGGCTCTAAACAAAGGCGAACACAGATGCGTAGTGTGGAGCGGATCTGGTGGTGGAGTGGTCAAGACTATATCCTGCGCCGAAGTCCTGAAACGGAGCCACCCCGTCTACCAAGTGACGCGCATGGCCTACACCAGGTGAGCTGCTCGTAAACAACTAACGCGTCATCACCATCATAGTGTATTTAATAAAGCGTCGAGGAGCACTGGAAACCACAGATGGATGGCCTCGAGGAGATCATTGTGAACCGCCAGATACCCACCTTACACATCCTCATGAGCCTGGACGAGCTGCCAGATAGTATAGAAGGGTGCGTTAAATGTGCATTTATTATTATTTAAATATTGCAATTCAATATTATTTGTATAGTTTACAGAAGCCAAATACATCAACCGATTTCTGGGAAGGCGAAGGGGCTAAACCTCGTCAACCCCAACACCGCCAGCAGCAGCAACATCAGCAGCAGCAACACCAGCAACAGCAACACCAGCAACAGCAACAACCAGGTGCCGGAGGTCGACCAAACAAACGCCACAGGTCCGGACGCAATAAACCGGGCCAAAAACCCGGGAAATCTGCCTCAGAAGAGAATCAACCTACCAGTCAGAGTCAAGGTTGAGATAAGACGCATAACTAGCCTTCTAAAATTGTGAAAATTCCTTTATTTGCCATTTGTAAGGATATACAAATAAAGTCTAATTTATCACAAAAGCATTATGGCATTAAAGCAATTGAGGGCAATGAAAGATAGGCTCTAAGAAGATAAGCAAAGGCTTTGTATAATTATTTTTATAGATACACTATTCACATTTACAGTAAAGGCTCTTTGGGGACAGAAAATATTTCACTTTCCGTTTTTCGACTTTGGATTTATTTAATTTAATTCTTTGACAACTTAGGAAATTTTTGTTAATTTTCACTCCAGAAGTAGATTGATAGTGATTAATTGTTACGTTTTTACACTTCTATCAGTCTTTTTTTAATATAGTATAAAAAAAAAACTGATTATAATTATATTGCACTTGAGAATCGATTACGTTATGCAGAGGGAATCCTGAGTGGGCTTGGTAATCTAAAAATAATATTTAATTTGCCAACTACCATACGTTTTCCAGTATAAAATCTTAATTTGGCTTACAATTATATCGAGAAAACAGGCCTGAATGTAATAAAGAAAATGCAAATATAATAAATGACAAATCGGCAATCTAATGTTACGGCTTACATCTTTGGAAGATATTTTTATTCAAACCACTTCAGGGCTAAAATTTGTATTTTTCTCATTAGGTATAAATTTTGCAGACAATATATTTCGTAAATTTAACATTGAAATAAAGTAGAGGAACGTTTGTAATAAATAAGTAGAGAAAATACACCTCCAAAGCGGAACACCGAAGTACATAGCTTTTACTGTAGTTCTGGTTTTATTTATTGTGCACACAAAATTTGTTGTGCACACAAAATACTTACGGAAAGCTGCACAAATCTAATCTGGCGGATTTCAATGGCGCTTATCAACGCACGAATGTGCAGCCCGTAGGTTAGTGTGAAAAATGTTGGGCCTGAGACGAGTTCTGCGATCGGTGGCACAGCGTCAGCTTAGCAGCCAGAGTGGCAAGCCCCAAGGAGATGTCCTGCCCCAGAGCTGCGATGTCCTGATAATCGGTGGTGGCGGAATGGGCGCCTCATCCGCTTTCTGGCTCAAGTCCCGGACTCTGCAGCTGGGAAAGAAGCTCAATGTCCTGGTGGTGGAGCGGGATTCAGGCGTAAGTACAATTTCCATATATCATTTCTCATAATAGGAATCGGTATAATCCTAGTTCTAAAACTGCGTGCGGCATGTTAAATATTTATTCTAAACATCAGGCGTTGTGTATTAATCTATTATATTCGACTATAATTTATTTCGTTTGAATTAATGTCAGCGCTGGTTGAACCCTGTTATTTAATAATTTAAAATGCTAATGTGTTTACATTCAGCTGATCATAGAGATTATATGCATTGCTATATATGATACTCCCTCCTGCGGACTAATAAATTAACTAATTTAATTATTTATTGGTTGCCTGTTTTTTATAGTACACCAGTGCCTCGACTGTGCTCTCTGTGGGCGGAGTTCGCCAGCAGTTCTCCCTGGCTGAGAACATACAGATGTCGCTGTTCGGATACAACTTCGTGGTGAACGGAAGTAAGCACCTGGGTGATGTGGATCTTTGCTACCAGCCAAATGGCTACCTGATCCTGGCATCTGCAAAAGGAGCCCATATCCTGGCTCAAAACTCTACGCTCCAGAACGAGCTGGGTGCCCGAAACGAGCTTCTCGGCCCGGAGGCGCTCCGCCGACGATTTCCGTGGCTGTCTACGGAAGATGTCGAGTTGGGATGCCATGGGATCGATAAGGAGGGATGGTTTGATCCCTGGGCCCTTCTGATGGGCTACAAAAAGAAAGCCCGGGCCCTAGGCGCCAATTTTGCCAACGGTTCGGTTGTGGGTTTTGAGTGGAATGACTCGGGAGCCCTTTCCGGAGCAGTGGTCGACGCCGGAGACGGAGTGCAGCGAACAGTAAAGTTCGACACGTGCGTCCTGGCAGCTGGAGCCCATTCGGGGCAGGTGGCACGCCTGGCAGGCATCGGCGATCCTGGGGCTAAAGAGAATTCCCTCAAAGAAGCTCTGCCAGTGGAACCCCGCAAGCGGTATGTCTATGTGATCAGTACACAGGGGCGGAACTGCCCGGGCTTAGCCACGCCTCTGACCGTCGACCCAGATGGCACTTATTTCCGGCGCGATGGTCTCTGTGGGAACTTCCTTTGCGGCCGCAGTCCAAACGAAGACGAGGAGCCAGAGTGCGAGACGCTGGACGTGGACCATGGCTACTTCGAATCGAATGTTTGGCCCACACTGGCGAATCGAGTGCCGGCCTTTGAGTCGGTGAAAATCCAGAGCAGCTGGGCGGGCTACTACGACCACAACACATTCGACGCGAACGGCATTATCGGCAGACACCCTCACTACAGCAATCTCTTCATAGCAGCCGGTTTCAGCGGTCACGGTATCCAGCAGACTCCGGCTGTGGGTCGAGCCATTTCCGAACTGATCCTGGACGGCAAGTTCACCACACTGGATCTATCTCGTCTCGGCTTCGAACGCCTGGTCAACAAACAGCCCATGTTCGAAGTGAATATCGTTTGATGAAAGTTTTACGGGCGGTAAGAACCCATACTTTTTGTGTGTATGTACTTCTTTTATTGCAATTTCTGTTGTGTATATAGTAATTTTGTATAGTAAAGTTCACGTTTTAGTCACGTACAGCTTTTTTGGTGTTTTGGCTGCAAGTTGTCAAGGGATTTGGTTTTCGGGGTTATGGTGTGGGTTCGGCCACAAGAAGGTCGTGTGCCTACATATAATTTATTTAAAATAATGAGTTAAACATAATCGTAATATAACTTGCGGAATAATTGCTGACTTAGGATCAGATGGGTCGATCGGGGTGGAGTGGGCCTGCTTATATCTGGATCTGCCCTTGTTACTTAGTTTTCGTTATGTAGCTCTATGTGTATCTGACATCTAAACTACATACAAGATCTGCATTCGAGTCGGGTTCGCTCCGTCCGTGTGTCTCTGCCAGGGTGAGCCAACCCAAGCTGCAAGCTATTGGTAAATATAAATAGATGTATGTTGAATGAGTGTTTCATGCGAGTATGCGCCTAGGCCTCGCTCTCCCCCGGAGCCGCGTTCTCGCCCACGTTGATGGGCACAATCAGATTCTCCTTGGACATCAAATTGTACTTTGTGACGAAATGCGTGAATCGGTGGCACAGATACGTCTCGGCCTCGAACTCGTCGAAGATGCGACGATGGTGAAAGTATGCGTGCGAGAAGATGCGGTACACGCGCCGGCACACGGAGCCCAGCTTGGTCACCGACGACTCCTTGATGGACACCCTGTGGGAGACACTTTGCTTATAATGTGGCTAGTTCCAGTCAGTCGGGCAACCCCCATACCTGCTCGGAAAGTACTTGTTGCTGTTGAGCAGACAGGCTGCTCCGTCCAGCGTGTGGCGTGTGTAGTCAATGGCCGGACACTCCTTGGGCGTCTTGTGGGCGGCGCACAGGAAAATCCACTGGTCGGTAGCCGTCATCTGGGTGCACGTCGAGGGAGAGCACTCCTTCTGCAGCCGCACGGCCAGGCCGTTCAGCTCCATGCAAAACTGGCGCAAGTGCTCGTACTTCCACACGCCCTCGTCCTGCGCCTCAGGCATGGTCAGGATGAGCTCCACATTGCTCGGGTCGCGCTTGATGAGCTGCTGGATGTACTGTTGCACCGCCAGTGTGCTGTCCATCTCCTCCAGGGGCTCGTCGGGCCAGCGACAGAAGTCCTGGAAGGCGGAATAGGAACCTGGTCAGAGGGCCTGGGGCTCGTGCGCGTGGTCAGTGCTTACCTTGGATTTTGTGCCTGGCCGGTTCCTACGCAATATGGTCGAGCCGTCAGCCATCTTCATGTTTCACCTGCTCGAAGACGCGATGATCCAGAACGCCTGTGTCCACGCCTTGGTGAAAAATCCCTGGCAGAGCCTGACTTGGAGCGTAATCCCTGCCCCACTGGATTCTCCGGATTTGGGATCCCCACACTAATATAAGATTAATGGACTCTACTTGCGCTAACACATCGCTCGAAAATTAAATAGCGTTTATCCAAAACACTTTGCTTTGTGCGAGAAAATTTCTGACAAATTCTACATACATACATAGGCCTATCGATTGGCCGCAGTAGTTTGCAATCGCTATCGATAGGTTTCTGGTATGTTTTCGGTATTTCCGCCAGCCCTGACCGCAAATGGCCACACTCTAGGCAGCCAGTCATCATAAATACGAACAGATTGAAAAACTTACAAGAATTGCGTATTATCTGTGGTATTACGAGATCGAACTTTCAAATAGCCAACTTGTCGTAACTCACTTAGCTGCAAACATGTCCTACGCGTACTTGTTCAAATACATCATCATCGGCGATACAGGTGAGTGGAAACTGCGACTCCCCTTCGAAATTGCTAGCGAAAAGTTGGCCATTGTCAGGGGAAACAATCAGGAATTAGAAAACAAAACAAAGGCGATCGCCTGTCGCAATAATGGCCGCTGAAATCGTGGGTCCATAGGGCCTCAAGTGAAGAAATAATCACAATGCAAGAATAATGCGTTCGTACGGAAATATCCCTGGAGTCGAGCGGCCGAAGGAAAAATCAATAAAACCATAACAACGCATACAGGCGTTTACTGAACAGGGAGTTAACGGGGTGCGGGGAGCAACCCACGCAGTAAAACCCTGCTGCTGAGTCACCCAACCACCCCCAGAAGCTAAGGGATTCCGCCCCAAAATAGACACGAGCTTATCAGCAGACTGCTTTTTGGGATGCACAACAGCTGTTGGCGGTTTTCCAGTTTTTCCAACTTTCACTCAATGGCCCACTGACTTTTCCCCATTTCCTCAGGCGTGGGCAAGTCTTGTCTGCTCCTACAGTTCACGGATAAGCGTTTCCAGCCGGTGCACGACCTGACCATTGGTGTGGAGTTCGGAGCTCGAATGATCACCATCGACGGCAAGCAGATCAAGCTTCAGATCTGGGACACGGCTGGCCAGGAGGCTTTCAGGTGCGTAGAATAGCCCCGCTTATTGTTTTTAAAAACCATTTTGTCAATATCATGTTGAGGCTCCAGCTTCGTAATCATATCGTCAAACCTTATTTGGAGAGTCCCAGAAATCACTTCCAACGGATATCATATCTCGCCATCGCAGAAAAATGAAAAATTAACAACCAACCAAAGAGCTTCAGAAAGTTTGCTGCGAAACACGTCGAAAATTTAAAGACACGGTTGTTGCCCCAAAAGTCGTTAAGGATTTTTGGGACACGCTTTAAAACTATATTTTCATTTTTCATTTAATTTATTTAAAAAAATTCCTTTTATGTCTTAGAAATTCCTCAACTTAAAAGTATAGATTTTTAAAATTATTGGAAAATTAATATTTCTAAAAAATGTTTTAAAGAGTAAAAAAAAACCAAATATTAAAATTCTATGACACCGACGGAATTTAGGGTCACCCTGAATATTAGGATAATCTTAAAGAGACTCGTCCAACATGATATTGAAACAAAAACAACACTTAAACTCAATGTCAAATATTAAAATTTTAATATAAAATTTCGGATAGATCCATTACACGCTCATACTATCGAGGAGCAGCAGGCGCCCTGCTAGTCTACGACATCACGCGGAGGGAGACCTTCAACCACCTGACCACCTGGCTGGAAGATGCACGCCAGCACTCCAACTCGAACATGGTGATCATGCTGATCGGCAACAAGAGCGACTTGGACTCGAGGCGCGAAGTAAAGAAGGAGGAGGGCGAGGCCTTTGCCCGCGAGCACGGACTGGTCTTCATGGAGACGTCGGCGCGCACGGCGGCCAACGTGGAGGAGGCTTTCATAAACACGGCCAAGGAGATTTACGAGAAGATCCAGGAGGGCGTCTTCGACATCAACAATGAGGTGAGTTTGGAGGAAATCGCCATGTAAACTCCTAGTAAACACAATGTAATTTATCTTCAACCAGGCAAACGGCATCAAGATCGGCCAACAGCACTCGCCCACAAACCCGTCGCTGCCAGGAGCCGGAGGAGCCGCTGGAGCAGCAAACAGTGGCTGCTGCTAGGAGTAAACCGCAGATGCCCGACTGCAATTCTGGGATAGACGTAGCCGCTTCTGTAAAAGCTACTTTAGTGACTAAAACTAATAGAAGGTAGTTGGAGGGACATATTTCTTGTTTTCTATCTCAACAGTAACTAACCACGTAAACATAGCTACCACTAAACTAGCAATCGAACACTAAGCGTAATGTTAAAATCATAAAGATCAGACAGCTACAAGAAAACACAACTCCTTGTTCAGCTACGTTTTAATTTACCAAAAGAAACCAAAAGAAAAAACCAGAAATAAACCAAAATCAACAACATTTGTACATGTGAATGTGTCGTGCGTGATTTCTAAATTTTATAAACTTTATCGAAACATTTATTAATGTTTTTGCATGTATTTTGTGTATATTGAAATTAGTTTGCTAGTTACTTCGTGTAAAGATCGATAGTTATACATTGGGATCTTAGCAAAATAATGTGTAATATATAAACCAAACTCAAACTATGTGAATTTTCATTGTGATTCGTTTTCAGTGAGGTCCAGCCCTGCAACGCTGCGCCACGCCCCTTTTTGCAATGGGTATCTGCTCCTGTTCTATATACATACATACATACATACATTATTACATCTATGCATATTTTTACGTTTCGTTCTCAACGCATTTGCTTTGTCTCTATTTTGTTGTGCAATCCGCTTTAGTGTTTATACATACATTAGAAAAAAAAGTACTTTAACAAAATATACAAAACTTGTGAGCTGAGATGGGGTTATATAATTTACACACTCAACCTGCATTAACAGTGGATACACGTAAATGCTGCGATTCAATGATCAATTTAGTATTTTACGAAGTTTATATATTAAATTAAATGCGACAGCTAAGACAAAACGAAACTAACAACTGTAAACGTAAATCAAATTATTTATAATATTTGTATTTGCCCAACACAATGCAGAATAATAAATATACATACTAAATATTAAAACATATGGGTTAAATCATTGCTTACCTTGGGCCTATATATAGATCTTAGAAAAGAAAACAACAACTGATTTTATGATTTCTTAAGAAAAAGGACATGATACCTAATATTCTGCTTACTAAACCTGAATTTAATTTTAAAATATCAACACTAGATATGAACCGTGGGTTCTGAATCAATAGACGGTAACATTTATAGTAGATAACATACATTTGTGTGGCGTCAGTGTAAGCTAAGTTTGGCTTCAGTTCCCAAAATGCAGGTTATCAAAACGACAGGCGAGGGACGAACCGACGGACGCGTCTAAATCCACTCGGTTGTTCCTGGTAAATTCTTTAAACGAAAAGAATTACTATTGCAAAAATGCTTCCTTAAAAAAAAGTAAAAATCGCGTTAAATTTTTAAATTGTATTTATTTTGTAATAGGGTTTTAGTAGATAATTGTTCAATTGATGTCTTGTAAATAATATAGAATGGTGATTCATTTTTTTTGTATATACATATTTGCTAAAGTGATTGGAATCAACAACTACCTTTATCTATAAGTCGGCTAAGAGCTATAGTGTCGAATTTAGTTCATATCTTATTTGCGTGCTTACATTTTAAAGGCTTGTTTTCACTAATTTATAAATATTTTTGTATTTTCTGTAATAATACTTGAACTTGTAAGATTTTACATAAATGTTTTTATTTATAATTTGAATTTTTGAATGTTTCGTCTAAGAAAATTTCGCCGAGCTGCAAAAACAGGTTTTTATTTTAACAATAATTTTTTTATAGCCTAGTTTGCTCAGTTGTTTGGTTTAAATTGGAAACTATTTGGATCCGTGAAGTTTGATGTACAGATATTATTTTGTTTTAGTTTAACAACAAATGCTCCAAAGACTTTATTGTGAGTTTTAAATAGATTGAAAATGGTCGCTTGTTATTGCATACGTTACATAGATTGTTGTTTATTGTATTCTCTTTAATTAATATTCGTTCGAAATGTAAGGCAATTAAAACTATTTTTCTAATTTTTGTAAAGAAGACAATTGAGGGACCCGTTTGCACCTGGCAGTGATGCACTGCATTGATATTGATTGAAATTGAACAGTTTGTCTAAGTGTGATTAAATATGCGATTAGTAATTGCCCTAGTACGGTAATTAGTTATTAGGTGTATATAGATACTTAGCTGCAATTAGTCAAGTCAAGTATATGCTTACAGGCTAGATCTTATAAAATAGGCTTAGTTTCAGTTACAATTCTGCTCTGATTTTATGGCTGCAACACCATTTGACATAAGAAACTCGTTAACATTTAATGCTAGTCCATTATTATGCTACAGTTGTGATTTGTAGTGCTTCAAGTTCTCCTTAACCTTCGGCACTTAACAATGTTATGTATGTAACCTAGTGTAAAAGTTGAGCTTTTTTAGTCTCTGAGACATCACTATCACTCTCCTTAGGTGCTTTCTTCTCACAGAACTCGATCAGATACGAACAGACGCCGGAGAGTGCTATAAATATGCCCGCATAGTAAAAAGTATCGTCCCATCTGCAAGGAAATTCAAATTGGTCAGCAAAGATTGTGAATGTCTACGTTGTCCAGTTCAACTCACCTGCCCGTATGCTCGTATATAACGCCCGCTATTGGAGGTCCTGCGATCATGCCCACTCCCTGCACCAGCAGCACCAGACCGTAGGCACACGTGAAATCGTCCAAATCAACAATACTGACCAGAATGCTGGGCGTGAACGAAAAAGAGCTGGCGAACGTGAATCCGAAGATGACACACATGATCATCAGGCCCCAGTAGCTGGTAATCAGCAGGGGCATAAAGAACACCGACGCGCCGCAGACTGAAAGAGGTAGTTCGATTGAAAAGCTGTCCGGGATACGCTCCTGCCAACAACTCACCCAACATGCAGAGCGAATAGCATATGTTGATATTCATCCATGGCAGATCGCCCAGATAGCCCAGTCCTATCATTCCGATCGTTTGAGCAACACCGATATCCGATATGAACTCGGCACTCACGCTCACATTGTACTTGTGCTGCTTCATGTATTCGGGCAGGTACAGATAAGGGATAATGAACCTGTGAAGCGTGCCAAAGGGTTAGATTAGATGAGAGGCTTATCTGGACAAGGTTGAGTTTGAATTGATTTCAACTAGTTTCCTTATCGAGCTAATGGAGCAATTCAACTCTGCGCACACGGGGTACGATAAACCATGATCTTGAGCACTGTTTCGGCGGCGGCCTACTACCAAAGCTTATCCGACACTAGGTACTTGGAATTCCACTGTTGGCCAATATTATTATTGTGCAACTAGTTTTCCTTTTCGAACAGCTGCCAAAATTGTTTGCGACATCTTCTGGCAAATGTACAATTTGCAGTTGACGGCTTGGCACGGCACATTTATCTATTAATTATACCCGTTACTCGTAGAGTAAAAGGGTATATTGTATTCGTGCAAAAGTATGTAACAGCTAGAAGGAAGCGTTTCCGACCCTATAAAGTATATATATTCTTGATCAGGGTCACTAGCCGAGTCGATATAGCCATGTCCGTCTGTCCGTCTGTCTGTCCGTCTGTCCGTCTGTCCGTCTGTCCGTCTGTCTGTCCGTCTGTCTGTCCGTATGAACGCTGAGATCTCGGAAACTATAAAAGCTAGAAGATTGGCATTTTGCATGCAGATTCTAGGAGTTCCTACGCAGCGCAAGTTTGTTTCAAAAAGGTGCCACGCCCCCTTTAACGCCCACAATCGCATATATACGATTTTAAAAATTTAAATATTTCGGAAAAGTAAAAATGCAGTTTTATTGTGTTTATCAATACCTTTCGAAATGTAGAAGAAATTTTTCAAATCGGACCATTCGTTAAAAAGTTATGCGTGATCAAAGTTTCTATCTCCATCTCCCTCGCACTCCCTTTACCTGAGTAACGGGTATCTGATAGTCGGGGCACCCGACTATAGCGTTCTCTCTTGTTTTAGCATTTCTTTTGCCTTCAGTTAGTGCGCAGCTTGTGGTCTTCGCCATTTGGTTTCCCTGTGGTTTTCTTTTCAAATATATTGCCAAAAAGTACTCACCAAATAAACAAAAACAACGTTGAGAGATTGAAGAGGGCAAACTTCATGTCCAGAAAGAGGGAGAAGTCAAAGATGGACTTCATGGTGTCCACGAAATTGTCATACCAAGTCTGTCGAGAGAGCAGAACAAAATTTAGGTACTTTTTAGAGATCGAAAAAATATATTTCTTCAATGCGATATGTAAACAATTGTCTTCGGCCGTTTAATTCTTTTTTTACCCTACGGAATTTAATCAATTAAAAACGTATTTTATTATCAAACAAATTATAAAGTGTTTCCAATTATAAAATTTTGGTTATCACTAATCACTTGATCTATAATTATATAGAACCGATCGGGTGGAATAATAAACACTCTGAATTTTAAAATAATAATTGCCTTTAAATTAATATATTTTAAGTTATGATTGATTATTGATTGAAAGCCTTAATTGGAAAGACATGACCCTATTACGACCGATTTGATTAACAGATGATATTTCAAGGTAACAAAGAATTGAGTTTTAAAAGCTGATACGGTTCAGTTTTGTTCCCGTACGGAAGTCAGAGTGGCAACCTTATCAGCTATGGACGTTCGCCCATGTGGTCCAAACAGGCGACTAAACAGAGACAGAGAGGCAGCTGATAACCAGCTTTAGCCATTAACCAGCTGGAGCTGTCGCCAAGCGACCAGCCGATAAGGGCGGGGGCAAGGGTCACCGTCTACTCACATCCTCCTCCTCCTTGGCAATGGTGGTCATCGAGTTGCGGTAGATGTTGGGACAGGATGAGGCACGCAGGCGGTAGCGATGGGTGTTCAGCATGGCACCGCGGTAGTGGATCGAATTGCGGTGGATGCGCATGTCCTTGAGGAAGTTGGAGTTCCGGATTGAGATGTTTCGCCGGAGGTTTGATCGGTGGTGGCTGGGCTTCTTAGAACGCGAAAGTCGCCGGATCCCGGTGATGCTGTCCAGTCGGGCCCGTCGAATGGCCAGCTCGCTGTTGACGGACGGCTCCTGCTCCGGAATGGATATCACCGTGGGCCCGATCCGCCTGCCCGGCTCCAGCAAGGCGAATGTCTCGTCCTTCGAGTAGTAGCAGTGCATGTCCTCGCTTAGGATGTCCACTGAATTGTGGCGCAGGCCGTTCACCTTCAGGTTGGAGATCGATGGCGTTGTGTGCTTGGCCATGAAGAGGTTTTCATTCAGCGAATACCGGGAGCTGGCGTGCTTCTGGGTGAGATAGCCCTCGTCCGAGGAGCGCAGCGATCCGCCACCGGTGGAGCGCTTTTCTGACGGCGACAGCGTCTCAATGGAGGCCAGATATGACTTTTTCGCCATGTCCGCCGTCTCCTGAGCGATGCCACCCATGAGGGTGTCGTCCGGGGAACCAATGGCGGCTGTCGATGGCGGATAGGCGCCCGCTCCCGAGGACATGGACAGAAGGTTCTCACGGGAAGGGGCCTCTGCACCCTCCTTGTGGCGCAGGGATCGCCTGCTTAGGCTCTTCACCTCGTAGATGCTGTCCAGCTCTTGGATGCTCAGGAAGGTGGGCAGGAAGATCTCGCTGCGGTATCGCTTGAGGGCTGAGTCCAGGGGATCATCAATCTGCTGGTTGGCCTCCGTGTTGTTTTTGGTCACCAGCGAGTCCAGCACAGCCTCCTTGGTGATGCCGGTATCCAGCAGCTTCTTGATCTCCTCCAGGCAAACGCTGGAGTTGGAGAAGGTGGTAACGCTCTGGGACCGGCTCTCCAGCCGGTTCTCCTCGATCAGCCAGTCGGGATCGCGCATCAGGGCGCCGCAAACGCAGGCGTTGAGCATGGTGCCCCCTAGGATTAAAGTGGCTCCCCTCCAGCCGTACGACTCCATCAGATAGGAGGTGAGGCGGGCGTAGACAAAGGTTCCAATACCGGTGCCAGAGGCTCCTATTCCGGTGGCGAAGGTGCGCTTCTTGTCGAACCAAAAGGCGATGGACACCACTGCAGTCACGTACCCGATGCCCAGGCCAAGACCCGAGATGATGCCAAAGGTAACCATCAGCATCTCAATAGAGTTGCAAAAGGAGGAGAGCGCGAACCCAAAGGCGGAGACCACGCCGCCGATAATGGTCATCCTGCGGCAGCCGTACTTGTCCACCAGGTTGGACCAGATAGGTCCCATCAGCAGGGGCACGGAGAAGAACAGCGAGGAGATCCAGGCCGTCTTCGAGGTGGACTCGCCGAAGTAACCCAGCAGCTCCACGTTGATCAGTCCAAACGAGAAGCTCAGTCCGTCGGCAATAAGGGACACCACCAGCGAGGCGAACACCACCACCCACCCGTAACCGCCGTCGGGTATCTTGGGTGCCTTCTTCTCCGTGGTGCTGGAGTCGATCGAATCGCCGGACTCGTTCGAGATCAGGCGCTTGCGCCGCTTCACCTGTCCGTTTCCGCCGTTCATCAGGCAGGTCAAGGTGCCGTCGTCGAGGGCGACGATGCTGCTCCTCACCCCCACCCGGCTGTGTCCCGCTCCGTCGGCGAGCTCCTCCACGGAGAGGTTGCAGAAGGTGACCTCCGGGAAGAGGTCGTGCTTGATGGCCTTGTGCAGGGGCGTGTTGGCTGGCGCCGGGGTGAGGGGCAGTGCCTGGTAGTTGGTGGCGCCTCCATTGTGGTTATTATTGACCGCCTCGCAACTGTTGTTGTTGGAGGCCTTTGGATCCGTCGCTAGCTTGGCCATGTCGGAGTGCCAATGATCAATGAACGATGATCGAAGATCGAGGTGTTGTGTAAAGGGTTCAGCTACGGCTATAAAAAGGTTTGTAAAATTTGCACTTTCTTGTCCAAGCGATTATTGGAAGTGAACACAATTTGCATTAGATTTCAGCATTAATTTTCTTAAGTAGGCGTTAGGTGAATATTCCCCTTTTCTGTTGGTCAACTGCAGTGCGTAGCTGAAAGATAGAGAAAGAGAGCATAGAGCCTTAGAGAGTTTCCAACTTTTCATCATTCCTCCACCCAAACTGCACTTTCACTTTTTGCCCTGATTAATTGGAAAAGTTGTTCTCAACTTTTTCCATCAAACTCTCAGTCGTAATCATTTCGCCAATTTGTTTTATCTACCTCGGTAAAAATATGGTTTTATGGCTTTCTGACCAATCAGCGGGACCACAACAACAAATGCCTGAAAACATTTCGTTTAAAAATCCGCGCAGAAACTGTTTGGTCATTTGGCATTTCATTTATTTAGTTTTCAGAGCGCCTTCAACTTGACCTCAGGAAAACGGCGGAAAATCTTTCGAGAGTATTCTAAGAGAGTCGAATGGCTTTCTTCTTACATCAGTCCGAAAACAAAGTGCGTCACATGAACGCGACGGCAGCTGATGTCTCCCAATAATTATGGGATCCGAAAATGAATATTTAGAAATATATTTTGTTTTGGCTTTCGGTGGCCTGTCTGTGGTTAATTATAGACTGCCGTATAGGCTGTATAGGGAAAAATACATCAACGTTCGGACGGAGAGTGTATGCAATACAAGGTGTTGGGATTATAGAAGGAAAGAGTTGGGTAAACAGTGTCCCATAGATTTCCCACTAATTGTATATTCTTTTAAGGTCTTACCTTTTCGTTATCCAAACAATGCTCTTTTCGCACGACAACAGCTTAACCGAACACGAACAAAACAAATCGGTGATCTGCGGTTTTTTTAAGATTTCACTAGCACTAACTTCACTGTTTCAGCACTGCCGCCGCCAATCAATTCACCATAATTGCACAGATCTTCAGTTATGTTTAACTCGCTCAGGGTGCGATTCGAGTGTTTATTCAGGGTGGCGGTCTTATTGAAAATTCTTAGGCGCGGATCGCGGGGTATATAGTGGAGGAACACCTTGTTCGACTTGCCGCTGTTGTTGTACGTACGGGGATTGTTGTTCTGGCTGTTATCGAACGATTTAGCTGTGCTCGTGGCCGATGCGGATGTTGCAGATGTTGCTTTGCCTGCACGATAGAATGACTTGGACCGAATGTCATTCATTAAGAACGCTAGGGGGTTTATCACAGGCCAACGGAGAATATATTGAGCGATAATTGACGACAACTGGGGCCAGTTGCTGCGGATGTTGCTGCTGCTGCTGCTGCTGCTGGTGTTGCAGTTGGTGTTGCTGTTGTAGCAGTTTATGCTGCCGGTAAACGGATTTTGCCCTGGCAGCCACATGCGGTACTTTGTTTTCACAGAAATCAAACACTTTTCGATGCCGATGAATTAGCGTCCGCGTCGAGTTTGAACAACAAAAAAATAACGACACAATAACGAACACAAATCAAACACAAAACTGGGCCTCAGTGATTTTCCAGGAGGTGTTGCTGCCGCTCCGGGATATTCAGCCGCTCCACGTGTCAAGTGCGCGGCGCGTGGTGCGGAGGCGGACTGGCAGGCATATATATATACATATCGACGGCGTAGCGGGCAACACGGCGTATGATTAATTCGTCTCTGGTTAATGCAACTCAATCGCTGCTGGGACTGCTGCCCTCCTCTTGCTGACGCCTGATAATGATTTATGATCTCCGACCTCGATTAGCAGCCTTCGGTTTCGCACGCTGCAATAGAGACGAAAAGAGTGGGGACAAATGTTAGTTGAGATTGCCCTGATAAATGACTTAAATACGACCAAGGGGCTGTGCTTAAATCTAATAATATATTCAATGCGAGCGAGCAATCAATGTGCTCTGAATTCGCCACGAATTTTCCACAAAAGCAACTCGGTGAGCTCATCTTAAAATAACTACTCAATTGACAAACAATACGAAATCGGCATGTGAGAGACAAGTATTAACTTTCCAAGTATATAATTCCCTATATTCCTGAAGAGCAAAGATATACAATAATGCTAAGAATAACACTAACGCTGAATTATTCATTAATTATCAATTAAAATGTATAAGTAATAAAATATATTATAATATATTTTATATTTGTGCCATTATAATACCTTTTGTAGGTTCGGTACTATTCACACTAATGACTATGTTTAAACTTAAGTCAAAGTCTGCATAATTTAAACGACACAAACCGGATTCACTTTTATTAACATTTTTATCAGCCCTTGGTCTTTGGCAAATCTTTAATGCTGTATTCAAGCAATATTAATCAAAGCTATTTGTTGTCATTAAAAAATGACAAAATACGTTTTGCATCATAACATTTTTATTTCTGCAATAATGAATTAAGCGAATAATGATTATTGCTTTAAAACCTGCTAATTTGAGCAGTATTTGCCAAAAGAGTAATATGTAATATATATATATGTGCAATAAATATATATGTTTAAATTCCAATCACCACTTGTTTAATGATAATTGTAAAATTTATTTAAATTTAAAAAAATCCATGCCAAAATTCGAAGTTTTCTGTACTGTTTCGACTTTTTAATGGAATGGAAAATCATTCTGAATGGAAAATCTTAGAAAGACTATATCAACGTGGTTGTGAACGGCCAAGTTCAACGTTCGATAGGGGAAGAGATTATAATGCTCGTATATTGCACGCTGAGCTTTAATTGCCGAGATTTTCAGTTTTAATAACACGGTTGTCTGATTTCCGACTCTAGCTAGACAACGAAAATACTCTTATCAAAAATCAAATTCGGATCACGATTATTTGTACTATTATTTGTACTAGTGTTTGTACATGTGTAGGCGATAGCCAATCTCTGGCTAAAAGTTTCTTATCTTTACAATATAATTGGCAGAAAATGGTTTTATTCGTGCTGATGCGATAACGCCAGCTATGGCCTAGCCTTCGAACAAAAAGATTATAGTTGAAGTTTATTGCGAAATGCAATGAAAGCATTCTTTGTCTAATACCCTTTATATTTTGAGATTAACCGAAAAAGAGAGTTATTAAAAATGTATTCGGACACACTCGACCTTACATTTCCCATTAAACTCGTTGCAATCTAGTTCAGCGCTATTTGCGGCGCCCTTTTGTATGCTACACTTTTAAAATGCACTCGCGTTTGGAGCAGCACTTTCACTTTGTAGAGCAAATCGTGCTTGAAACTTAAAGTCCACATTTTGTTTAGTCCGCATTTACACAACAATAGCCGAACACAAAGAAACGCACTGAAGGGCCGACCGCCAACATCTCAGTGAATTCCACACGCTTCGCACTCGGATTTAAATACGGGGGGATTCGGATTCGGGCTCGGATTGAGGAACAACAGACCAGACCCGCGCTCGTCGAAAGACCGACTAAACCCAATCCCACTCACTCCGTTACCGGCGGTGCGGAACATAGCGACGCGTCGGCTATCGTGTGCCTTAATCTAATAAATTTCTTATCAAAGAGCGTCGTGAGTATAGTATTTTCTACGTACCACGTACCCTACTCGAAGAGTCTGTTTGTTATGGCACACGCTTTGGCTTCTGTCAACATGCCAACCTTTGTGACGCGTTCCTCTCGGTCTCTTTTCGGCGGTGGTCAGATTTGGTTTCGGAGCCTGACACATGTTTGTATATAAATATACATATATACAATCATATATATGCGAGTATAAAAGCGCTTGTATACAAATCATGTGATTGTGGGTAATTGCTATTCTAGTTACAACTGAAATGTCTCGGTCTCTATAAAATCAGACCAGACGTCGGCAACCTTGATCTGTTAATAAATATTATTTTTCTGTAGAAAAACCATACAGTTTCGGAAAGTGATTAGATATTTTGATAATAATATGAATAACTGTTATTTGAAAATTGTATTTATATATTTATATATTTACGCTGCTTCGAAACCAAGCCACCAGATGCCCGGAAAATAGGCGTTTATTTTTTACTAATTGCACCCAAAAAAATATTGATATAAGAAGTTATTTTAACATATTGACCTAAAAAGTTATTTTGACCAGTTTTTAGGTCAAAATGTTTTTTGTGGGATAATATTATGTGGGTTATATTATTATTATTATTATTTAAATGTGCCTGAAATTTAGGAAACATGACCTAAAAAAATGAATCTAGCCCATATGTTTTAATACAATTTTTCCAATTTAATCTGAGTTTAAGTTGGCCATGGAAGTGTTAGGTTATTTGGGGGAGTGGGTTTTTGATAAAGATATCTAAACAGAAATGGTATTGAAAAATATATTAATTGATAAATTAATGGTTCCTAATGCCTTGACGTCGTATGATGTTAGGCCTGCCGAATCCAGTCTTTTTTTTTATTTGCTTGCCGAATCCAAAAAGATCTAGAAGAATCCGCTTTTGCATTTTATCAATTACTCCACATAATCTAGGAATAACGAGTAATTTCTGAGCACATAACTTGCCTAACCTAGCTCTTTATAATTATGGGTATAAGTCAAAAAACTTTCTACGACGTTCTTCAAGTTCCTTAATTGTGAGGCAATTCGCTTTTGCGATAAGCTTTATTGTACCCATATTTAATACAGGGGTTCTATTTGATGCTGACCTAGGCCATCGTATTCGAGTTATTGGTCTGATTACTATATGGTAGGCTCTAAAATATAAGTTTAACCTGGAAAACCCTAATGAAAGTGCGCGTTGTCTGGAACAAAGATATAAAAAGCTTTCGCTATCGAGCGGGCTTAAGTTTAATAAATTTTCTTAAATTGTTTGTTTTGATCTATTGTAATTTGATTGACAGCCTTTACGTTTTAATTGAAAGAGTTAAACAGATTGATTGAGCCGTATGGCAAAAGCAAGGACACTCTGCTCACCTTGAAACGAATTGAGTTTGCTTTTCTCAATCGCTTTCAGAATTGCCCATTAGTGTGTCAACCCAACGAAGTTTGTTCTGCGAATGGTTTGACAAAGACGGAGAAACACCAACAACTGGGCACCCATTGTCCTTCTAAATCCTGCACTTTCATATTACTTAAGGGAAATTCTGCCCGAGAGCTTAGCCACGACATTGAGAAGTTCAAAACTAATTCATTCTCCACCAGTTTAAAGCGAAGAAAATCGGTGACATAGATAGCTTTTGTGTGCTCAGCTTCTCCATTTTCATTCTGCTTAATTGATGTCTGTAATTGATTGTGGGCTCAGATAAGCCCCATTGTGCTCGAATTATTACTGGTGGCGATTGTTAATTGATTTGCGGTTTTGACGTTTTGTTTGGGATGTGAGAGGTATTATTGTTGCGTTGCGGCGATGCACTTGGTTGAATGATTTTACGCCCAATTTAATATGATTAATATAAAATGTGTATATAATCTTAATTTAAATATCAACCGAAAACATTCTGTGTCATCCCTGAATATGATACGTAGAAAAATTGGTCTAAAAATGTAAAGATAAGTTAAAGACCAAATGCTACAAATAAAAGAGGTAGACAAAATCCGACAGTCCTTAGCCGTTAGTCGTAGAATAAATGGAGTAAAATAAACAAATAAAGAGTATACTGAAATCTGTTTGTATAAAATTACTGTTTCCAAAGATTGGCTATTATTATTCGAAAACAATGAAGCTAAGTAGACTCACCCAGGACAAACTTTTGCATTCAAATGTTTAATTAACAATAACAATTTTGACTATAAAGGGTATGGTGCTTTCCCTTCATTATTTTCCTATTAATTATAATTTTTTGTATTAATTATATCGTACACAGCGAACCGAAAGGGATTTTTTTCCTAAGCTAAAACCCCTTTTGTGACTTGGCTGATGCCGTCACTCGAAAGCTTGACAAGAAAGCCACCGCAAAAAGTCACAAAGGAGGCCACTGGTTACATATAACAAGTACAAGTACGCACACAGACAGGTGTCGTTGTGGACTGGCACACACTTTCGGCGTCCTTTCATGATTTATATTTACCCTTTACAGGACGCGAACGGAGGACAACAAATGGCAACAATAAAGTGCAGCAGCGGCGGCAATGTCAGCTCTCAAAAAGTTATGGGGTCCGTATAAAAAACGAAAATGTTTGCTGCATTTTCACACTTGCAGGCACAGAAAAACCCGAATGTGTGTAGTTTGTTCATGTTTAAAGGATTATTATGATGTTCGCCTTCAACTTGGCTAACTTTGCGGTCACACACAAACACACAAGAAAACTGTCCTATATTGATTTTTTCCCTGGCTGTACGATTTTTGTTTTTTGTTTTGTCGTTCATAGTTGTGTGCTCCTAATTGTATGTGTTTGTGCTAGCGAAGGATATGCAAGATGAGATTAGTGCCAATATTTGTCATCTTATATTTTCTGTGATGAAAAAGTCAGTGCAGAACTCAATGATTGCATATCTTAAATTTCTGATTACTTTCATGCTTTCTAATTAAAGAGGACATATTTTTATTTCAATAATCAGATTGCTATTACAACCTATCATAATTTGTCTAGGAATGTAAGTATTTTCCGTACAAATAAGAACGCAATTCTTTGGATAAGATCTATCAGCAAAACATGTTAAGTGCAATGAATACTAAAAATATTTCTCAATACAATAGTTATCAACCTCTGCTGACCTATCTTTTTACCCCACAATAAATATAGATTTTCAAAGGCTTTTGTATATATGCAATTATCTTCTAAGCCACAAATTTAGTTTGGTTGATTAAATTGCAGCTTGGACAGGTATCCGGTTGACTATATTGCAAATTTTTGATTAAAATTAAATAGTTTAAATTGGCATGAAAACGAATTATTCTGCAACGAATGACAAGAACTAATTTTATCCGGTTCCCCTGGGACAATTCTGAAACGCAATTTTCCCTGGATTCCTCAGAGCATTCGTTGTGGTTTCTCTTTGAAATAACAAAAATAAACAAAAATTCGGACCAAGACAAAAGCTTTTGTTATGCCAATCTTTTCGCTGCTTTTTCATGTTGTTGCTGCAAACCCTTTAAAAAAAGGGCAACTTGGCAAAAAACGGACATTTTGCTATGCGTGTAAACAACTTCAAGGCCGGGGTGATTTTTATTTATTTTCTAATTTCTGCTCTTGACATGGGCTCCCAAAACGAAACCCAAAAGGTTGAATGTGAAGTGCAATATGCAAATTAGCGTTAGTTATAAACTTAACCGTCTATCAAAAGCGCTGGGAGGCATGCACTTGAATTTAAATAAGCAGAGCAATCGAAATGAAAATAATGAATAATTCATATTTAATTTATAATGCTATCCGCAATTCATTAATTAACCAACTATTAATCAAGTTATAGTTATTATATCTATTATTAGGGAATCCGAAACGCCTTTCAACACAGTCGATTTGACTGATTTCAGATAATCCTCCCCAAGGGCGTTTTCCCACGATGATGGGGCGGAAAAGGGAGGGGGTGACAAGGTCACCAGCAGCATATGATGTAATTACGAAAATCTCGCCTTGCGACAAATTTGCGAACAGAAATTTAGCGTCAAGCAGTCTGTGACTTAAGCGGTGGATGGGTACTATGGTGGTTGTGTGTTTTGCCCAAGTGCTCTGGCATTTGTTTTTGCTGATCAAGTGACAGCTGGGCACAAACGTACTTTGACTGCTCCTAATTGCTCCACTTACGCGCAAATGTATCTGGAGGCGACAAAATCGTTCCTTTGTCAGTTGTTTATTTGGTATCTCGGTCCCGCTGAACTCAAGTCCAGTAAACAAATCGACAGAGACTAGTCGCGTAATTAATTTATCGCAACTTTGTAAAGAAATCACTTGCTGGCACTTTTTACTGCAATCGCGACAGTTGTTGCTCCCCTCGAGTTTGAAATTGAACTGAATGAACACCAGCGATTCCCTGCCCTTCCCTCTTAGCACCATCCATCTCACTCACTCAGCTCCTCTGTCTCCCTCTCGCTTAAAGTATGTATGTGCATCGGGAGTTTTTAATTTCCAAGTGCCCGGCGCATTTCCCACCACCACTAAACACTTCTTTTCTTTTCTTCTCTTTTTTTTTGTTCTTTTGACGCAATGGAAATTTACCAGTTGACATCATTAGATTCCGTCGCATGTCTTATATTTGTTGTGTTTATTCCAAAGTTATTCATATTTCATTCATCACAACAAGGAAACCTTATATACCCTCGAAATATATATGCAAAGAAATTTTAAGATTTTAATTATGTACCCACTTCAACTCAAAATTTTAAATTTGTTTAAGTAGGTACACCATTTTTTTTAGACTTTCCCAAGAAATATTATTAGGTACATACATACTAAGGTTCCTTGGAAACACTTAAGTTCTGCAATGATTAATGAAAGTTATTATTTCTCGTGCCAAAGTCCTAAGTCAAGGATTAGCCACAAAAAAAATAAATGCTATAATTGCATGCTAAACTCATTTGAAAGTTTACAGCTGCACGTTGGAAAACTAATAAATATGCAAGTGGGAGTGCAATCAGTAGAATAATATAAAAAACTTTTTCATCAAACAAGGTTGAATAATCAAAGGCACGTTGTTGCTTTGGGATATTCCCACTTTATACACATAAAATGCCAAACAGTAACTCTTAAAGCAGTTGGTGCAATGTTTAAATTTGTCCCCACGTAGCGAGATCAAGAAATTGATAAGATAAACTAAGATAATAACGGTAAAACGTTTACTGTTAGCGTTGTTCGAGAGACAGCAATAAATTGGAGGTCTGGAAAATCAGAGAGCATTCATGAATATGAAAATGTGCATGATTTGCTTAGACCAATTTGGATATTTAATTAAGTCATTGTGAACTAATGTGTATACATTGGAACTAATGTAACGTCTTTAGAGCAATTATCATTATTAACACAGTTGTGATACAAATCGCTGAGGCGACATATGAATACAGATATGGACATATGTATGTATAAAAACCGGTTATTTGGTTTCATGTCAATTTAGTCTCATACGCATTCGCAATCAGCTGTTGGATTCTTCACCTCTCACTGCTGACACACATTATCCGTCAGAACGGATAAACAGCAAGACAAATAATAATAAATGCACAGGGTCTTACCGGTTTTATCAGCTGCTACATACAGTTGTTTTTCGGTTACCGATTTCAAACTTTTTGATCTGTTTGAGGGTCAATGGCTTTTAAGCTAAAACATCAGACACATTACTACTTGGAAATGCATAAAAATCAAGTATCCGCCAGCTCAAGGACGCCAGCCAAGAGAATGGTTTTCGATTACAGTAAATCAAATTTGCAGAACGACAAAAAGAACCGAAAATCGAAGCCAAAAAAGCGTTCGTATGTGAGTCAAGGCACTATATCTAATATCTTTACCCACACAGAGAAAAAAACTAATCACGTCTGTATGACAAAAATTTATTTAAAATGAATAAAAAGTTTAAAACCTTTTTAGTTTACGTATTTTGAATACATTTTTGTATTTAACATTTCTTTGATAAAGACAGATATTTTAATGCAAACGGAGATATTTCGAAACAACAGTACATATATGGAAATAATCGCACCAAAGGGAATGACCATAAATCTCTAGAGATTTAAAAACACTTAAAAAAGTCTCTAAAAGTGTGCTGCGATATAAGCCTGTGGAGGCTTTTGCAACAAATCAGTTTTATGAGTCGAGCACCAATGATTTTAACCGAAAAATATTTTCTTTATGTGGATAGTAACTATGTGGAGCTCCCACTACTGGATTTTGAATGGTGGGGGATTGGGATTGGTTTGGGTTTGATGGTGCCGAAGACAAAGGCAATAAAAGCCAAATGACTGGAGCAGCAAAATGGCGGCGCGTGTGTGACAAGCGAAAAACGCCCGAAACTGTGCTACAGACATTGCGGTTTACCAGCATCTCATCTCGGCTTCGTCCTTCAGGGCCACCCACTCTAACCCAATCCTGCGGCTTTTGTAAATGGAGCAAGTGTGGATGCGGAAAGTCTGAATTTATCTTTTCAAAGTAGCCTTTATTGAATTGCATTGAAACATTCACTCTGGTTATTATAGTATTTACTATTTATTTTAAACCAGTAACAATACACTTTTTACAGTTCTCGTAAGACTGTAGTTACAAATTATGTCATTAATGCACACGTATGTATGTATATTGATTAGGGCTGGTGAATACCCTACATACAAAACAAATATGAAGATAAAATGTCCATACGCAACACATTCGCTTTGTTTGTCTTATCTGTTGAGTCACGACACAACAGCACTTAATGACAACTGCATAAGAGGCATTCACTTTCAGCTCAAACAAAATAATGAATCAAATTAAAAAAAAGAGTCTGCCTTTTTATTTTTTCAACGTCAACAATAAATACGTATTCACAGTCGTGCCAAAACGAGTCCAAAATTACCGACCTATAAATAGCGGCTAGTCGATCATAGACGCAAAAGGTTGTCAAAAACAAAGAAAATAAATAACAAATTGTTAACTCATAATAGCTGAAGACAAGAGCCAAAACAAATAATATTTTATCATGTTTGCAAGAAATTAAGAACGGTACTTTTGAGAGGAAATTACGCACTATTGCTGGGCATGATAAAAATACTTTTCACCCGAAAATATTAAACAATATTCGTTTACTCGTTTCTTACCTGATGTCTCTTGTTTATATCGTGATTCCTGTGCTAAATTACAACCATAGCTTGATCTTGGTCCTTTGTCATTGCAGTATTTTACATTATAAGCGGAATATTAAATGATTGTAGTTGTTGTGCGGACGAGAGTCTTTAAATAAACCAAATAAGCTCGCTCTCTCTTTTATTTTTATTTGTATTTCTGTTTCTGTATTTCTCTTCGTTGGATTTGTTAGCCGTTGTTTTATGAATTTCTGCCGCCCGACTGCTTGCACAGTGGGATGGATTGGCCTTAGCACACGCCCTCTGAATTTATATTTGTTTCTTTAAAAGCTCAAATGCCGTATACTAGATAATAGATTTATGGATTTTGCAATTGCGCAAAACTTTGTGGAAAGTTATTATCAATGGCGTGCACTTGACTTCGCCCACCGTGCGGGAGTTTCGATTTTTTTCGGGGGAGGTGGGGCAATGACAACACCGTTCGGCGGCACAAGTTCACCATAAAATGTGGGGCGACCGGAGGTCGTATAAACAAAAGCACAGTGCGCTCGAAGGCGGAAATGTACGAATACAAGTGCCCAAAATGCACGCAGGAAACGGAAGGGGAGCTCGCGGTGCGCCCAATCGATGATTTTTTAACTGATTATTTAACGCGCACTGACGAGAGCAAAAAATCAAAATCTCGGCTGCCGGAGCCCTTAAAAATTCAGAAAAATCGAATTGCCCACCACACAAACACTGCACGACCGTCCGCACTCCAATTGGAACATCATCTGACCGTTGCCGTAACAGCCGCTGTTAACGCGACGCTTGTAGAGGGTGGAAAATTCCGATATACATATATCGAAAAATATATCTAAGCACGTTAAAAATATCGACGATTTCGTTTTCAGCAAGGAAATTGGTCAAATTTAATCGGTTGAGACCCTATATAAATAAATTTAAAGATTTCAATTTATACGATATGGATATATCGATATTTTTTTGCAATCATACGATAAAATGTTAATTGGGTGCTGTTAGCTTGAACAGTGCCTGGTGGCGCAACATCGTATCTCTCTGTTAATTCGAATATAACCGCCAACATTACATTGCGCATACAATATGTTTAGCCCTCTTTAAAATGATTTGTTGTTTAACATCGAGTTTTACTTTTGATAAGTTTTAAAACATTTTGGTTATTATCAGGTAGCACTTGAAAAACATCCTGGAAACGATTAAGTAACGTATATATATGCGTTTTGCAGGGTTCACTGTATGATTTGAATTAAAACCCAATTTAACTTGCCGAGCGGTAATATAATAAAAACAAGAAAGGAAAGCTAACTTCGGGCGGAGCCGAAGTTGATATACCCTTGCAGAATACTCTGTAAATTATATTCTCCAAAATTATTCATATGATGCATTCTAAATACTCATATAAAATCCCAACTTCCTAACTTTAAAAACACCAAAGTTATGGCATTTCCAATCGTTCAGTTATATGGCAGCTATAAGATATAGTCGGCCGATCCTTATGAAGTTTGGTAGGTCGGATTGATTGGCCAAAAATAAAACCCATAGAAAATCCCAACTTCCTAACTTTACAAACACCAAAGTTATGTCATTTCCGATCAATCAGTTATATGGCAGCTATAGGATATAGTCGGCCGATCCTTATAAAATTTGGTACGTCAAATTGATTGGCCAAATGTAAAACCCATAGAAAATCCCAACTTTCTAACTTTACAAACACCAAAGTTGCGGCATTTCCGATCGTTCAGTTATATGGCAGCTATAGGATATAGTCGGCCGATCCTTATAAAATTTGGTACGTAAAATTTATTGGCCAAATGTAAAACCCATAGAAAATCCCAACTTCCTAACTTTAAAAACACCAAAGTTATGGCATTTCCGATCGTTCAGTTATATGGCAGCTATAGGATATAGTCGGCCGATCCCGGCCGTTCCGACTTATATACTGCGTGCAAAGGAAAGAAGGGTGTGTGCAAAGTTTCAATTCGATATCTTTAAAACTGAGAGACTAGTTCGCGTAGAAACAGACAGACGGACAGACAGACGGACAGACGGACAGACGGACATGGCTATATCAACTCAGGAGGTGATCCTGATCAAGAATATATATACTTTATATGGTCGGAGATGTCTCCTTCACTGCGTTGCACACTTTTGACCAAAATTATAATACCCTCTGCAAGGGTATAATGACGAAAAATCGAACCCAAAATCCAAACCAAGTTAAAAACACAGATTTTTGTAGAATTAAACCAACAATCATTTAGAAAAGTGTCACTTTAGAATCTGATTTATTCTATTTTTTCCAAAACTTCATTTATAAAAATGTCTTATTACACCCTTTTCTTGGGAGTCCAAATGCAAAATCCATTTCTTAAAGCCTATTTTGTTAATACTTTATTTTAGTGATAAATAATGCGTACACCTAATAAATGCATATCTACCGCAAAATATAGCTTAAGGTAATAATAATACTGAAGTGGTGAGTCAAAATCTAGGGGCAGGTGTAGCTATCATCGCCCTCCGCCTCGTCGGCTGAAAAAGAGAGGAAAAAGTAATCGTAAATTAATATATATGTCAGTTGTCACCCTGATCCCCAGAGTATTTCAGGTGCCTAGGGAACTGCCACTTCTCACACGGTTATCACTTACACAGTATTTGCAGGCCAAACATCAGGGAGAATCCGGCCACGGCGGCGATAAGAGCTCTCCATCCTGCGTGACTCTCGGTGAGGATCTCGAAGAAGACCACATACAGCAGGGTGCCGCAGGCGATGCCCTGGAGGATTCCGGAGGGCAGACTGGGCTGACCAGCAGCCACCTGCTGGCTGATGCCCAGGCCCACGCCGATACCAATGGGCGTCACAATGGAGAAGGTCACCAGGTACACGATGGCCAGCGAGCTGCGGGTGCGGGCCACCAGGAGCTCCATTCCCACGCAGAAGGCCAGCACCAGCTTGTGGGCGGCCACCGCTCCGAACATGAACCACACCGTGCTTACAGTGCCCTCCAGTCCGATGGCCATGCCCTCGAACAGTTCGTGGAGGGACAGGGCAAGGATGATGCCCAGCCCCCTGGCAGAGGATCCGGATCCCTCGCCGGATGGCACGGGCATATGCGAGTGGCCGTGGTGATCCTTTGGCGGCTGAGGTTCCAGCTCCTTAACTTCCTGTTGCGGGGGCGTGGCCTTCTCCTCATTCTTGAGTAGAACACTGTGCCGGATGCTGCGTCCCCTTTCGAAGGCCAGACTGGCCACCGACTCCTTGCGGCTGAGCTTCCGCTGGTGGCGTCGCACCAAGTTGGTCATCAGCTCGTCCAGGGCGTACATCAGGAAGAAGCCGGTGCAGAGCAGCATTTCCGTCAGGGCGAAGGGCGTCTGGGCGAGTGATCCGCATTGCTGGAGAGCCTCGACCACCTCGATCACCTCGGGCAGCATGTGCAGGAAGGTTGTGCAGATGAGCACGCCGCCGCCGAAGAAGAGCAGGCACCGCACCACAGCCGAGGATCGGGTCTCCTCCGGACTCTGCTTGGTCCACTGGAAGCAGCGGTTCAGGACGTAAGGCAGACTGCCGCAGAGCACGGTGATCACCACGAGCACCACCATGGCGACTATTTTGGCCACCAGCAGGGATTGGCGATCCCCATTCTGCGATTGCTCCTTCGACATACTCCCTGCACCGTCCATCTTTTCGTCACGAACTTCGAGTGTCGACTAACCTGGCTGGAATTCACGACCAAACTAATGGTTTATATCGGCAGTTATATATCAGCGGGCAGTGATTGAAATCTGATCGCTGATTGATACGCGGATTCACGGCGTAGACAACATAGTATTAGTTATCTCATTCGCAGTCCCACGAACAGGTGGCTTTCATCAAAGTCACCGATAACCGAACTATAGTATGGAGCTCCCGGCAAATTTAACGTTTGAAAGGAGTTGTGTAATGTGCGGCAATTTCGGAAGTATTGCTTTAATTGTGTTATCTTCAATTTAATTGATACACTGAGAACATTTATTTCTGTCGATTAAAAAATATACAACGAATTTTTAGAGATTGTTTTAAATTTGATATTTATTGGGATGTAGTTGCAGTGACTGACTTACTCCTCAATTCGGTATATATAGGTAATTTTTATAAAGGCTGTCTTGGTAATATAGAACGAAGATATTATAGTGGAGTCAAAGCTTTCTTTCGGCTGTCCAGGATCTCTGGAACTACACAAGTAATTTAAGATTAATTTAATATAACATTTACAATTTGGAAACAAAGTTGTTTACAAACATATTTCACACTGCGATCATAAATAGATATATTCTTATTCTGGCTTTAGAAACCGAAAATATTTAAATACGGGCAGATAGAGGTTTATTTCAAAACTAATGTACATGAATATTTAGGCTTTGGATTCCGATGCTATTATTCTTTTCATTTGTTTTGATAGGGAGATTTAAGCTTCAGTAACTTAGTTGGACGTTGTCGTGTCTCCAGTTAAATTCAAAACCCTTATAAATATTCCCATATCCCCTAGGGGCACGTGAAATGGCTCTTGCCTTTTGCTTCTCCAACTGGAATAAAGAGAGTAGCTTTTGAATTGCTATTATCAAGGGCTTGCGAGTGCACTTACTGGCTATCTGGAGACCAAACATCAGGACAAATCCCACTATCGATGAGAGAAGGACCCTTAAGCCGGCATGGTTTTTGGCCACTATTTCGAAGAAGACCACGTAGATCAGAGTGCCGCAAGCGAGTCCCTGCAGGATTCCGGAGACCGTGCTCGGTTGATTTGCCGTCGCAGATTCGCTGACCGCAATGCCAATGCCCACGCCAATGGGGGTTACTATCGAGAAGATCAGGAGGTAAACGACGGCAAGTAGCCACCGGGTGTGGGCCATCATGATCTCCATGCCGATGCAGAAGGCCAGCACGAGTTTGTGGACAGCGATGGCTCCGGTCATGAACCACACCGTGCTCACACTCATCTCCAAGCCGATGGCCATTCCGCCAAAGAGTTCGTGCAAGGAGAGTGCCACGATGATGCCCAGGCCGCGAAGCCAGTTGGGCTCTTTTAGTGCTTCTTCAGATTGGACTACCACCTCCACGTCCGACTCCTTGATTGTCTCCACCTCCCGGAGCTTCCTTTGTTGCCGTCTTCGCACCACAAAGTGCATGGTTTCCTCGATGCAATACATCAAATAGAAGCCGGTACAGAGCAGGACCTCCGGAAGGCCGAACGGAGTGGGCACTAGCATCCGACAATCCTGAAGAGCACTCACCACCTCGACCACCTCTGGCAGCATGTGGATGAAGGTGGTGGCTATTAGAACCCCACCGCCGAAGTTGAGCAGGCACAGCACCACCTTGAACTCCCTGGCATTGTTCTCCGGACTTTTCGTCCACTTGTAGAATCGATCCAGGAGGTAGGGAATGAAGCAGAAGACCAGGGTGACCAGCAGGAGCACCACAATGGCCACGATTTTGGCCACCATTAAGTGTTGGTCTGCCATTGCAAATGAAATAACTGAACCCAATATCTAGCCATTCAGTTTTTATAGTTGGACTTGATATCTAGTTAAAGATATCAGTAAATTGGCAAATATTTACTCATATTAAGGGCTTAGGGGTTAAGTGTGTAGTAGCTTAAGCAAAAGGTTTGAGGTAAAATTTCGGCATGATAACTTTAGGAACATTATCATTCTTTTCGTATAAGCACTTGTTATTGCTTTCGTGTACTTCCCATTACTTCTAGTATATGAGGTCATCGCTCTGTTTTTCTGCATTAGTATGTCAATGGAAGTTTTCGATCTGAAAATTCAGTTGGCGAAAACAAATATTTAGTTGCCAACGCCAGTTAAAGCCCTGTGCACCCAGGAATCTAGGCGCTATCATTTTGTGAGGCCGACAGTTTCACCTGATAACTTCAAAATTGAGTTATCGTTAGAACTGGTCAGTACTAACACAGCTTGTGAGTTAGATTAAGTTCTCGGGAGGTGACTATCTGTGAAATATTGTGAAATAAATCATTCGCGAGTATCTTTTAATAATTTATTGAGTACATTAAGCCGTAAATGTTTTACAACACAAGTGGATATATAAAAGTATTTATATATCGTGTCACTTATTAAATGTGACAAATAAAAAATAAATCAGTAGTTCGTGGGACTGTCAGGAATTTAAATTTTGTTTTTTTTTTAAGCACCGGTATTCAATTATAAGCCAGGACTTTGTTTTGTAGTTTTTTTTTAGCACCCCAAAGACAAAGTAAATATATAATTAATAACATACATTTTTGTTATCATTTAAAAAACTAAACACTTCCTTTTTAAAATGCATTAAACGCTAATGCTTTTGTTTTCCATAGCGTATAAAATGTAAAAAATCTGATCTTTTTTTTGTCACCTTTCTATCTCTTTACGGATAAATAATAACTCTTCCGTACATCATCCAAAAGTTTATTATTAATTATAATAGGCCGTAATTGTTTTACTGTAAAAATTATTATTGGCATTTATTACACAATATTATGGCATTTAAATGTAACTTTAAAGTAATTACTATGACTTGAGTGTGTTCTTCTTTAATTGATTGTTCATGACGTACACGGGTGTGAAGACAAATGAATTCTATATTGATGTGAGTATGGTATATGTGAGTGTTGATATATATGGAAGTATCAGAGTTTGTTGAAGTTATCAAGCTGTCTCAAAAGATATTTCTAAAGCAATGGATCGTCATTAGCTTGGGGCATATCTTAGCCCACCGAGCACGGTTTTTTATCGGCGTCTAATTTAGACGATTGGATGATAGTTTAATGTACATATTTATGCGTGTATGATTGTGATTTTGGATTATCATTTCAAGTTTGATTCGCTCGTTTAGTGTGTCTCTTGTCGAAAACCCTTCATTGTAGTTGATAGCCATTCAACATGGTTCAGTACTTGCTGCCAATTTCCCCTGGCCTAGCCCATTCACGACTGCTTGGGGTGCTGAACGGGGGGTGGTGGTGCCGGCTTGAAGCACTGCAGCAGGAACGCGGTATAGACCATGAAGGCCACCGCCAGAGCAATCAGGGCATACATGAAGATGTTTAGTTCCGGTTGGCGGAAGCGGTTCTTGCGCAGCCACTCCAGCACCTCGTCTTCAGATAGAAGATCGCCTGGAAATATATCAAATTGCTGTTATGGAGGTTTCTTCTTTCGGATCAAGTCCCCGACTTACCCCTATATATGCTGGGGAAGCGTCGGCGGAAGTAGACCATGGCTGGCAGCTTGGTAACACCCCATTTCTTGGCATAGCGTGAGTCGGCCATCTTAACAAAGGTTATGTCCAAATTATCAGTCTCGCTGTCAATATTTTCCAGTTTCTCCAAAGCTGCGGTACTGTCCGGCTGATTGTGTTCATCTAAATAGAATGTTGGTTTTCTGGTTAACAAATATAACCCTTTTGAAATGATTTTTTACTACTCACAGAAGAACACGGCTAAAAACTCATTCTCTTCGAGTAGTTTGTCAAGCATCTTCCGATTGACCTCTTCTATTTCGTTTTTGATTTCGAATACATCTTGTGACGTCAGCCAGGTAATAACCTTATCGTGTTGATGCAAATCTCCATCATAAAGGACGGGCACTTGTTTTCTAAATTATTATTTAATGATTTAAAAAACTTCTCTATCAGTGCTGTACACAACCTACCGGAAATATACCAGGGAAGGTATATTGACAATTTCGTATGTCTTGGCTGCCTGCATACTGGCAATCTTTACAAAGTCAATGCCAAACATATCGGCCTCGCCATCAATCTCCTCCAGTTCTTCCAAAATCTCCTCGCACTCGGCACAGTCATCGTCATCTAAATGTGACGAGCCTTAAGACCTGATTTTGTACTTATTTTAGGTAAACTACTCACAAAAGAACACTACCAAAAGGGTGGACTCGGCCATCAGACGATCCAACATGCGCTCGTTGACCTCCTCGATTTCATCGGCCAACTCACGGTTGTCATCATCGATGAGCCATTCCAAAACCGACTGCTCGTTTTGCAGGTCGCCCTCAAAAAGCAAGGGATTTCCATTTCTGCGTATAAATAGAGTTGGCTAATAATTCCAAATTTATAAAAACGTAATCTTTACCTGAAATAAACCAAAGCCGGGAAGGTCTTGATCGAATAACGCTTGGCCAACTGCGGATCTTGTATCTTGACCATATGAATACCAAACACATCGCATTCGTCGTCGATCAGTTCCAAGCCCTCTAATATCTGGTCGCATATATTGCAGTTGATTTTGTCTGCCGAAAATAAGTAGAAAGTTAGTTATTTATTAAAAACTTATATTAATATTTAGTGCCAAGCATAAGAATAGGTTAGCGAAAGTGTGAGAGGCAAAGAAAACGCCGTAACAAAAAGGTATTCCCGTCCAAACTAAATCCCAGTGAATTTCAGCAAATCCGAAATAAAATATGATCCGTTTCTGAACTCAAATATTTTACAGCGAATGAAAGGCGAAAGAAATCTAATTTAGTTTGGTCGTAATACGTTGGAAGCCTGGTTAAGTGCAGTCAAGAATCGAGTCTGGACATGGAAAAGAGCTCCTATAGAAGGTTAGAAGTGGTTAGAGCTCAATCGAACATGCGCATTCGGAGCTTGGGAGTTGCTTATTTTGTGCACACGGAATACGGAAGGAATACCTTGTTTTTCGATACGTTTTCTTTTACGTGAGATGTAGTTTTGTACGAATTGGCTGGATGAGTGTTTTGTGGATTTGGTGGTGGTCAGGTTGCTTTCTACAAGACTAGAGGGGGAGCAGAAACTGCGGCAGAAAGCGGGTTGCTTTCCTTTGCGCTCAGGTGGCACTGAGGACGGTACGGTTCAGGTTTTGGTTTCAGACAGGGATAAGTTTTTGTGGTTTATGTTGTGTGCAGTTTGGGGCGGGGGATACAACAATTCAGAATGTGTGAGATCATGAGAAAGTGATGGGAAACAGTTGGCCAATCGAGACTAGGCCCAATCGCTAGGAGCTACTCACAGAAGTACACGGCCAGATACTGGGTCTCCTCCACCATTGTCTCCAGCATTTGCCGAGTGATTAACTCGATGCGATCCTCTGTCTTTTGAGTGATGAGCCACTGAAGCACCTCCTCCTCTTCGCTGAGTTCGCCTGGAAGAAATGATTTTGTTAAAGTGGAGTTACCACACAGGGCTTGGGGTCTGCCTTACCCTCAAAAACGTTGGGTATTCCTCCTTCGAAGTAGACCAAAGCCGGATACTCGTGCACTCCGTAGCCATCGGCCACAGAGAAGTCCCTGGTCTTTACGAAGGTAATTCCATGCTTGTCGCAGTCGTCGTCAATGTTTTCCAGTTCCTCCAGCACTTTGGTGCACTGCTCACAGCCATCCGCATCTGGATGTCAAATTGGGGTTGGGGAATATCTAATTATTAAACAAGCACTATACACGAGGAGGGGCAATACAGGGTACTACAGCAAGCACTACACTTATGTGAACTGAAGCACGGCAGAAGTTGAAGGGGTATATGAGATAGTAAACAACTATAGTACATTTCATAAGTCCTGATTCCACTGACACAGTTTTAAGTTCACCAAGAACTTTCTGTACAAAAAAAGGGGATTTATTAAACATCAGGTTAATTTATTTTCAGTGGTGGAATCAGCAATTATAATGATAAATACATGTCAATGGATCAGGCTAGTACATAAACAGAATACAAAGGAAAGAATCTAATCAGGGATCGGGAAGACAACAGCTAACGTTGAGAATACAAAGGAGGTTTCGGGTTGGACAGATATATATAGAGAAAGAGTCAGAGCAACAGAGAGATAGAGCAAGTTTCGGGTGGAGATTCTGGATTCAATTGGGTTTTTACATTCTCTGTACAAGGCGGTATAGTGTGTATAGTGTGTGCGATTGCTATTGGTTTCTGATTGTGTTGGGTTATGTGGTTAAACATTCTTGGACTCATTCCAGTTGCACGAGTTCTATACAGAAAGGTGGACTACCATCCTCTTGTTTGCCCGTCGATGCGTCCGGTGGAGCGGCTGCAGAGGCCGGCGCCGAATCCCCCTCAGGACCACCTGCCGCCGGCGAATCCTCCGCCCCCCCGGCGGCTGCCTCGGAGGGATCTGCCTCACTGCCGAAGGCGGCAGCGGCGCTGGCTGCTCCGCCCTCCTGCTGGTGCTGATCTCGCTCCTTTTTCAGACGCGCCTTGCGCGCCGCTTTCGAATTGCAAATGTCGCACTTTGTCTTGTTCCCTACGTTTGGGGTATCGATTTTGTGTGGTTCGGTTTCAGATTTCAGAGAGCACAGTCGTAAATAGAAATATAAATAAAGTCTTGTTTGGTTAGATACACAGAGCGCTGATAAAAGGCTTAAACTAGATTGATCTAATGGGTTAACTACAATTACACAACGTTTGCTGCAAACTTTTTGCGCAAAAGCGTGATTATCAATCCGTTTAAGTACGTAAAACGCAAATGCAACAGAATGTTAATTGTTTACACGACTAAATTTAGCTTTTTGAGACACTGAAATCCATGATAGACCGAATGTGAAATGAACATCAATTTGGACATGGTACTCTATGCGAATTGATATCACCAAACCGATTGCAGCAATTAAAACCTTATTCCTCAGAGATATTGAGTATTCATCAGCGTACAAATCAGAGAGCGCTTCCTGCTGAAAACTTACAGAAGTATACGGCTATGGAGCCAGACTCTTCAATCAGATGAACGAGTCTTTCGCCTTCGAGATCTTCGATAACATCTCCACTTGGATCCTTTTGCGTGATCAGCCAAGTGAGGATCTGTTCTTCTTCGTAAAGATCACCTGGAAAGAAGGTGATGTAGACAGTGCTTTGTGACCCAATAAAGGACTCCTACCGGCGTATATAACTGGCTCCTTGGACGTAGGCTTGAAAAAGACGATGGCTGGCAAGGCAAACACTCCGTACTCCTTGGCCATTTGCTTGTCGTCAATTTTGACGAAGTCGATTCCCGCCTTATCCGCTTCGTCGTCTATGTGCTCCACCTCGGCCAAAACGCGAGGACACTGCTTGCACTCATCGCTATCTGAGATTGGATTAGGAGTAGGTGATTCGACATAAGTCCACTTAGTCTGCATATTCAGGACTTACAGAATATCACCGCCACGTAGTCGGAGTTCTTGCGGATCTTCTCGAACATCTTGCGGTTGACCTGTTCGATGTGGTCGGTCATCTCCATGTTGGCAGGGCTGGTCAGCCAGTCAAGTACCTCCTCCTCGTCGTCGATGTCGCCATCGTAGTTAATGTACTTGCCCTTCCGGAAATATGTGAGACCCGGGGGATTCCTGAATCCGTACTTCTTGGCCATCAGCTTGTCGTGCATTTTCACTATATAAATGCCATATTCGGCAGCCTCATCGTCGATTAGTTCGATGTGCCGTAGCACTCGTGGCGAGTCGGGATCATCTTCCTTGTCTGCAATTAAAATCGTTTTCCCAAACGCATTAGTAGTGACGGTATATGGCGTTCCTTTTAAACTTATCCTGTAGAATTATAGTTTGGCTTGTGTTTTTGGGCAGTTACAGTTTTTAGTGGGCGCGATTTAAATAATAGTATTTCCTAGATTCCTTAGCTTTTACCTAAAACACTGTCCCCAGATTATACTTACAAAAAACAACCGCTAAAAAGTCTTTGGTGCCTATATACTCGAAGAGTTCATCACGATTAATTAGCTGTATGCTCTGGTCGGCCTTCTGTTCGAGTATCCAGTTGAAGACATCCTGATTGCTTGCAATGTTGCCTATGTGTAAAATTGATAATATCGTTAGAAGCAATTATAATTAGATTGAACAGAAATATGTTTGGCTTATTATCCATTTGGTGGCACATACCTGTTGGCTGCAGTTTGTCAATCAATCACCAGATTTAATCTTGAATGTGTATACAAAATAAATGATCGTTTTGTTTATTTTAACCCCCGCCCAAAAGAAATGCGAAATGGGAAATTTGCCAAATCCCCAACAGGCCATTTTTAATGGCCACATTTTGCTGCCTATGATTCAAATTGAGACATTTCTTTTCAGAAGGGGAGAGTTCCATTTGACAAAACATATAATTGCCTCAATACATCTTCAAGGTTTTTTAAACATATTTATAGCATTTTTATGGACTTTGTGTTTGAAATTATTTAAATCAAAGAAATTCTGAATTTCAACAAATGGATTTTCATAATTTTTAAATAAGAGAACCTAATCGTATTGAGTTGGATGGTTTTTATTGAATATTCTTACAATTTCTTTCAGTTATTATGTTTACAAAAGTGCTTTCAGTTTGATTTGCGTTTGCTTCTTACAATCTGACAAAATTTTCATTTTGAAAATTTGTTTGACAAAAATACATTCGCTTGATCTTGACTTAACTGCTGCTGTTCAACAAAATTTGTTTACATATATGTTGGATTTAGTTACAATTGCGTGTAGAGTGATAGACTTTAGCTTAAGAAAACATAATGATAAAGATTTATAATTCGATATTTTGTAAATACCGATAACAAAAACAACAGCGAGCGGTACAGGTATCGCTCTCAGAAGAAAACAAATGAAACAAATTGGCGAGCTACATTGGATGCGAGGCCATTGTTCTGCGAGAAATATTGGATTTTCGTTTTCATAAATATACAACAAAATTAAGTATACGGCGTGTGAGCTGCAACATATTTGATAAAAATCTCTGGTTACACAGTATATTGGCTAGTGGCTCTAAATGTTGTTATCATGAAAAACTGTAGAAAGCTCTCATCGTTACACGTTTCAGTTAAAATAGTTAACAGTTGGGCACTGTCATGTGTAAATTGTTTCAAAAAATATTTTATCCGTTTGTTCGTTTCGTTTCGTTTTGTTTTATTTGCTTTGGCTCTTGTTAAAATTAGACTAACTACAATGTAAATTGTATATTGTGACAAAAAGAAGTAGTATCAAAAAAGATTAGGCGCTTGTTATTGACAATAGACAATGGCCGATTGAATTGTTAATAACAAAGTTTGCTGGCTAAATATACAAGTGAAAGTTCTCAGAAGTTTGATAGTTGTTTGTTGAAGTAATTGCTTTTAGTTTGAACAAAGTTTGTTGAAATCCGTTGACAAAATGCAACAAATGATTGGTTTAGTTTAGTTATAGATCCGGGGTCCACTTTGGCGATGCGGCCCCTCTTGAAAATAGTTAAGTGAAAGTATCAACAAAGTTTAAGTTAGTACGTTTTTTTCTAGTTCTTGATTAATTTGTAATTATGTTGGGCTTTGTGTGATTCTGCTACTCGTAGATCTTCTCAACGTGGAACAACGATTATTGTGTTGCGGCTTAGAAATGTGTGGACAATGATCTGATCAGGCACTGGGGATGAATGAGTATTTGATATAATAGTAGTGCACCGGGCATTTCAAGGTTAGTGAGGAGGGACCTCATTTTTACGGACACACAGCCATACGAATTCAGTTATTCAGTTGGTTCTTGTCATAGTTGATGTCTTTTGCAGTCACACATAGATGATGTACATTTAATTATAGAAACCTGTCATTGAAGGTTCTTTTCGTGGCTATACAGGATTGAGTTGGTTTTGGTTTGGTTTTGGTTTGATATTTGTTTTTATCGGTTGACAACAGTGCGTATACGTGCTACTTTAGTATGGCATATCATTCAATCATACAATCACTATCTAACTGTCTGTGGATATCCACATTCAGTTACAATTGTTGCCTTACTCCCACAGAGAGATATCCTGAAAAATGATATCATACAAATTTTTTAGTCGATTTTGGAAAAAATTAATGCCTGCAAGACACAAGAGAGAGAAAAGAGAAGAGAAATAAACAAATAAGGTAACGACCAAATTGTGCGTGAGTCTGTATATGTCTGAGAATGGGCACAGGACAATGAGTTCGACTTTAAATGGATATTGTCTTGACTTGTGTTTCATAATGCTAAGTGACTACGATGTCTAGTCCGAGGGTCCAAGGACTACGTACCGGTTTTCACATTCAGCTTGCCGGACTTCTTCGACGCCTTCTGCTTGGACACCTTCTCCACCTCCTGGGACTCGTCGTCATTGTCCTTTCCCTTGGCTACCGGCTTCTTGCCCGCCTGCGGCTTGTTGCTTCCTCCCGAGCGCTTGTTGGCATACGACACCTTGACCAGGGGCTTCTCCTCGTCGTCGTCGTCCTCGTCATCGTCATCGGTGTCCTTGGAGACCTTGGCCTGCTTCTTGGTCGCCGCCGGCTTGCTGGCCGACTTGCCGGTCGTGGTGGATGTGGATGCCGAGCCGGCGAACTGGAAGTTGCCGCCGCCAACGCCTGGACGCTTGCCCTGATCGCCCTCGCTGTGTCCGATCCGCTGGGCCGTCATCTTAGGAACTTTCGTTGACTTCTCCAATTTGGTTGGACAGCATTGGAATGGTTTGTAATCGTTGGGCACGAAATTGTTGCCGCGCTTAGCTGAATGGCCGTCATGACCCAATCCAACATAGAAACATTCGTCATCTGTGTGAGCAAACAAACAAAAACATTTTGTCAGATTGTTTTATTTTAAAAGATTTTGGTTTTATTTTATTTGGTTTACTAACAACAGAAGGTTCGTTACGATAAGTTATAAAAAAAAAGGTTTTAACAAAAGTGCAGCATTGTAGGCTAGAACTAAGAATTATAAAAGTCGTTAACTTCCAACACTTTTCTTAAACACCTCCGATTTAACCACAGAGAGAGAAAAAGAGCAGTTAGTACGATTTTCGATTCAATTTTCATTATTTTCAGATTTGAAAGATTCTTTGTTCTAGAGTAAAAAGCGTGCTTTATGAGTGGAAGAGATTTGAAATTGTTTAAATATAATTTTTAATTATATATCAAAACTACTAACTGACAAAATGCTTTTGATGCTGACTGTACAAGTTTCGGATTTTGATTTTAATTTCTAATCACGTTAAATATCGAGTTAAGCCCACGATGTACATTTCATTTTCGACTGAGTGTGCCAGTAAATCCACTGCGTTTCACTTGATCGAATTTTTGGTTGTTTTTGTTTATATGCTTAAATATTTTCTATGGAACAGCAGGATCGTTATTAAATATTATAAATAAACAAACATAACGATTACTTATAGTATTATGAGAAAATAAATTATAAGTCAAACAAAATAGGTATTAACACATTTTTTGTATTATTATCGAAATAGTTACGTTTTCCAAAATAAAAAAAATATAAAGTTCCTTGCTTAAATAATTTCAAACATTGTGTCAGCTATGTATGATTTAATATTTTTCTTTTAATTTTGCTTTTGAGGCATCAAAGACTTTTGTCTTAAGAACTGGGCAAAGCTTCGGGTGTAGGTTTAGACATTCAGGAGGATCAAAACATAGACGGGTATTGGTGGGTTGTTATTTTTGCTTGACTGTATTCCCAATTGTATTCACATGATATTTGCTTTAGCACAGAAGCTATGCGCTCGGCACAGATATAGAAATCACGTGAATGTGGAAAGGTTACCTTTGTTAAATGCATTTCTATTCGAATTCCTCTTCCCCAAGTCTGTAGATAGACAATGAAATTAACTGTAGTCGAAACTGTCGAGTGTTTTGTGGCATTGCAAAGTGTACAATAATGATTGTTTGGGTGGGGTGGAAAAGGGACCGGAATCTCAGTCGGGTTGGACAAAACATTGAACAACTTCAGTTAGTGCGTCAATGGCAACTCACATTCAGGTATTACCTATTTCATCTATAAGCCGACCTGAGCAAAGGTCAGCAAGGCGATGTATCGTTCGACCTTTGGCCGTGTGCCTATATTTTGGTTTACTCTTAATATCTTCTTCGTCATCGTCCTCCTCATCTTCCTCCCCAGTTCCATCTTTGTCATCCCCATTTGTATCCTCGTCGTCCCCATCTTCTTCGTCATCCTCATCCTCATTCTCATCTTCATCGTCCTTGTCAGTATTGTCTTCGTCATCGTCGTCTTTGCCATTCTCGTCTTCGTCGTTCTCGTCATCGTCGTTCTCGTCATCGTCGTTCTCGTCATCGTCGTTCTCGTCATCGTCGTTTTCGTCTTCTTCGTTCTCGTCTTCGTCACCATTTTCTTCCCCAGTTGCATCCTCATTATCTTCATCTGCATTATCGTCATCTTCATCTTCATCTACATCTTCATCGTCATCATTTGTATCCTCATCGTCCCCATTATCTTCTTCATCCTCATGCTCGTCCTCATCGTCCTTATCAGTATCTTCCTCGTCATCCTCGTCCCCATCCTCGTTATCTCCATTATCTTCTTCATCATCCCCTTCCTCGTCATCCTCATCCTCGTCCTCATCATTTTTATCTTTCTCATCCTCATCGTCATCTTCGTCCTCGTCATCATTTTCATTGTCATCCCCGTTCTCGTCATCGTTATCTTCCTCGTCCTCGTTATCATTGTCATTATCTTCGTCATCTTCGTCTTCGTCGTCTTCATCTTCGTCTTCGTCGTCTTTATCATTATCTTCTTCGTCATCGTCGTCCTCTTCGTCCCTATCAGTATCTTTTTTCTCCCCAGTTGTATCTTCCTCATCCCCATCATCTTCATCCTCATTATCTCGTCTACTTTTTCGTAATCTTTCTTTTCGTATCACATTCTGTAGACGCTTTAATCTTTCCCTCTTATCCTCATCGCTTTCCTTGGGATAGCGCAATTTAAGAATTTTTTCATCACTTGCGTCGTCATCATTTCCTATATAAGAAATTATCATTACGTTTTGTACTTTAATCATGGGCAAGAAACGGGTAAATGATATTGGATTTATCAATTGTTTTGATTTGATTTTTGAACCTTTTTTGTCTCAACTGACTTTGTATCGAAAGTTTGGCTTATGAGCGTGAGGTTTAAAGCAGAAAACACATTTAAAAGAAAGACGCTTACTCTTTTGATTGACTAACCACTGCAGCACACGGTTTTCATTTTTAAGATTACCTGAAAGGAAAAAATTGTAGATGATATTGGTGGTCTAAAAAACAAGCAAATGGCAAACTTACCATCATACATAATCGGGACGCCGGTCTCGTAGTAGACCAAAGCTGGGAATGCGAAAATGCCGATTTCATGGGCAAGCTTAACATCATTCGATTTGACAAATTGTATTCCGTGCTTATCGGTGTCATCGTCGATGTTTTCCAACTCTTCCAAGATTTCAGAACACGATTCGCATTCATCATCGTCTGTATTAAATATAATTTATGTAAACTTTGAACTTCTTCAAATAAACAAGTGGCGGACTTACAGAAGAACACAGCCAGGTGCTCAACATCGTTGATCAAAACTTGCAGGGTCTTACGATCCACAGATTCAATGACATCAGCTGTAGACTCGTGCAAATCAATAACCCACTCAAGAATTTCCTCTTCCTTCATCAGGTCACCTTTAAAAAATAAAAATATTAAGTCAAGTTCCTATTGATACTAATGCTTAAAATGGCAAAAGGTAATCACCATTTTCTCCCTATTACATGCATTTCACATTAATGTATCAGAACTTACCGGTGTAAATTGTTCTAAACTTATGTCTATAAAATGCAAGTGCCGGCAGACTGGGCAGATCGTATTCCTTATCAATATCATCGTCGGATGTCTTTACAAAGTCAATGTCTTTTTCCTCGCATTCGTCATCGATGTTCTCCAGCTCGTTAAGGATCTTCTGGGCCTTCTTATCACCCTCAGCATCTGAAGATTATAAAAGTAGGAAAGATAATAAGAGATCTAGAATAAACGAATAATCAATTATTTCTCTTTCTTACAGAAGAACACCACAACGTGATCGTTTTCAGCCAAGATCTTGTCCAACATCTTCACATTGACCTCCTCAATTTTTCCGGGAATTTCGAGGGTTTCGTCGTCAGTAATCCAGGCCAACACTTCGTCTTCGTCGTCCAAATCTCCAGTGAAGTGCAGTGGATCACGGTTCCTAAAGAACACCAGGCGTGGATAGGTCTTGACATTGTATTTCTTAGCGACTCCGGTATCCTCGGTGGTGACGAAGATGATGCCAGCCTCGTCCAACTCATCGTCGATGCTTTCCAGGGCATTCAGAGTGTGGTCGCAGGTCTCGCCAGGTTCGCAGGGACCCGTGAAGAAAACAACGACATATTCGTGCTCGTTGATCAGGTTGACCAGGATCTCATCAGTCACCTCCTCAATGGTGGCCGTCTTCTTCTGGACCAGGAGCCACTCGAGAACCTCATCCTCGTTCATCAGATCACCCTCGTAGAGGGCCGGGATCTTGTTCTCGAAGTAAATGAGAGCGGGCAAATGGTCGAGACCATATTCCTTAGCTTCGGCGGCGTTATCGATGCGCACAATGACAATTCCCTCCTTCTCCAGCTCATCGTCAATATTCTCAAGTTCGTTCAGGATGCGCATATCCTGCTTATCGTCCTTGTCATCTGCGGAAGGGAAGGGGTCATTGCAAAAGCGGTAAGGGTTATTACCAATTGGTTTACTTACAGAAGATAACCGCCAAGTGCTCGGTGTTCTCGACCAGTTTGTCCTTCATCTCGTCAGTGACTTCGGGAATTTCGGAATAGCGCTTCTGGTGCACCAACCAGCCAAGCAGCTCATCCTCTTTCATCAGATCACCCTCGTAGATGTGTGGAATGCCACGTTCAAAGAGTACAATCGACGGTATCTCATCGATACCCCATTCTTTGGCCTCCTTGTCATCATCGATCTTGACAAAGGCTATATCATTCTGATCGCACTCATCGTCAATGTTTTCCAATTCTGCGAGGATTTTCTGTGATTTCTTTTGGTCTTTGTCGTCTGCGAAGATGATTTCAGATCGTTAGTTCAATAATTTTGGCTTACGTTTTGGAAGCTAAGAAGGAAAATAATCAACAAACTGCTGTTTCGCTCAACTTGTAACTTGAAACCTACAATCTACACTTTTTCTATGGTCTACCAATCTTAACCCTTAACGAAGAGGGTCGTCTAATTTTTTGTTTAGTTTGGATTAATTAGTTTTTTAAGCGCTTTTGAAAATTATTACTGAAAAGCATGTCGAGCACTCGACCAAGGGTTAAATTTACGATTGCAGACACCCCAGAGGTACAACACCAAGTCAACTGTACAATATCAACAGAGATTAGAAGTCTGGTGCGCAAGGGTCCCGGCACAAAGTCGAGGTGTGGGGCCTGGAATCACTTACAGAAGAGAACAGCAACGTGGGGCATTTTCTCAATGATCAAATCCAACATTTCGTCGGTGATGTCCTCGATTTGATCGGAGCTCGTTTGGTCTGTTAGCCATTTCAGGAGCTTCTCCTCGTCCTCCAGATTGCCTTCGTAAATAGTTGGAATGCCTTTTTCAAAGTATATCAGTTTAGGAACTTTATTGATGCCATATTCAACGGCCTCCTCGGGATTGTCGATCTTCACGAAAGTAATGCCCAGGGCGTCGCACTCGTCGTCAATGTTCTCGAGCTCTTCGAGCACTTTCTGGGACTTCTTGTCGTTGTTGTCGTCTGGAAAACAGCTTGTGAACAAATTGGTGGCGACTTGGGATTTGAATATTTACAGAACAGCACTGCAATGACGCGTCCTTCTTTGATCATTGTGTCGAGCATTTCGTCGGTGACATCCTCGATCTCATCCCGTTCCAACTGTCCCAACAACCATTTCAGAATCTGCTCCTCGTCCATGAGATCGCCGTCGTACACATTTGGAATTTCTTTTTCAAAGTAAACAATGGCCGGAATCTGGAGATCGAACAACATTATTTGTGTGGAAGACTGCCTTTCAACTGCTCGCGTTCTGTGGTCGTACCGAATCGATTCCGTAATCGCCTGCCGCCTTGGCATCGTCAATTTTCACAAACTGAATGCCATGCTTGTCGCAGTCGTCGTCGATTTGCTCTAGCTCCTCCAACACGGTCATCGAATCGTCATTTCCATGATCATCTGCAGATTAATAGCAGTCGGTTAGCCTTGCTGCCTTTCCCCGGGCAAAATACTTTTCTACATACAAAATAGCACAACTAGGTTGTCGATATTGCTGATTAGCGTCGACAGAGTCTTCGAAGTGACGTCCTCAATGACATCATCTTCATCGCCCGTCGACTTATTCTGCACCAACCATTCCAAGACGTCCTCCTCCCGCTGAAGTTCACCTGGAGGACACAGTTTCGATATTAGCTACTTGGATATCGAATTCGGCATGGGATTGATACTGATGTGTGTTGGTTGTGTGGTCGTGGAGGTTTCAAGGTAAATGTGGGTGTGGAATGGAGGTACCTTCGTATATGATCGGAGTCTGGTGGCGGTAGTAGACCAGGGCTGGCAGACTGCCGAGATTGTATTCGTCGGCCAAGGCCTCGTCGTGTATTTTCACAAACCCGATGCCAAGCTGATCAGCTTCGTCGTCGATATTCTCCAGCTCCTGCAAGGCCTTGGCGCACTTGCGGCATTGCTGTTTGTCTGGTTGGTGAGTTGGTTTCATAGAATCAGGCAAACAATAGATAATTAGGGTCGTCTGGCAGAGGGGCAAACGTCTCGAAAAGCGAGGAGGGGAGCACAAAACATCAGGACGGGGTCTGGTGTTGGGTATAATTGCCCACGGATTGGTACAACATTCATGGATTATGTTTCGTGCGGCCGTAAGTTGTGGGGTTAATTAGGAGCCAATTAAGACAGATGCGAGTGCATGCAAGGAAATTCCATTTAACTGCAAAGTTACCCAATCATTCCCCAGGCGATTCGTTTATTTACACAATTTGTTTACAACATCCCTATCTGTCTGCGTACAACCTGTTGCAATGTGCTTGTCTGAGTGAAGGAAATACATACATCCAAACGAGGCACTCAAAAGTGGCAATGTAAAAGAGGAATTAATTCTCGGAAAGCTCTCTCCTTCCTTTTACCTATTCCTCTATCTCATTTCGTTGGGTTTACCACATTCGTAATTGAGTTTTCGGCAAGCTTTCGCTTTCCTGCCCGACGCTGCGTATACGTAATATTTATTTCTGTTGGTGGTTTCTTGGTGAACTTGTAAGTGTCTTTTAATGGTTGACAGCCATCATGCTAATGGCAACTTATCACAGCAGTTCCCTTACGGAATAATGCAGTTAGCCGGCGGAGGTACTCGAAATTACACGGTTTCGAAAAACATTCCCCAGACCAAAAATATCTGTAATTTATTTTTCGGGACCGGTTGAGTGGGTGTCGCCAAGGTGACAAGGCTGATGCACACACTCAGTCGCGCAAATTTTTCATAATTTACTGCACAATTTTCGAAAAATATAAAAAAATCTAGAAAATTAAACATGTTTATGAGGCTCCGACTCTCATTCTCTTCCTATCTCTCTCTCCGACAGCTTGAACAATTTTTGGCCCTGCCGCAGACATGGGCAAATGTTGCATTTAACTAAAAATAGTGCAAGTCAGTCGGGGAAGAGCCAAACACATATAGTTATAGAGCTGCAGTGGGACGGATATATAGGTATTTGTATATTATGTAAATCAGCATTTGGCTGCGACAACTAAAGATCTGCCCATAACCATGCATTGCCGGCTCGTGCTCGAGTGCGCCAAGTTGATGTATTGCTGTATGCAAAAGCAATTAAAAGTGCTGTCTGTCTGCAGCCCCCTGATGGATACAAACTCAATTGAAAGGGGTAGGAGGTGGGGGGGGGGAGAGATGGACAGGGGCGGTACAATGGGCCACAATTTCTTGTCTTCTCTCACCTACATGCTGTTCGCCTCAATGCTGAGGAAAACCTTTTTGTATTTTGTATGCTGTCTGCGTTTGATAAAAATACCTATAGATAGTGAAGCGGATATTCATGTGTATTCACACATGTACCGCGGCATGTGGATGCCCACTCTATAGTTAGTTGTTTCAGAATTAAGCAAAAATAACAGCAGCACCAAGAGCAGCGAAAAAATCATTTTGTTGGCCGACCAACTGCTTGAGTTTTCTATTTTTAAAACTAAAATTGTAGGTGGCTGTGTCGGAAAGAGACAGCCAGCAAAGAATACTTTGTTGTTGGACAAGACACCAACGTGTGTGTAGTGGTATATACCCACATTTTCTGCGAGTATTGGATTTATGATTTTCGATAGGTAAATTCCTGCCTTTCTTTTATTATTTATACAAGGCCAACTAACCATCACAAAATCAAATTCTCTCAGAGTTTTCTCTTCCAAATTCAATTTTGTTTAATGCAATACCTTATTAACTGAAAAACTGACTATCTATTTCTTATTCAATTAACCGCTTGTTCAAATCACAGGGTTTGAGTTAAAGTAGTGATTTAGAGGGAAATAAGGAGATGCCGTGGCGACAAAAACATAATCTGGCGCCGAGCCCAGACATTCATCTGCAATACTTCTGTTGTTGTAATGTTTATTATTATACGTATACGTAATATGTGTGTCTGCCTTGGTCGATAGCGAACGCGAAAATTAGAAATCTTGTTTTTCTAACAAAAATTACTAAGAATTACTACACTGGTGATTGTATCTATTTAAAAATTTGTCCTTTACCCAGGGCAACGACGTCAACTTTGCCTGACGACTTAGTCGCCAAAGAGATTAAGGATTTCCAAATGAATATAGATTTCAATGTGTCCCATCGACTTAAGTTCCATAATCTCTGTACTGCTGTGAGTATTCTCCTTGAAATGAACCCAACTAAATCGTTCCATGTAAGCAAGCATCAACACACTGGATTGTTCGGTTATTTGGGTTATATAGCCAATTATAAAGTACATATTTACATATTGTATCATGGGCATTGCGGAAGAATCTTTTCGTGTGCATTTTTGGATTACTGGAATCAGGAAAATTATGGCGGAGAGGGAGTAAAACATTGTAAATGAATTATTTTTGGGAAAACAAAGTTTCAAAATGGGTAATTAGATGGAAAGGGCAAGAAGGAAGGTTCCCAGTATTTGTTCACGAAAAACTTACCCATAACCCTGGGCGGGCATGTTTCATGATCTGGACCTGTAGTCGTTTGATAAAATATATTTGCATTGATAAATTGTCCATATGTAAATTGGCTCAGAAAGTGTACGAAATTCCGCCGAAAGAGATATATTTATATAGAGAGTAATATTGAATGTTAGGTATGCCGCCATTTAGCTTTGGTTAGTCACAATTAATATACGTATTTATATAGAGAGATACAGACATACGCATAAGAAATTGATTAATAGAATATACAGTATAGGTAGATATGATTGTAGTCTATACCTAGCTGTATGATTTTTAGTCACAAGAGAGCTAAACTGTTTGTGTTCGCTAAAAACTGCAACTGCTTTGAAATAGAACATCGTCAAGTCAAATCTCCGACAATAAGAGTTTTCGGAGTGGTAAACATTTTCAGAAGTGTTATATTTGTGTTAAGATCAAGGCAGGCGCACTTACAGAAAAGAACGGCCACGAAGTCGGTGTCCTCGATGATCTTCTGCAATATCTTGGAATTGACCTCCTCGATGCGATCAGGCAGATCCATGGCCTCCAAAGAGGTGAGGAAGTCGAGCACTCCCTCCTCGTCCATGAGATCGCCATCGTATATGATGGGCTCCTTTTCCCTGTGGTATGTATCCATTAGGTCTTGTGTCACTGAACTGGGCGATGAGTACCTACCTGAAGTAGGTCAGGGCGGGGAAATTCTTGATGCCATACTGTTTGGCTAGTCGTTTGTCGTTGATTTTCACAAAGTCCACACCGAAGGAGTCGGTGTCATCGTCGATCTTCTCGAGTTCCGCTAAAACCTTATCACAGGTCACGCAGCTACGAGCATCTGAAATCGCAGAAACCGTGTACGTGAGTATCTTAGATCGAATGGAGATATCAACATCAATTGACAACCAGCAACTGCTCCGTATGACGCTAGAGCATTAACATTCGAATTCAAAATTCAAAGCCCAGGCAGAAGTAGAAACAAATGCCGCAGAGATTATTCATTCCTATATTAGATGCAGGATGCATCATCGGCCGCCCAGAGGAAAATAAGGCTGAATGAATGAATGAAATGACAGCAGCGCCAGGGCAATCGGTGCTATTAATGCGGCAGCAACTGCCAACAAATATGCTAAAATTTCTAAATTAATTCATAAAACTCATGCGGCCACTATTAGGGAAATGAATTGCAGCAGACAAAAGACCACTGTTGGCCCACGTCTTTTAAAAGTTCTGGTTGGTTAAACGCCAGACCAGACTGCAAAAATTGGAATCATTAATGCATCGGCGAGTAAACATCGAAGTTTTCATTTAGATTATTTTGCTTTCCATTCGAGGGGATCTTTCATTGCTTGAATAGTAATCGCTAGTTGGCCGAATCCAAGAATCTGATTTCTTTATTTACGGGTTATAAATGGGCGATCAAAAACATGGAACAGATGCAGCTGTTTCTTATGATAAATTTATTGATTCAATTGCTGTACGAAGTTCAATTCCATGTGACCTCTGTATTTTCACAATGCATTGCAATAACACAAATAGCGTTTACTTTCAACAATTCAAAAGAATTCGTTTAAAATTTTGAGTTATCTGCGATTTGATTACCGAAACTTTTCAATGAGTTGCCATTTGCGTAGATGTTGCATGGTTATTTTCGTTTGTTGGCCAGAGACATTGGGATTGAAGCTTTTGGATTTAAAATATTTTCATTGTCAACAATTATTTTTGGAATTGCCGCCAATGCTAATGAAACACATCGCGATAATGTGTATGTAAAAAAGTATATGTAGAAGAATATTACAATCCGAATATCACTTTCTTGTTTATTAACTTTGACATTGGCGAACAATGCATAAAGGCCAAATCTATTTTTAAGGTGGTTAAAAAGATTGTATATACACCATTAGCAGTTTGTTTATTCGACTTTTTTGGATCATTTTGAAACGGATAAATAAAATAGAATTTTTACAGAGGAAACAATGGTAAACCAAAATAGATCACCACAGATTAGTCGGTATGACTGCAAGTGTTTTAAAATAAATACAAAGTGCTGTGAAATGGGTATCCCACTGGAAGGAAGTGAGTCTGCTTTTTGGTTGAAATGTAAGTTTTGTGCCAACAAATTTTGCCGAAATAAGATAAAAAACCAAGAATATAAAAGGCTGCCGCGGACTCTGGGGCGAACGGCAATTTCTCACAGCCAAGAGAGATTTCTCTACTCATAAACAGATCGCTAAGATAGCGCACGAACGAAAAAAATATATAGGAAGGGGGCAAGGAAGGCAACACAGACTACTGGCAACATGGGGGGAAATAAAGAAATAGAAAAAAAAATAAAAAATTAACCGAATGAAAATCTCGGACATTTCGAGCAACGAATTTTTCACATATTTTCATTTGTATGTGAATTTTTAGAATTTTCACTAGCGAAAATTTATATAATATGGCTTCTGTTACTATTTCGAGTCCGGTCGGCTGATCTGCTGGTCGGCTGGCAATAAAAGAACAATGCCCGGACGTAAAACCAAGGAAAGGGAACTTACACCAGAAGACGGCCACGTAATCCTTGTCGGCCAGGAGCTTTTCCAGCTGCTTGGCATTGACCTCCTCGATAACGGCCTCAGGTTCAACTGGGGCCGCTGGCTGCGAGCCCTTCTTGTTGTTGTTAGCGCCGCCGTTCACATATCCGGGAAAACTCAGTGCCAGCAGAGCACACACGAGCAGCGAAAGAGTCTTGAGGCGAGTGAAAGTCATCCTTCGCTTCGATCCCCCCACCTCACTCACAATCGGAATCGGTTACGGTTCTACCTTCGGTTCGGTGCGTCGACAGTATTCTAAACCCTTAACTCGAACATGCGGGCGTGTGTCTGCTCTTTTTTGGTTATATATTTTATAATTAATTCGTTCTCGTCGTTTGATGATTTTTTTTCGTTATTAAATTTTGTATTCCTTTGAGAATCGGTCACTATTTTTAGTTGATAATGGTATTTCTTTCTTTCGCAATTTATTTTATGTATAACAACTTTTGGTACACTGATACATATACAGCCGAAATATATGTAGGGTATAGATGAGAAAAATTAGATTATATATATTGCTTCTTGCTTCTATTAATTGAACGTTTTCCGCGGACTGTACTCTTTGCTTTTCAGATTTTGTTCCACTCCGTGCAGAGGTCCGCTCGCAACTGAAAGTATTTTGGTGGAAACTCGGTGCCATTCAAGAGGCCTTGCCCGAGCTTTAGGGATCGTGCGTATCGTGCTTTTCCGCTGCTTTTCCGGCCCGCCCCTCCCCCTCGAAAAGCTTTTGGAACGAGCGCAGGAGCGCCGGATGGGCCGATGAAAGATCGTGGCAACAGTGTGGTGAAATCGGGCCAAGAGCGAGAGTTTTCCCTTTCGAACTGCAGTTCTCTGTTTATGCATTTTATAATAAAACGCATAGAAATGGTCTTTACGAATGGTCCTATAAAAACAAATTCGGAGAAACGCATTATTTTGTCATAGGAAAATTGTTTGTACCATTCAAAATTTAGGCGTTGGTTAACTTATGTCTTTAGCATGTACATATGTCCAAAGTGACAATTGAACATAGGCAGCTATATATTACTATATTATATTAATACGCTCACCTTATTAGCTAGGTAAAATATGATTGTAGGTATAGATTGATTGACTGTGGGTGGATTGTAAGTAAATAATTTTTGTGGCTTTCTGCTACTAGGTTTTAAAATTGTTAATTTAAAATGAAACCCACTGCTTTCAAAGAGCCTACAAAAAGGGTATCTGTATACCACAGGTCGATAAAGCAATGTAAAGCTAAGCACACAACCAAAGATTGCTGAATCCTGATTTGAATATCTGTTAAGCATATATTCAAATATGGTGGCTTTTGACTTAAAAGAAACAGAAACTGAATCAATTGAAAAAGAAAGAAGATTTGTAAGTCCAGCCTGCAGAGCTCACACCTTCTTCACTAGGCCACGACTAGTTTTGTAGAGCCTAGATAAAGGGAAATGTCACAGAAAGTGTAAAGCTATGCACAGCACCAAATATTGCTACATCCTGATCTCAGGATCAGTATCCTGATCCCTGGGAACATATCCTGATCACTGGATCCGTAACGCTAACTTTTCTAATGATTTCACATTTATTATTTATCAGTTTTCTTTATAATGATCTAATCTTTATCTTTATCTTTATTTTTTTGAAAATGTACTGATTTTAAATTACAGACGAATTCTCAAATAAATAAGAGGCAGGAAACTGTACAGATGGGGACAAATTCAAGGAAATGTTAAGAAAAATGGAGTGTTTTTAGAATAAGACCAGCCTAAACAATTATAGGTGAAATTAACGCTTGTGGCGCTATTTTAATAAAGTTGTTGAGGGTTGGATATTTTCCAAATGTTAAGAGGTAGCAGTTCCATCGGTATAAGATAAAAAACGTTTAAAATAGACAACACTAGCGCCATTTTTGTTTAAACAGCAGGTGCATCTATCGATAGACACTATTGGGCAGCTGACATCCATTGGATAGATAGATTGTACCCCAGCGTGATTTACGGAAATATGAGAACACTTTGTTTTTTCGTTAGGGACGGAACGGACGTTCGTTTGCTGCGCACCAAATCTTTTCGGCCCCCAATGCAAATGCAAAACGCTTTCGCGGCGTGTGTAGTGCATTCAAAATTACCAGTGACTCAAAGGGATCCGTAGTTTCCTGAGCAGTTCCTCCCAGGATTCGGATTGACCAGGTTCCAACGGACAGGGAAGAAATTCTCGTCTGGGCTGGGTGCAAGGAAATCAATCGTTGACGCCGTTCAAATAAAGGTAACCGCGCCATTCATGAATGAAAGCATCTTCTCCTACGGGCGTTTCCGTCTGTGGACAATTTTGCGGGTATATTGGTTCACCTTGAACCCAGTATTGTAGAAGGGGCCGCATACCAAACCCAATCCCCTCTGTTTGTGTGTATACCTGCGCCTCTTCCGCATGTGTTCATAAACATGAACGCCCACCTAGCCGTAAAACAGCTGTTCCTTCGTTTGCCGTCCGCTTTTCACGCCTTTCAAGGCGAGCGAATCGGAAAAGCGGAAAACGCAAAAAGCCCTTTATTAATGGGGCGCGTCTTATCGCGCACATTGGCGGGGGTTTATCAGAGGGCGGTGCAGTGGCAAGGCGAAGGTGAAAGTCATCAGCTGATATCGGCTTACCGCCTGCAAAACCCGTTATGCATAGCAGCTGTTCGACGCCAAGTAAGTGGGGCAAAATCCCCATTGCAGTACTTAAGAAGTCGCTTTACTGGGGTTTCACTCCCCGGTTTTATCCGGATACTATCGCAGACTGCTGTAAATTAGAAACGTTTCCGCCACAGTTGTGAAACCCAATTGAAGATTTCTTTGTTCGTTCGCAGGCTGACCGACACTAGAGGGCTTTTATGTGATTACTACTATGAAATTGGATGAAATTGTTGCATGGTAAGCAAACAAATACTCCATTATCCTCAGGATTATCTAATTCTCCGCTATTGTGCTTAGGTACCAGAAGAAAATCGGCACCTATGACAAGCAAGAATGGGAGAAGACAGTCGAACAGAGGATTTTGGATGGCTTCAATAATGTCAACTTGAAGAACACAAAGCTGAAGACGGAGCTGATCGATGTGGACTTGGTTCGCGGTGAGTTTTGCCCCAATTCGCCTTAATAATATTATTAACTAGACTTTATATTGCAGGCTCCACCTTTCCTAAAGCCAAGCCCAAGCAGTCACTGCTCACCGTAATACGTCTGGCTATTCTGCGCTATGTCCTGCTGCCGCTCTATGCCCAGTGGTGGGTCAAGCAGACCACGGCAAATGCCTTCGGGTTCATCCTGGTCCTCTACCTCACTCAGCTGTCCAATTGGGCAATCTACGTTTTGCACACCAGCCGCGTAGTGCCGTTGGTCTATGATAAGCCGCCAAATGGGACTCTTGTCCATCCAGAGACTGCGGGAGATGTCAATGTCCCCGATGCGGATGCGGATAAACAGACCGAGGAGGAGCATGTCGACCTGCTCAGCGCCCTGCTCATCCCGTGCGCCCTAAGCCTGCTGATCAGCCTTATCCACTCGCAGATCGTGGCCACCAACACTGCCACGGGTGCCTCAGGCGGAAGCAGCAAGAATAAGTTGCGGCGCATCTCCGCGAGCTGCTTGGGTGACAAGGCCACGACCCGGGAGCACCGAGTTCGGCGCCGCAAGAAGTTTGTGCGGTAAGTGAAACGAAAGCTTAAAGAAACTACTATTCAATTCCTACTCCTGCAGCATTCGCCAGATGGAAGCCGATTTGTCACAGGCCAGCAGCAACATTTCAATACCAACCAGACGCAGTGCAGCAAGTGGCATCGAAGTGCTACCCAGACCCGTCACGCCTACAAGCACCTGCGCCGTGGTGCCCGATCCCATCCTGCCGACCACGCCGCCCCCCGTCGTTATCAGGCGAAGCAGCAATGAGGAGATATTTCTTACCACCACTGCCATCAGCGCACTACCTACAACCCCGGCAACCACTGACGCACGCTACGATCTCAGTAGGCAGACGGGGGGAGCGGCCCTCGAAAGCCCCAAAAAGCGCAACGTCAACTGGCACACGCCCATTCAGATTTACGCCACTTACGAGCGAACCGAGCAGCCATCCTCTAGTCGGGCTAGCGGCGAAAATGAATTGGAAGTGGATGGAGAAGGGAGTGTGGGATCCCCCAGGACCGGCTATCAGTCGCGCCGCAACATCGGCGAGGACGATGGCTTTGAGAGTCTGAACGGAAAGAGCTCAAGCGGCGAGGACAACAACCACTCTCCTTTGCCAAATGCGGGGGCGGTTGCCGTGCCTCCAGTTCCTGCCCAGACCAATCAGTTGCGCCTGCGTCTGAACACGGCAAACAGCAACTCCAACACTGCTCCTCCGCCGGAAAAGAAAGCGCAATCGCGCGGCAATGAGTCTACAACTAGTTGCGCCGAGTCGGACGAGTGTGATGATGCGGACATCATATCCAGTCCTGCTTCGGCCTGCAACCAGGAGTGCACCACCTCTGCCACCGACTGGCTGGGGGTGACAACGAACAGCGAGGACTGCAGCTACACCTCTGATCTGGACCACTCCGGCGGCGGTTTGAAGCACACGGCCTGCAGCGATGAGGACCCTGCCGAGCTGGATATCACACCAACTACCATACTAAACCCACACAGCAGCCTGGACCGAAGTGAGTACAAGCGCTTTATATTTACTTGATGCGTAGTTTTCATAATTATATTTACTTTCCCAGTTAGCTGTACCATTTGGGATCAGCGCGACGCCAAAAAAGCGCAGCTTTCCGTGCTGGAAATAGCATCTTGCATAATTGAACGGGTGGACTCGATGGGCGAGGCCAACGACTACATCTACATAGGCGTGGTCTTCTCTTTCCTGCTCACTTTAATCCCCATCTTCTGTCGACTATGCGAGGTATGAACATTACAAAGCCGAAGTTGTGTCTTGAATTTAAATCGAATTTGTTAAACGCTTTAAGGTTACACTCGGGAGCGACGCGGAGAAGGCCAGTGAGATTAGCTACCTTTACATGCCGCAGCTCTTGTGGGAGAAGTCGTCGGCATCGTTTTTTACTCTGCTGGGCTTTGCCTTCGGCGATACTCAGTGGGAACGCACCGTCCTGGCTCTGGGCTTTGTGCAGCGCCTTTGCCTGACCCTCATCCTGTTTATCATATTCGCCGTTGCAGAACGCACCTTCAAGCAGCGCTTTCTTTACGCCAAACTCTTCTCCCATCTCACGTCGTCACGTCGGGCTCGCAAGTCAAACCTTCCTCACTTTCGCCTGAACAAGGTGCGCAACATCAAGACCTGGCTAAGCGTACGATCTTATCTGAAGGTGAGCATAACAAATGAATGCTTTTTTTTAACCAAATACTACATTGTGATCTCCCATAGAAACGCGGACCCCAGCGATCGGTGGACATCATCGTTTCCGCCGCCTTCATAGTGACCCTGCTGCTCTTGGCTTTCCTAAGCGTTGAGTGGCTGAAGGACTCTGTGCACCTTCACACGCATCTTACGCTGGAGGCCCTAATGTGGTCGATCACAATCGGGATTTTCTTGCTGCGCTTCATGACCCTGGGCCAAAAGATCCAGCACAAGTACCGCAGCGTGTCGGTGCTGATTACTGAACAAATCAACCTGTATCTGCAGATCGAGCAGAAGCCCAAGAAGAAAGATGAGCTGATGGTGTCAAACAGCGTGCTAAAGCTGGCCGCCGATCTGCTAAAGGAACTCGAAACGCCATTCAAGATCTCTGGCCTCAGTGCCAACCCATATCTATTCACAACCATCAAGGTTGTCATCCTGTCGGCCCTCTCGGGCGTGCTTAGCGAGGTTTTGGGCTTCAAGCTGAAGCTCCACAAAATTAAGATTAAGTGAATCATGCAAGGCCCAGATCCATCATATTTTTGTAGTACAACTTTTTCGAAACGCTTTAAGAGAAATCTACAACTACATCTAACTCTAAATTAGTTTAGTTAATAAATTTAAGCGAGCCAATGTTTATGCTTGTCAAGTGATTGTTTATCTCTGTTAACAAGCCCACTACTGACTACGTAAATCAATATAAATTAGTATTTACCACCTACCTTCTAGAGCGACCTGCACAATCACAAATCATGTTAATTCAAATTGTGTAATGATCGTATTTAAAGTTCATAGAACTTTTAGCATAAAAGCAATGCACCTTTCGTAGTTGGCTGATTATTCTGTTACACAGTCTCAATTTCAATTCCTAAAGCGGTCTCAGTAGAGTGTTGCAATTAATAAATGTTAGCAAACCATATCAATAATGTCGTTTCATGTCAATAGTTCACCAAATTGTCTAAATAGATAATCAAAAGGACTATAAAATTAAGTTTATATATTATTTGAAATTAATTTTGAAAATTTTGTCTATAAGTAATATGTTTGGTAACGTAATCCTTCAGAAGAAGAACTACCATATAAACTACCATAAGCCCATTACTAGAGTAAATTATTAACAGGTAGAAGAAAGCGTTTCTAATTTTATAAAGTGTAATACTTTGATCTAGATATGTCCGTCGGCATAAACCCTTATAGAGTTTGAAGTTAACACGCAAAATGAAGTATAATAACCTTCCTTTTTGATTTTAATTAAATTGGATTTTATCTATCTCCTTGGCTAATGTGGTGGTTGCATATGAGTTTAAGTGGATCACTTAAGATTTTCAACATTTGGTGATTAACGTACATACAGGGCTACTAGAGAATATTTTTTAACCGAATATTAACTAAGCAATAATATTAAATTATTATAATTCCATAATCGAATATGGCTGAAATTGAGTTGAAAAAGATAATGTTTTCATGTGCTTAAATGCATTTAAATAATATAATATTTTCATTTTATTAATAAAGCTGTTAGAATATTAAGAGTTTTATGGTAAAACTCTTGACCAGTTTTATTTATATTACATGTAAATCACTAATTTCGTGTGATTTTATAAAATATAATTATATAATTTTAATAAATTTAAACTATCATTATGAAACGAGCCATCCCAATAGGAACTATTCACTTTTTTCTTTCCGTGTAACTCAACTTCGGAATCATTTGTTAATCGATAATTGGCACTATCGCGATCGACCAGCTGTTGCTGTGTTTGTTATCGCTATCAGCTCCCTGTACAAAACTGACGTAACATTCTCCCCCACTCGCGTGGTAAAATCGGCTTGTAACTCTCGTTAAAACTCTCCCCCCCAAAAATGATCCGGCTTAATGGGCTGCTAAGAAGCTCCTCAAAGGTACTGTGCAGCCAGATGCGACTGCTCCACGTAGGCGAGGCCAATGTTCTGCCCACCGAGGTGGACAAGCTATCTGCCGAGTACAAGGTATGTGTACATGTAAACACTCGTCTATTTGCCGTACTGAAGTCTGATTTTTTGACCAGGAAAATGCCAGCGAGATGGGGAGATTGGTTGGGGAGCTACGTAGCTTTACCAGCCAGGTGCTCCAGGGCGGCGGGCAGAAGGCCATCGAGCGCCACACCTCACGGGGCAAACTCCTGGCCAGAGACCGCATCAACTTGCTTCTGGACAGGGGATCGCCCTTCCTGGAACTAAGTACCCTGGCCGGGCACGAATTGTACGGCGAGGAGGTGGTCAACTCCGGAGGAATCGTGACCGGGGTGGGACGAGTTTGTGGGTAGGTTCTGTTGCATGACAGTTTTAAGGGGAATTCCGTTCTCTTTTACAACTACAATTTGTAACTTTTGATATATTATTAACCACTCTCAATTGATTTTTAGTTTTCAAAACACAAAACAAAATACATAGTTATTAATATTCCTAAATGGATTCATTGATTTCACTACAACTACTATTTAAACAGATTTTATATATTATTGTTTTATGCATTTTAGAATGGAGTGCTTGGTAGTGGCCAACGACGCCACAGTAAAGGGCGGAAGCTACTATCCCATCACCGTGAAGAAGCACCTGCGCGCCCAGGAGATTGCACAAGAAAACCGTCTGCCCTGTATTTACCTCGTGGACTCGGGTGGCGCCAACCTACCGCGCCAGGCGGAAGTTTTCCCAGACAAACTGCACTTCGGACGCATCTTCTACAACCAGGCTAACATGTCGGCCCAAGGCATTCCCCAGATCGCTGTAGTCATGGGCAGCTGCACGGCCGGTGGAGCCTACGTGCCGGCCATGGCCGATGAGAGTATCATTGTGAAGAAGCAGGGCACTATTTTCCTAGCAGGTCCGCCACTGGTGAAGGCAGCCACTGGAGAGGAGGTGTCCGCAGAAGATCTGGGAGGAGCGGACCTGCACTGCAAGACCTCGGGAGTCACGGACCACTATGCCGTGGATGACGAACACGCTTTGTATCTGGCCCGACAGATTGTGAGCAACCTGAACCTGCCCGCCACGAACTCCTACAACGATCAGCTAATTCACTCCAGTCAAGCCAACTTCCAAGGTGCTAAACAGCCAGCTGTCATAGAGGAGCCGCGCTACGATCCCCGCGAGCTGTACGGTATCGTGGGCCCCAAACTCACCAAGAGCTTCGACGTTCGCGAGGTGATTGCCCGCATTGTAGATGGAAGTCGCTTCACGGAGTTCAAGAAGCTGTATGGCGAGACCTTGGTGTGCGGATTTGCGAAGCTTTATGGCAACACGGTGGGAATAGTCGGAAACAATGGAGTGCTCTTCTCGGAGAGCGCCCTCAAGGGAGCCCATTTTATTCAGTTGTGTGCACAGCGTAAGATACCTCTGGTCTTCCTGCAGAACATAACAGGTGAGGTGCTGATATACTTGGATAGGCTTCAATATTCTGACTCTTTCGATCTAGGTTTCATGGTGGGACGTGATGCTGAGGCAAATGGTATCGCCAAAAACGGAGCCAAGATGGTCACGGCCGTAGCCTGCGCCAATGTGCCCAAGTTCACGGTGATAATCGGTGGATCCTACGGTGCAGGCAACTACGGAATGTGTGGACGAGCCTATTCGCCGCGGTTCCTGTACATGTGGCCCAACTCCCGCATCTCCGTGATGGGGGGCGCACAGGCGGCCAATGTCATGGCTCAGATCACCCAGGACCAGCGCAAGCGAGCTGGTAAGGAGTTCAGCGAAGAAGATGCCCAGAAGTTGAAAGCACCCATTGTGGATATGTTCGAGGCGGAGGGTTCACCGTACTACAGTACGGCTCGCCTGTGGGACGACGGCATCATCGATCCGGCAAACACACGCCAAGTTCTGGGCCTCAGCCTGAAGGCAGCCCTTAACAATGCAGGCCAGGACACCAAGTTCGGAGTCTTCCGCATGTAAATCTGATTTGCTTGCACATGAAAGGAACTCTGGGAGCATTTACCGGCATTTAATGCCAACCTATATGTCGAAACTGTTGCATTTATTAGCGTTAAGTCAATTGTTAAATGTGTAATATACTACTGAGTGTCTATTTGTAAAAACAATGTCGAGGAATATGGCTTTCAAAATAGTAACCCATTTTTAGGATTTTAAAATGACAGCAAATATTTATAATATGAAAAGTCTTTATAACGAAACTATTGCATTTATTGGTATTAAAATATGGTTTTTGAGTAAATTCTTTTTTAAATAGTCTTTTTATAAAATAACGCAAAAGACATAAATTATGTGTACTTCCAAAATTGGATTTTTATAGCTTTAAAAAAAAATTGCAACTAGAACACTTTGGTAACAAGTTAATAATAAGCTAAGAAATTTGTAGCTCTTAAAAAGTTTTCTCTTACCAAAAATTAATGTTCTAATTAATTCATTTATAAAGATAGTTGTTAGTAGGTACCAAATTTTTACAGCTTTTGTACCTTTCGAGATTAGTTTTGAAAATAACAGTCAAAATGCAAAGAGGTTCTCCCGCGCACTATCGTCCATCTCTATCACCTATCGATAGCCCTCCATGCGGACCTGCGCTGGGCGGCCGATGCATCAGTGTACATTTTACATCCCTAGCGCTCGCTCGTTTGCAAGAAGACGGTTCGTCATAGAATTTGCATTTCTTTGTTTAAAGTCCAGAAATCATTTAAAACGCCCTCGGCCTGAAGGACTACGACTATCTGAGAAGGTGAGTTTAACAGAGGATCTGAGGATTTACCGGTAGACTGCGACACTGCGTCCGTATGAGTCAGTGCCCGTGTGTGTGTGTGTGTGCGGCTCCTCGACTTTTTCGCGAAAAAAGAAGAGAGCTGAAGAAATGGCAAAATCTAGAAGTAGCGTCAGCAGAAAAGAAAGTTCATCGGTATGTGGCGAAATAACTTAAAATAACTTTGCCGAAAACTTCAAGTGCACACTCGAACGAATAGCTGTACATTGCGGAGCATCCGTGCGCCTGTGTGCGTGCGTGTGCGTTGTATATTTAAATGTCGCCTGCTGCTGTTTCCTCCTCCAAAAATAAAATTCCCTATCCTGGTTGCGTGCGAGTGTGAGTGACTGTCATCTTGGCGGCGAGTGTGTTTGTGTATGTGCTTGCCACAGCCGCAAAAAAAAAGAGGCCGCAAAAATTCCGGTGCAGTGTGTAGTGGCTAAAGTGCCCAACCCCCGGTGGCATTAACGTCTGGAAAACGAGGAAAAGTGGGGAAACCATGTTTTCTGAGCTCTTTCCTGTTTCAGGTGTTGCTTTAAGCCTCCATTTCGATGACGTCACTCCTCTGCGGTTTATCTGTCAAACCCCCGCATTTCAGCGTGTGTGTGTCCGTCCAGCTACCAACAATTCTCGGACTTGTTTTGTTTTCTTTTAGTAACTCGACTACTTTTATTGGCTTAATTGAAATCAGCTACGCCGACGCAGCTTTCTGGCCTTTTTGTTGTTCCAACAGCTTGCCGGTTTCTTTTCGGTTTCCCCACTCAAAAATAAAAAAACACTCAAACGCTCTCAAGCGGATTTGGGCTCCATAATATTGGAATGTTTATTTTCTGCTAAAACAGCTTATTGTTGTTGACACACTTCCACCCTGATTCGGGTTAAATCATATTTGGAACTTTTAAAATATGGACAAAATATGAACGTCTTTTTAACGGTGCAGTGGGTTAGTTAAATGGGATGCCCCGTTTTGGGCACTAATCCCCTTTTTTCGCTGCTCTTTTCCGTTTTCCTGGTTCTGCTTAATTAGTTCGCGTTCAACTTCCGCTGCACGCGCCCACACTCGCACACATGCACACACTTACTTATCGACAGCCACAACAAGATATACTGAGAAAAAATATCAACGGGTTAATCATCCATTCGAAAGTTTCTTATTACAAAATGGAAAATGTCAATGACTTATCAACTTGGAATTTG